CCACTTTGAGCCTATATTTCTCACTTTCTGCAAAAGATATCAAAAAGTGGCTAACTAGTAAAATGTTGCTGATATCCTGATAAACATTTTACTAGTTAACCACTTTTTGATATCTTTCAAAAGAAGTGAGATATATAGGCTCAAAGTGGACGTTCCGGGTGTCGTTCTATTAGAGGTTTTACGGTAATTGTTTTTCCCTATTCTAATAAACGGAGCTAGACGAATAAAATTTGGTATTTCTTCCAAAATCGGGGTTAATAAAAATTCCTACATCCTAGTCTGCAGAATTGAAGTCTGGTTGGCAAGAAAATTCTTAAAATTTCGAAATGCTGGTGAAATATGTCAAAAAAAACCTCACAAAATCCATTAGCAGATTGAGACTAGAGGGTTTTGGCAGAAAGACTTTCAGACTTTTCATCCAGTTTCTTAAGTTTCAGACAAAAGCCTCGGATATTATATTGTATTAGTTTTGTAGTTATTCTGTTCTCATTTTGTCCTTCTAGTTCATCTTTTCCAACGTGCGGCTGTTGAAAAAATGGGTTCTTTGTTCTCGGATGACATGCCGACTGAATTGATTTTATGACCCCTGTCATCCCGCTCTTCTTCATTTTTCATCGAATAAGAAACACACACCGAGGCTTGTCGTCATCGACTTGTTTTGTTCGGAGGGCAACAGAGTATCTTCTAGGAAGGAATTGGGAAAGAAGTCGATGGGACCAAGATGTGATATAAAATTAATAAGCCTTCTCTGCCAAAAAAGACTGCAAAATAGTGCACATTTTTTACCGAAGTAAAGACACCAAAAATTACAATTTATGAAAAATTAATAAGAAAAGAGCTAATGAGAAATGGCTACGGCTCTTTGACTGATTGAAATATAGAAAAGTTCGAAAATTTCTTAATGAGAACATGTATTAATAAGATTAATCTTGTGATTTCAGTACACGCCTCTGAGCCACAACTTGCAATCACCGGCTGCCACCACACCAACCAGTGAGCCAACTTTCAAGGAGCCTGCTATGCCTATTCGCCATTCGCCATCCATGCCGGCACCACCATCCGGTGCTCCACCAGCATACACCGCCCCAAGCAATTCCACAAGGACACCTGAGGCTTCTACTGCCTCGACGAGCACGCAGCCGACACCACCACGAGCTGCATCGCCAACGTTTGCGGTGCCAGCGCTTCCGGCCACACGTACTCAGGCTTCATCATCAACTAATCAGGTTTCGACTAAACCAAAAACATCACCTCAGAAAAAACGAGGAGGAGACGAGAGTAGTGGTGTTCCTGAGCCACCGTCTCAGGATACACCATTTACAATGGTGACTCATTGGGATCTTCCTCCCGCTATGACTAACATTAAGGACTCGTTATCGCTAGGATCTGATGTAACTCAAACCGCTTTTGTATTTTATTTAATTTTGTTTTGTTTTCAGAAGATGAGCGCGCAAGTCGAAAAACAATATTTTTCAAGGAAGCGTCAACCACTCAAATATCCATATCCCGAAGGAGCTAACGCTAGTGTAAGTTTGGTTTAAAAAAAAACTGCTCACCTGAAATGTCAATCAAGCTGTCAGCAATGAAAATCATAGCCTCAATGACGGAATTTCGAGCTTGCATTGTACTTAAATATGCGTATATGCCAAAATTTTGTTCTGAGCAGCTTCATTTTGGTCGAATGCAGAAGGCGCGTTGCTCGGGGCAACTCGCGAAAAACATTGTGCTTTTGGCAGAGGTACGTGAGAAGTAGAAGACGTGTGATAAACAAAGTGTCAGAGAAGAAGTATATGCACCACGTGACGATGTAGATTCCTAAAATAATATGTATTGGTAATAATCAGAAGAAAAAGGTGAATATGGAAAAGAAAGGATAATAGATAAAAGGATTAGTATGAAATGTGAGAGGAGGGCAAGAAGCCAGATGGAAATGGATTAGCATTTCATGACGATGGGATGAGCGCCAAAACAAAGAAAATAGAGCTCATAAACTTCTGAAAAAAACGATCCTAAACATTTTCAGACCGCACCTGTCACCGAGCCCAACACATTCGGATTCATCGAAGGAAGCAAATACTTTGACAAGAAGCTCGGCCGAAAAGTCACTTGCCAGCCTCAAATGGCACCTCCAGTGCTTTCCCGGTCGCAATCAATGCACTCCACAATGGTTTCTCCTGGTTTCGCAGCTCCTCAACCACCAAGTGGCGGTGGACGGCAACCGGCGAAAAAAGCTAGAAGTGGTGAGTGCCTGTGTCCATAAATAGGCGCCAAATGAACTGAAAAGATGAAAATCTCCTTCCTTTTCCAGCCTCTGACGCCTCTGAGCCCTCATTCAATATGCCTCTTCCGCCGTCGAGGCAAGCGATTAGGCCGGCACCGGATCCGCGACAAATGCAGCAAATGCAACAGATGCAGCAAATGCATCAATATCAGCAAATGCAGATGCAGAAGATGCATCATCAACAGCAAATGGCTCATATGGCAAGGATGGGACAAGGAGCACCAGACATGCCGTCTAATATGCCGCCGAATATGGCTCAACATATGCCGCCAAATCAGCCATCGACGTCCACAGCTGGAGGAATCTCACCGGCGCCATTAGGCAGCCAACTCCCACCGTTTGGTACCCCGGCTCTTCAGAGAGCAGAATCGATGCCAGCACTACCATCCCAACAACCACCACCATTGGGACCACCAATGACATCGCATATGGGTGGACCAGGAATGCCAAACGGGAATCCACAAACAGAAGGTTAGTATTCGATTGAGACTCTTTTGAGACCGAGTCAAATTCAGGTTATTACAGACCAGACGGCCAGCACCAGTACTGGCAACCACCGTCCCAGCACCAATGGACTGCCCCCTCTGACTTTGCGAAACCCGGTCCAGGATGGGAGACAAAACCATGACTACTCATTCATGGGCTCCAATCCTTCTACATCTAATTCCGCTCCTTCTCAACAAGAACACTGTGCGGGTTGTCATAATTTTATCTTGGTGAGTAGAAAAAATTAGGGAAGTAAGAATTTTGAGAGAAACTCGGTGAATCTTCGAAAAGGTTGGGTACCCATGCCCAAAAAAGAGTCTAATTGTTTATTAGAATGAAAGTTTGTCAGACCTTGGGCTAGGTTTCTAAAAAAAAAGATAGGAACTCAAAATATCTCAATTATGCCATCTTGCCGGATGAGTTGGGCTTGTAAGACAATGAGGCAAGACAAAGGCATGTTGCACAAATTTTGGGGCATCTTGCCAACCCACCACCGACTTATTACAACTATATGGTCCCGAAAATTCAATGAGTACTAGTTTCCAAATTGTTTTATTTTTAGAACTGTTTTTTAAAAATCCCATATAATCAATATCTCATTTTTCAGCCCGGGTCTCCTACCCTGTTATGTATGTATCACGAGTGCAAGAATAGGTATCACCGCGAATGTACTCGTCTCTCCTCCATCGCCTTCAATCACTTCTCCGGTACGCCTCAGGCTCGTTGGGTTTGTCCGACATGCGAGGCTCAAGTTCGTCCTCCTCCTCCCATGCCGATGCAACATGCTTAAATCGAAACTGGTCTAAAACGTCGTGTCATCCATTTCATCCCCACACTTTCAATACATTTTCTCAAAAATTACAATGTTGCCTTTGTTTGAAAGATATCCCTATTGAATTTTTTCTTAATAATCCGTTTGTCTACTATAAAATCAAAACACCCATTGCCATTCATTCAAAATGAGAACCCAATCAAAAATCTCCCACACTTATCATGTACCATCTCGTTTCATCCTTCTTACTGCTATTTTCAAATCCCGATCCGTCATCTCAAACAAACTTGTCTTTTTGCATCCATACATTGTCTCTACTTATTGAAGAAAAATGATTTTACTTATAAAAAATTAAAAGCAATTTGTTTCGTATTATTTTCGGAAAATTTGGCTTTGCCTGGAATACGACTATTTCAGCTATTAGCTGGATATATAGTTTCAAATGTCTCAAAAAGTTTTTCAGAGCCTTTTCAATGGCTCATGGACCAAAATTAGACTTCAAGGTTTGTCCTTCATCCCCAACCTAAGAATACAATAATTCTGAAAAGTTTGGAATTTCACAAATAAAACAATTGTTGGGATCATGTTTATTTTTTTAAAAACTAAAAGAGCGGCTGGAAGACTATAATAGCTCAAACACAAAATACAATTATGAGGTTTTTAAAGAAAATTTCGAAAAATGTACACATTTACGAATAACGTGATCAACACAGTTTTATGTTTCTGGTAAGGTTAAGTGAAGTATGAACAGAAAACACAATGTGAAGTGAATCTTGGGCTTATAACATATAAAAACAGCTTAAACTCAGGGCTTCCGGAAATTCATTTTAAAATTAGTTTTCCTTCGTTGCATATTACCACTGGATGACGGACTGGGATTCACATTTGACGAAAAAGAGCTGGACGACCCTTCCTGGCAATCAGAGGAATTCAGATTGGACGAAAAAGAGCTTGATTGTTCTTCCTGGCGATCTATAACACTTTCAGCAGTCATATCAGAGTCGTTCTTGGCAGTAGCAGCATTCTCCTCATCGGTTCTCCGGATTTCTTCTCGAATCTCCTCTTCTGTTTGCTCTGGTTTATCTGATTTGAATCCACATTTTCCAACTTTTACGACTTCGACTGAAAATCTATTTGAAGAAAAAAAACAAATTGTTTCACTTACTTGGCCAATTAGCATAAGTTGTAGATTGAGAAAGCCAAAGTCCTCTGCCCATCTGCACATCCCAATCTGGAATCGGCATATTGTCTGTCTTCTCATTGACGACGAGCTGTCTCCATTCAATTTGAAACTCATAGTCCCCGATATTCTCTGCCACAGCTTTCAAGTAAGCAGCTCGGCCTCGGCGAAGACGGTTTTCCAGAACTTTCCGATTCATGATGTATAGTGGCCCAAATGCTTCTCGACGCTGCCGTTCGGTTCTAGCTCCAAGCGCCTCGAGCATGTCAGCAAACGTCCAAACGTTCTGGTAGCACTTCCAGGTACAATCAGCGGTACAGGGGCAAATGTTTTCCATCAACTCTTGAACCACTTTTTTGATGAAGACATCACGATCTTCCCTTTTGTGATAGTCCAAAATAACCCGCTTGAGTATGGAGTTGACCATCGCTGCCACAAAATTTATTTTCGACTTCTGTCTCTGCGTCGTATGAAAGGAATTGAGGTTCTTCTTAAGATCATAATTGTGAATCATATCTCCAAATTCGTCCATCAATTCTGAAAATTATTGATATACAGGTGCAATTTGAATTTTGAACTTTGCGCATCCTACCTCTGTAGTACGGTGCGTTCTCAATTGCAATATTAAGGCACTCAAAATCTTTTGCCTTTGGAGCTTGAAGTTTGAAACAGTACTGAAAAAAAATCAAATTGAAAAAGTACATATGCTATGACAGCTACCAAGTCGTCAATGATGTTATTGACATCTTCCATTCGAACTGAGAAAATCAAAACCCCTCGATCGCTGATATAAACCCTATAGCGGTAGTAAATGTTCAAAAAGTCATGAATATTTCTTGTCAGGAGCTTATGAGTGCTTCGGTTAGTCTCCAAACTCAGAGAATCATTGAATCCTGTGAATCCAACAATGGTAGTCGTGTACCAACCAGAACATCGCTTGTCAGGCACGAAAGCTTGACTTTTGACACTGAAAACAAATTATAAAAATCTGAAAAAAAAACGGTAAACATACCGAAAAGGGGCTTCCGTGATTTCTGTGATAAACATGGTGATGGACACGACCAATGACCTGAAAGAACAATGTTCTTAGAAAAAGAAAACTGAACAAAAAAAAATACTAGGCGAGGTCATTTGAAGTAGTTCAGTAGACAATAAATTAGTTGCCTCAGTTTGTCCCGTACTGGGAAAAGTCGAAGATAAGTGAATGCCGTTTCCGTTCAGGCCCCAAGAAGATTTGGGTCTCTAAAGACAAATATGCTTTCTTTTAAAGGAAAAAATGGAGATAACCAAACCAATTAACGATATATCATTTGCGCGTGAACTTGAAGTACAGCAAACCGACTGATAAGTTACGGAAAAATGGGAGGAGCGTTCCTCTTCTCTTCATTTCATTTTTTTTCTCTCTCTACTTCGCCGCCAGTCACATATAGATGATGAAAATGAACAGAACAACCTACCATCTCTCCCCCGTCCATTTTTTTGGTTAGACGAAATGTGAGAAAAGGAAAGATTCAGAGAAAAAGAATGGGCGAGATAGTGAACGCTAGAGAGGTCATTCGAACTTTTTTCGGTGATTTGAAAGGGGGACGAAGAAGGAATGCAATTGACAAATGACTTTGCTTATTGCATTACGGTAAGTGATACCTATAAGGGAACTGATAACAAGTCTATAAGGGAACTGACTACTGTATCTTTAATTCGAAATGAGATTCACTCAATTCCCTTTTACTCAGCTTATGTGCTCTTTAATTTTTGATGGTGTTAAATTTGTATTTCAGTATTTTTTACAGAAATTCTTGCTGACGTCACAATGCTTGCTGCACAACTCCACTGTATACCTGCTGTCTTATCAGCAAACTGCTCCAAAAATCAAACGTGTTGCTATTCGTGCTGGTCAACATGCGGATGCTGGTGCTCTCTGCTCTTCTACTCCTACTAGCAACTTTTAATGTGGCGGACTCTTATAAAATACTGGTTTACAACAATTTGTTTGGACATAGCCATATAAAATTCTTGGCAGCGGTGGCGGATACGTTGACAGAAGCGGGACATGATGTGGTGAGTAGCTAAATAAAACTTTCAAACGGTTCAAATCGTATTTTCAGACAGTCCTAATGCCAGTGATCGATGTGGCTCAGCGAAATCGAACAGTGCTAAAAAATCTGTCAATCAAACAAATTTTTATTGAAGCCGATGATGAAGTTGTAGAGATTTACGGCCAAACTAGCAAATTTCTGGCAAATCTGTGGACTGCAGAAACTAAAAATCCCATTGAGATGTACATGAATCCAGCACCAATAGTTCCACTCTTCGCAAAACAGTGTGATAGTAGGTTTAATGAACTCATTATGCAAAAATGAATCTTATTGTTTGTCTGAAACGTTACTCATAGCTACCGTATTTGCTTCAGTAGAATGGCATTTTTAAACTTCATCTTTGAGCTAATTTATCTCCATTTCTGTGACAGATATCACAAATTGGTCCACTGACAGAATATTTGTAACGTTCAGACAATTATTTTGTCAGTTGACCATTTTTTGATATCTCTTACAATAAATGAGATATGTGAGCTTGAAATTGGCGGTTTGAAGGCCATCCATTAGTGCTTACGGTAACACTGACAAAAATTAATGGGGGTAATCTAAAAAATAGTTAAATAATTTTTGAATAATTAACTTTTTTCATTGCCACATATCGATTATTCCATCTTTCAGAGGTTATGAAGTCCAAAGACATCCTCGAACAGCTCAAAGCTGAAGAATTCGACCTTGCCATTGCCGAACCATTTGACAGCTGCTCATACGGAGTAATCGAATACCTCAAAATCCCAGCCCACGTTTCTGTACTGTCTTGTGCTCGCATGGATCACGCCAGTGACGTCATCGGACAACTGATCGCGCCAAGCTATGTTCCCAGTACACAAAGCGTCTACAGCGATCGAATGACGATGTACGAACGTTTAATGAACTTTCTGCAGTTCCAATACGGCAGAAACTTGTTTGCGACAATCGGTGACATTGAAGCGGCAAATGCGAAAAAACTCCTGGGCATAGAACGAACATGGAGGGTCAGAATATCGGGTTTTCATATCTCTTTCAAACTATTAACGCTTACAGGAAATTCTTCCCGAATCCTCTTTCCTTCTCACCAATCACATTCCGATTCTTGAGTTTCCGGCGCCAACTCTTGATAAGATTATTCCTATCGGAGGATTATCAGTGAACACTGACAAAAAATCAATGAAACTTGAGCATTATTTTGACACTATGGTATCGATGAGAAAGAAAAATGTGATAATTTCGTTTGGATCTGTCATTCAGTCGAAGGATATGCCAGTAGAGCTTAAGTATTCCTTTTGACCTAACAAGGGATCACTGTATCTTTTGAAGTTTTTTCCAGAAAATCGATGGTGGAGATGATGGGTTACATGTCTGATGTAACTTTCATCTGGAAGTATGAAGACCTAGCTGATAAGAAACATTTCTGTGGAGTGCTCAATCTGAATCGCATCGAATGGATCCCTCAAAATGAACTTCTCGCCGATTCGCGCGTTGACGCTTTCATTACCCATGGTGGACTGGCCAGTGTCACTGAATTGGCAATGATGGGCAAACCTGCCGTCGTGGTCTGTAAACCGGAAGTTGTTGTGACCTACAGTAACCAATAATTCAGATTCCAATCTTCGCCGACCAAGGCAGGAATGCAGAAATGTTGAAACGTCATGGCGGAGTTGAAATTTTACAGAAGACAGATTTGAGTAATGCAAAACTTTTGGCAAGGACTTTGAGAAAAGTTATGGAAAATAAAAAGTGATTTTGGGTACAAGGTTAGGGGTCTGAAATGTGTTTGTGCTTTTAGATACCGCCAGAATGCGGAGAAATTGGCTGAACAGATGAACAACATGCCCACAGATCCCAAGAAGACACTTGTCAGTCATGTGGAATTTGCAGCAAAGTGAGTTTTGAATTACGAGGACCCACTCATGCCGTAAACTTTGAGCTCAATTATCCTGATTCCTGTGAAAGACATCAAAAAGTTGTCAAATTGATAGAATGTCAAATTGACATATCATCATGAATAATTCATCAGTTGACAAATTTTAGATATCTTTCACAGGAACTGAGAGAATTGAGCTTAAATTTAAAGGTTTGGTAGAAATTCTAAACTGTGCAATTTTTTTAAATCTTGTAGAATATTAAATTCAATTAAATTAGCAATGTCATCTTAAAATTTTTGTCTCACAAAACTGACCTTGTGCCTTATACACAAGCCAGATATCTGTTTCTAGTGTAATTCGAAAATTTCAACAAAAAATCTAAACTTTTAAATTTTAGATTCGGTAAACTTCCACACATGGACCCATACGGTAGACATCAGAACTTTTTCGAGTACTACCTATTGGATATCATCTCTATTGCTACTGTTGTCATCTTGACCATCACATACACTTTTGTCAAAATCTGTTTCTGCATGTTTAGAAGGTGTTGTGGCAGTCGGAAGGTGAAATTTGAGTGAACTGACGACGCCTATCCGTTTGTTGAGTGTTTGTTTGATCGAATGAATGATTTATTTCTTCACAAATCGGTTTTGATAGGTATTGATAAGTTGGTTATTTGATACAAGTTTAATGTATGACACAAGTAAATGGTTGATAAGGTGTAATGTTTTGGAGAATGGAAAAATAAGATAGCAAGAACTTTGAACTGGACTTTCTTTCATGGCCCTTCTGATTCTTCAACGACATCCTATACCATCAACAGCTTCATTCTTCACGAGGTTGAAAAACCGGGTACGACTTCTTGCCAGGAACACTAGACACCAGTGGCCATTGACTATTGGGCAAAGTCTCACGATAAGGAGTCGTTCTTGATGGCTCGTGAGCTCATCAGAACCGAGGGAATTCTTTGCGGAGGATCCTCTGGATGTGCTGTTCACTATGCTTTGGAGGAGTGCAAATCGTTGAACCTTCCAGAGGATGCTAATGTTGTGGTACTTCTTCCGGATGGAATCAGAAACTATATGTAAGAAATGGGTTTTGTAACTGTTAATATAATATTGTTTTTTTTTTTCAGTACCAAATTCCTCGACGACGAGCCTCTCTTCCTTGACGCTTAAGTATTGGATAGATTCAGAACCTCAAACTTGGACAACACTATTCCGTATTTTCATTCAAAGATATGCATTCTGTGTTAATTTTTTCTATGCATTGTCTACTGTTTTGGCTCACATCTTGATAAAATTTTTCATGGGTACCGAATTCCCATTATTCCAGGTTTTTGTATAATCTTTTCACTGTTGAAATTATCATTGAATTGGGCCAAACCGGTCGAATTAGAGATCTCCAAAGTGTGAATAGCCATAATACTTGGTGTCCGAGAGTTGTGACAGACATGGCGCGTCAGAATGGTTGCGATGTTTGATATATCTTCTTGGAAGGTTGATGTGAGTGACATACAGCTAATAATAAGAGAGGAGAGGAATCAAAAGTGTACGTTCCATCAGTACTATTTGTGTAGTACCTCACAAATTGCCAACAGACACCGAACAGGTCATCTAGAATGCGAATAGACACCATTCTCCGTGTGTCACACGTTCTGACAGCTGTGGGATTGTCTAACGGGAATGACGACTGGACTGGTATCCAATACTGAAGCATCATTATTTCGGAAAGAGCAACATGAGTTCGGAAAAATAAACATTTCGTAAGTTTCGAAAAATGGATAATAAACTGCATTGAAGTTATATGATACATTCAGTGTAATTCAACCAAATTAAGGGAATGTCAAAAAATCAGGAAATCAAAAGGAAGTTTGAAAAACTCAAGTTGAAAATCAGGAAATTAAGGGGAGTTTCAAAAAATAAGTTCAAAAATCAGGAAATTTAAACCAGTTGATAAAATAGGGAGTTGAAAAGATTTTCAAAAGAATCAGATTTAAAAAAAAAACGAAAACAACATCCGAATTGCCACAATTGTGGGTTTTACATGAAAAATGGAGGTAAATCAAAGATTTTCCGGTTCGAATAGTTTGTTTCTCAAAGTGAAATGCACATGTTCTCTGTCAGCGGTGAAATTTGCAATGGTAATCCATGCTTCCACATTGCTGTTTTCTTGATGGAGTGACCAGGAAGAAACATCGAGATTTGGGCTGAAAAGTTCATAATTTCGCTCTTTGTATCTTAAAGGAGGCGAGACAGCAAAAATTTCGGGGGACAGTTCGGGGGACGAAATCGCGCCGCGCTTATGTAGACCATCGGTCGTCAGGCGCCTTCGCGCCTCCGTAGCTCAGCCGGTAGCGGCGCTGTACCCCTGAGCTGCCTGTCATGAGTTCAACCCCTCATGGGTGTTCTCTATGCAAATTATCAGGAAAAATTTTTTTTTTGGTGTCTGGCCTCCTTTAATAAAAAATTTACAGGTTCGGATTCCCATTAACTGCCTCTGGAACAGGGTCAGCATTGATCTCAAGCATTTTTGCTTTAAAGTCTTCGTTTGATCCAGCTCGAACAAATTCTAATCTCAAATATTGGATAGATGATCCAATTTTCCAGCTTTTCAAAGTTGCAATCACTTCCGACTCCTCGAAATATGAGCCTTCAAGAGTCGGCATCTGCTCAAAATATTGATACCTTGTTGAAAATATTGATAGCCAAGGTGAGCGCGATGTCCAAAAGTAAGAAAAGAATATTCGTGACGTGTCCAACGAGAAAAATCAATACTGATGGTCATATTGACAAATAGAGAAGAATGACGAACATTCAGATATTTTTCGAGGTGCGCAAATTTTGACTTCTTGAATTCTAAATATACGCTGATTGCCGATTCGAGAACAGGGTAATTTGCTTTTGAATACGTCAACAGCAAACAAGGTAAGCTCGATGATACTACTTCCCAGACCAATTGAATTTTTATGTTGCCTTTATGAAGTTTCGAGGAGCGTTTTTAAGTTTCACTGAAGCTGAATCTGAAAACAAAAGCTTACTTGTAAAATATTGCAGAGCGATAACTCACAAATCGTAGCACTCCATGAAATCCAGAATTTCTTTTTTAACCAAATCCGGGAAACGGATGAAGGCAACTGGCATTTTTGTTCTTTAATTTAATTTTATTTATTTATTTGAACGAAGGGAAGAAAACCCTAGGAGATATAACAATGACATACATTTGTAGTAAATGGTAGATGGAAAACCGAGTTAGTAAATAGTTTAATTCAAGACAAGAAAATGTTTTAGATCACAGGATAATAGTCGATTTTTGAAAGCCGCTGACCAGGGCTTCACCGGAAACACTTCGGCGGGTAAAGAGAGTCCAACATCTGATTACTCTATTAGAGAGAAATTGAGAAGATATTTTTGTTGAGTTCTTGATGAGTGATTTGAGATAGTATTTGTGACGTCGCAATGATCCAGTATGATTAAATATTTCGAAAATTGGAACCTCCATGATAATTTCATTGGAAACAATAATTTTATACGTGTAGACCAAATCATTATAGAGCCTGCGATACTCCAAGGAACTTAGCTGACATTCTTCCAGTGCTTCAAAGTATGAAGTGTATGCCATCCTGAATGTTTTGTTCTGTAAAAAAATCAAATTATCTAGAGTTAAGTATACATCGAAGGCTTCCGTAGAACGTTGTACCAAATACTGAATTCAAGATCATGATATTGGAAAGAGAAACGTTTAGATTTTTTGAAAATGTAACTCTCAAATAATGGATGATAAAATGTATTGAGGAGGGATGTATTCAAAGTATTCAATGAAATTAAGGTGAGTTAAAAAATCAGCTGAAAGAATCAGAAAATCAAGAGAAAGTTGTAAAAGAATCCCTATTTGAGTAGCACCTAACATATTGCCAATAGACACCGAATAGGTCATCTGAAATGAGAGTCGACACCATTCTCCGTGTGTAATGGTTTATCACATCTGTCGGATTGATACAGTGTGACTAAGGATTGTCTAACGGGAATGGCAACTGGACGACTCTCAAATACTGAATCCAGAATCAGAGTTCAGAACGAAACACTTTTAGTTTTTTTTTTTGAGAACATAAATCTCGAAGAATGGATTGTAAAATTTATTGAAGAGAGATGTATTCAAAGTAAACAAACGAAGTTAAGGGGGATTTAAAAATCTTGTTGGAAAATCCGGAAATTAAAGGAAAATCAGATGAATAATAAGGTTAACAATGAAGACCAACTGTCAAATTGCCAAATTAATAAAGGTCACGTGAAAAATGAAGTGGGAGTATGATTAAAGAAACAATTCGAATACAAACAATCAAAATCAAACTTTTTTTGATGCGCGTATGAATTTTTTAACTTGCATGGTAAAATGCTTAGTATATCTGAATTTCAAATAAGTTCCGATTGTAATCCATAGTTCCGTTCTAGTGTTTTTTTGTCTCACATTCAGCATCCACGAGGAGGAAGTGTAACCCTTCCGTCTGAAAATATTATATTTCTAATTGTATCTCAATCAGACGTTTACCGTTCGGGAGCCTCTTGAACAGGTGCTGCATTCATCTCAACCATTTTTGCTGCAAATTCTTCATTTGACCAAGCTTGGAATTTTAGTTCCAAGGATCGGATTGAAGATTCGGCTTTCCAATTTTTCAATATTTCGAGACGTCAGACAGCGGGAAATGTCCGCCAAGATAAACAAAACGGCATTTATTGAAAACATTGAAGATGTGCCAAACTGAGACCCATTTCGTGTAATCTATTTGAAGTTGCTCGTTTTCGAGACTTCCGGAAAAAGGCGTCACAAAATCGAAATTCTTGAAATCCTTAGTAGGCCTAAACGACATTTGAACATCCTTCTCTTTCCGGAAAGCCGTCAACGTTCGAACGATTGCTTCATTGTTTTTAACACCGCACATAGAACATTTTTCCATCGAATATCCGAGTTGAGCAAGTTTGAGCAGTGGATTCAAAGTGAGAAAAGCCGAATCGAAAGGTGCCGAACAGGAGTAAAAAAGACTGATCGTCACATTGGCGAAAAGAGTAGAATGCCGGACGCTGAGATACTTTTCCAAGTCTTCAAACTTCGAATCCTTGAGTTCCAAGCTGATTTTTAGGTCTTCATGAGGGTGACTCGAACTTGAATAGGTCAATTCCAAATACTTCTTCCTGCTGAACTTCACTTCCATTTGTCCTTTGTGACGTTTGGCTGGTCTTATTGAAAGTGAACGAGACCATTTGGAAGTCTCGCTGAAATTGTATCTGAAAACAAAAGTTCATTATAAAAATTATGCAGAACAAAACTCACAAATCGTAGCACTCCAGAAGGTCTAAAATTTTTTCTTGAACCAGTTCCGGAAAACGGATGAAGTCGATTGGCATTTTAGTCTGTAAAAGAAACAAATAGATGAAAATTATGTTCATTGAAACTGTTCATTGAAACTGTAAATGAAAGCAGAGAGACATGTAAATGGTTCGTAGAAAAAATATCTTTTTGCATTGACGCAATTGTTCGTGGTGGTGTTTACAGAAATTTTGTCATCATGGGTTAGACGGCATTTTGCGTGTGTAGGAAAAACGGGAGAGACGGATGAGTCACTAGCACAATTCTATGTTTTGTTTTTCAAAAAAAAAAAACAATATGTGCTAAAATAGTAAATTTCGAGCATTCTTCTTGTATTGCGCTCCCAGGCAGATAACAGACAGAGAGATAGTCACTCATCAGCTACAAACCAATCTCGATTATTCTAATCTGGCATCCCAATGTTACTATTAGAGTAGTACCAATTTGCTAATAGACACCAAGTAGGCCATTTAGAATGAGAGAAGACATCATTCTCCGTGTGTTATTGTTTATGACAGCTGTGGATTGATACAGTATGACTAAGGAATGTCTAACGGCAATGACAACTGTAATGGTATCAAATACCGAGATAAAGGTTTAGAATTTTTTAAAAACATAAATCTCAAGAAAATAAATAAAAACGTGTATTGAAGTTAGATATATTCAGTCTAATGCAACAAAATAAAGGGAATATCCACAAATTCGGAAATCGGGAGAATTTTTAAAAAATTTGGTTAAAAACTCGGAAAGGAAAAAGGAATTTAAAAAGTAAGGTCAAAAAAATCAGGGACAACCGTCAAATTGCCAAAACTATGTTTACATTAAATGAGGAGGCGGAGTATAAATGTAAAAGCAATTCGAGTACAAAAACCAAAACCCCAATAAAACGGGTGAAGTCGATTATGAAAATTATGTCGATTCAAACGGAAAATGAAAATAGAGAGACATCTAAATGGTTCGTAGAAAAAATATCTTTTTGAATTGAAGCAATTGTTCGTGGTGGTGTTTGCAGAAATTTTGTCATCAGGGGTTAGACGGCATTGTGCGTGTGTAGAAAAACACGGGAGAAACGGGTGAGTCACTACCACAATCCCAGGCAGACAACAGACAGAGAGATAGTCACTCATCAGCTACAAACCAATCTCGATTATTCTAATATGGCATCCCAATGTTTCTATCTATCTTAGTTTAGTGTTTCTCAATACGTTCCATCAGGACTGTTAGAGCAGTACCTAACAAATTGCCAATAGACACTGAATCGGTTATCTGGAGTAAGAGTAGACACCATTCTCCGTGTTTCATGGTTTATGACAGCTGTGGGATTGAAACAGTGTGACTACTAAGGGAATGTCGTTCAGAAAGCTCTTTAGAATGTTCTCTAAATTGGCTTATTTTGAAAACATGAATCTCAAAAAATAGATAATAACGTGTATTGAAAATAGATATATTCAGTGTAATACAACAAAATTAAGGGAATGTCAAGAAGTCAGGAAATCAAGGGGAAGTTTGAAAAAAAAAATAGGAAAAAAAATCGGAAATTAAAAGGAGTTCAAAAAAATGAAGTTGAAAATTCAAGAAGTTAGAGGGAGTTTTAAAAACTCAGATAAAAATTAGGAAATTGAGGGGAGTAGAAAAAAACGGCTCGAAAAAATCAGTAAATTAAAGGGGAGTTTTGTACAATCATGTTAAAAAATTAGAAAATTGGAGGGAATTTAAAAATTCAGGTCAAAAAATCAGGAACAACTGTTAAATTGCTAAAATGATTGGTTTTACATGAAATGTGGGGGATGAAAAGAAAAAAATTCGAGTACAAAAAACCAAAATCAAAGATTTTCCGGTTGAAGTTTGTTTATCATTACGAATCCCACATGATCTCTGTTCTGAGGATAACTTGAAATGGTGATCCATACTTCCACATCGCTGTTGTCTTGATGGAGTGACCAGGAAGAGGAAGCGAAAAAATTTTGTCTGGAAAATACATAAATTTTTCTTTATATCTTAAATTGAAATTTACATGTTGGGATCCTCATTGACTGCCTCTGGAACAGGTTCAGCGTTGATCTCAAGCATTTTTGCTTCAAAGTCTTCGTTTGATCCAGCTCGAACAAATTCTAATCTCAAATATTGGATAGATGATCCAATTTTCCAGCTTTTCAAAATTTCGATGACCTCCGACTCCTCGAAATATGAGTCCGAAAGACTGACATCACGGCATCTGTTGAAAACATTTATAACATGCCAAGCTGAGACCCATTTAGAAGAATAAATCTCGAGCTTCTCGTTTTCCAAGCTTTCGGTGAATGGCGTCTTGAAATCAAAACTTTCTTTGAAATCGTTAGTTGGGTGACACATGAGCCTAAGGTTCTTTGCTTTTTTGAGTGACAACAACGTTCGGACGATCAATTCATTATCTGAAACAGAATTGATAACACATTCTTCCATCAAATAGTCAAGTTGAGTAAGTTGTTCAAGAGCAAGAAAAGCAGATTCGAGAGGCGCATGACAATAGAAATCCATACTGATGGACATGTTGACAAATAGAGAGCAATGACGAACATTCAAATACTTTTCAAGGTGCTCAAATTTCGAATCCTTGAACTCCAAGCGGATGGGCAACTCGGGGACAGAGTGACTTGTACTTAAATACGTCAAATCTAAATAGGGCGAATCGGGTGATGTTTCTCTTCCAGTGGCGTACAAAATTTTCATGTTTCCTTCATGAAGCTTGGCTGATTGTTGTGACATTGAACGGGAGCGTTTTGAAGTCTCACTGAAGCTGAATCTGAAAACAAAAGTTCATTTTTTTTTATTTTGCAGAGCGAAAACTCACAAATCGTAGCAATTCATTAGATCCAGAATTTTTTTTTGAACCAAATCCGGAAAACGGGTGAAGGCGACTGGCATTCTTGTTCTGTAAAAAGTCAAATTATCTAAATTTAAGTATTCATCGAAGGCTGTAGTAGAACTTGAGAAGAAAATAAGAACGATAATCACGCTGGTCTGACTGAGAACGAATGCAGAGAGTGAAAGAGGTGGTTCGTAGACAGCTATTGACTTTTCGTGCAGAGGGTGGGGGACGCAGACGGACCCTTGTTCGAATTTAGGTGAGAAAGACGTTATTCGCAATGCGCGTTATTAGAAATAAGAGGAAGAGGCGGAGTGGTAGGGGGTAGGGGTTACAGACAGACCCTTGTCCTGATTTAGGTGGGAAAGACGACGATGCGCGTTATTGAGAATAGAGGGAAGTGGCGGAGTGGTAACTAGGCAACGACGAACTACTATTCACGTCTCCAGCGGGTTATCCAATACCACGCAAGTTTGTGGAACAAAAATAACGATCTTTAGAGAAATTTGGTACCGTAAATCTTGGTCGTAACAATGAAAGCGAAGTGCATCGAGAGTGTATTGTGCTCCCAGGAAGACAACGGGCAAAGAGACACTCACTCATCAGCTATAAACCAATCTCAATTATCTACATCTGGCACTCCAATACCTCTATATATCTTATGTTAGTTCAGTGTTTCTCATGATTATTCAAGTAGTAATACAAATTGCTAGAAGACACTAATAGGTAGTACGCGAAGTTACTATTACACACTAAGAGACGCAGAGAGTGCAACAGAAAAACGCGATGCACTCACTCAATAGACACAAAAGAAACCTAAGCACTCAAACCCAATGTAACCTAAAACACGCAGAGAAAGAAACTAGAATCTCACTAGAAACTTACTACAACGCGCACTCAAAAAGACCTTTTGTAACCTGTAAAACCTGAAAGACACTCAAAACTCAAAACTCTAGGAAACCAATATTTATTGATTTTACTCAATAAAACTCTTAAAACCTTTGTAACAATGAGCAACACTTTAACGGGTCGTCACCAATCGTGAGCGAACACCTGCGAAAACTGAAGAAAACATGATAATTGCCGAGAGAGAGAGAGAAGAGAGACGCGTTTTGGCGCGCACACAGTTTCGCGCGCGGATACTGTAGTCAGCACCTCTTGCACGTGTGAGCGGGGGAGATTTCTCTCCTTTAGACTTGGAAAGAGGAATTTAAAAGAGAAAACACGGTAGAATACCGTACTAGGTCATCTAGAGTGAGGACAAACACCATTCTCCATGTGTCATGGTTTATGACAGCTGTCGGATTGATACAGTATCAAATACTGAATCCAGCGTTATGAGTTTGAAAAGAGAAACATTTTGTAAATTCCGAAAAATAGATAATAAAGTGTATTGAAATTAGTGTATTGAAGTCAGTGTAAACCAATAAAATTAAGGGAATGTCAAAAAATCAGGAAATCAAGGGGAAGTTTGAAAAAATCAGGTTAAAAAATTCGGAAATCAAGGGGGAGGGGGTGGGGGGTTCAAGCTGAAAAATCATGTAGCTAGAGAGGTTTAAAAAATCGAACATCCGGAACAACAGGAACAACTGTGAATTTGCCAAAATTATGAGTTTTACATGAAATATGGGAGGAGGGGCTCAAAAAATAAGGATAATTGGAATACAAACTATTAAACGGGAATATTATCTTCCAATAAAAGTTTGGTTTCCTTTTTCATCGTGAAAAACATCTTTTCTCTATTGTGTTGAGGCTGTTCGATGGAGATCAAAACTTGGACATTGGTGTTCTCTTGTTGGAGTAACCACGAAGAGCGAACGGGAGGGATTGGTCTGGAAATACATATATTTGTTTTTTGTATCTTGAAAAAAATTACATGTTGGGATCCTCATTGACTGCCTCTGGAACAGGTTTCGCGTTGATCTCAAGCATTTTTGCTCCAAAGTCTTCGTTCGATCCAGCTGGAACAAATGCTAATCTCAAATATTTTATAGATGAACCAATTCTCCAGCTTTTCAAAATTTTGATGACCTCCGACTCCTCGAAATATGAGTCGAAAAGAGTGATTTCACAGCACATGTTGAAGACATTGATCACATGCCATGCTGAAACCCATTTCGAAGACAAAATCAGGAGTTTTTCGTTTTCCAAACTTCCGGTGAATGGCGTCTTGAAGTCGAAAGAATCCTTGAAATCCTCAGTTGGTTCACAATTGAGATAAAGATTCTTTGCTTTTTTGAGAATCATCAACGTTCGGACGATCGCTTCGTTATCTGGAGCAGACTGGATATCACATTCTTCCATTGCGTAGCCAAGTTGAGCGAGATGTTCAAGAGTAAGAAAAGCAGTTTCGAAAGGTGGTGCACAATAGAAAACCATACTGATGGTCATGTTGACAAAAAGAGAAGAATGACAAACACTCAGATATTTTTCCAGGTGCTCAAATTTTGAATCCTTGAACTTTAAATATAGGCTGGTTGGCAGTTCGTGAGTAGAGTGACTTGTACTTGAATACGTCAACTTCAAATAAGGAAAACGTAATGATGCTTCTGTTAAAACGCCGAACATCATTTCCATGTTTCCTTTATGAAGCTTAGCTGATCGTTGTGAAAGAGAACGAGAGCGTTTTGAAGTCTCACTGAAGCTGAATCTGAAAACAAAGGCTCACTTGAAAACTTTTGCAGAGCGAGAACTCACAAATCGTAGCAATTCATTAGATCCAGAATTTCTTTTTTAACTAAATCCGGAAAACGAGTAAAGGCAACCGGCATTCTTGTCCTGCAAAAAAATATCTAAAGTTAAGCATACATCGAAGGGTTTTGTAGAACGTGTAAAGAAGACAAGAATGAAAATGTCGTTGGTCTAATCTGAGAATGAAAACGGAGAGTTAAAGAGGTGGTTAGTAGATAAAAATTGATTTCCGTTTAAGGGTGGGGGCGGGGTGGAATATCGGGATACCTGAAGGGAGGAGGGTGGACAATCGTGGAATGGAGGCCTTTTCCGGATTTAGGTGGGAATGACGACAATGTGTCGCGTTATTAGAAATAGAGGAAATAGGCGGAGTGGTTACTAAGCAACGACGAAATACTATTCCCGTCTCCACTGCACTCGCTTGTGGAAAAGAGAAAGGGGCGAGAAATCTGATGGCATTGTGATAGAGATTATTTGGGCAAATGTGTGTCTGGAAAGTTTAGGTACCGTAAATGGTGATTGTAACCATGCATGTCGCGGGCCGGTTGAGGAATATTCACTGGCCCGGGTTTTTGAGGCAAAAATTTTTAAGAGTCAAATTTTTAAGAGTTTTGAGAGAAAACTGGATTTTTGGAAACATTTTATTAAAATTGCTTTGTTTTCAGGTTTAAGAAGGGTCATGGGATAAATTTCGTGCTTTAAAATGATTATTTCGACAAAAATGTATCAAAAGTTTACAGCAAATGTTTTGAAATATTCGGAATCCGGGCCGGGATAAGTTTTCTCCAGCCGGGCCCGGCCCGGCCAGTTGGAGGAGTTTGAAAAATCGAATGAAAAAATCAGAAACAACTGCGAATTTGCCAAATTATGAGTTTTACATGAAATATGGGGGTGGAGCTCAAAAAACCGAAACAATGTAAATCTAAACAATTAGACAGGAACATTTTCTTCCGATGCAAGTTTGAATTCCTCTTTCATCGTGAAAAACATTTCTCCACTATTGTGTTGAGTCTGTTCGATGGAGATCAAAACTTCGGCGTCGGTGTTCTCTTGTCGGAGCAGCCAGGAAAAAAGAGCAAAAGGACTGTAAAATACATAACTTCGTTTTTTGTATCTTAATAACAAATATACATGTTGACATCCCCATTGACTGCCTCTGGAACAGGTTCAGCGTGGATCTCTAGCATTTTTGCTCCGAAGTCTTCGTCCGATCCAGCTCGAATGTAAACCCAGATATCGGATAGTTTTCCAGCTTTTCAGAATTTCGATAACTTCCGACTATATGAATCCAAAAGAATGATTTCACGGCATCTGTTGAAAACATTGATCACATGCCAGGCTGAGACCCATTTGGAAGATAATATCTGGAGTATTTCGTTTTCCAAACTTTCAGAGAAAGGCGTCTTGAAGTCGAAAATATTCTTGAAATTCTCCGTTGGTTGACAGTGGAGCTTGAGATGCCTTGCTTTTTTGAGTGGCACGTTCGGACGATCGCTTCATTATCTGGAACACAAGTGACAGCATAAATTTTGCAGAACGACATCTCACAAATCGTAGCACTCCATAATTTCTTTTTTAACCACACCCGGAAACCGGGTGAAAGCAAGTGGCATTCTTGTTCTGTAAAAAAAATTCAAAAGTCATGTGCACATCAAAGGGTTTCTTAGAATGTGTGAAGAGAACAAGAATGGTAATCACGTTGGTGTAAAAGGAGAATGAAAACAGAGAGTGAAAGAGACGAATTTTGGAATTTAGAAAGGGTGGAATTTCGTGGAAGGGAGGCCTTATCCGGATTTAAATGGGGAAAAACGACAATGTGCGTTATTAAAAATAGAGGGAATAGGCGGAGTGGTAACTAAGAAACGACGAACTACTATTCTCTTCTCCAAAACGTTTACGAGCACTACACACGTTTATGGAAAAGAGAAAGGGGCGAGAAATCTCGATAGCATTGTGATAGAGAATATTTGGGCAAATGTGCGTCCAAAAAGTCCAGGAAGCGTGAATGTTGGTTGTAACCACTGCAGCAGAACATTATTTTCATAATTTGAGAAAGAAGCTGAGGTGAATAGAGATAAGTAAAGATTGCTGCTATCGTTTTTTTTAAATTATTTGCTTTTTTTGAATTAACTAGCATCTGATACTCTAGGAACCGGTGCTTTTAGATAAGATCAAATTGGAATCTATCAGTCAGGTGGTCACTTTTGAGTACACTCAATTTTTGACTTCATACGTGAGACGGAAATTGGAAAATTGAGCTTATATTGTGCGTTTAATAAGTTTGGAGCCCCGTATATTATACACTGTAAATACAGTTCAATTTCAAATGTGAAATAACCCTAGAACAAAATTTTTTTCCTCCATTTTTGGTGTCTCCGCAAAAGACATCTTTTCAGGCGTGCAATAAGTTTTGAACCCCTTTAGACTTTTGAAATTTTGAATTTTTTTGGCCGATTTTTGGTTTCTAAACTGAAAATTACTTAACTTTTAGTTTTTTTTTCCGTACGATTTCATAAGTATTTCAAAGAATTATCATATTTTGTCGACTTTTGAAATCAAAGATTTCTAAAGTCGATGGTGGTGTCACTGGTCGGTGTCACAGTTTCGATGGAAAAGATAGCGTCTGGTTCAGTATCTGCGCCCAACTATGCAAATCAAAGATTTGATCTCTGTAAACTATTTGGTGCAAAAGAATTGGTTCCATACCGTGAAACCTATCATTGAGAGTCCTCCACACTGCCAAGTTTAAGCTCAATTATCTCAATTACCAAGAAAGGTAACAAAAATGTATCAACTGATAAAATGTTAGTGATGTTATGATAAACAGTTCATCAGTTGACTACTTTTTCATATTTTCAATAGGAACCGAAAGAAATTGGCTCAAAATTTGAAGTGAGGGGCCCTTCTATGACATGTTTTACGGTATTTAAGATTAATGAAAGTACCGAGTGTGTTCTTTGAAAATATTTTCTGGCTTCATAACTATTATCACTCATTTCAGTCATGCTTCCCTGAAACGATTAGCGATAGATTTCTTATTATTTGGAGGCTTTATTTGATAAGAGTTACTGTACAGGAGAATTCATTAAAATATACGTTTGGGGTCATAAAGTCAAGCAGAAAGTCGGCTCATAAAAACTTTGAAAAAAAGAAGGTGAAATTGTGAAACGAGGAAAAGCTGATGTTTAGGAAAGTGGTGAAAAAATGCAAGTTGAGGACCATTACAAGAATAATTACGGCATGGGGTTTTGGGGTGAGAAGGAGAGACATGGTTTAGGTTACAGGGGGGTGGTTCATATAAACAATTGCAAAAAATCCGAATTGAGAACATGGTAAGAGCTGATATCTGGGAAAACATACAACAGTGAAGAGAGGAAATCGAGGCATACAAAAATATACAAAACTGAAGTTTCATCAAAAGAGGGCTAACGTCGAGATGATCCATAAAAGGGGAGTTATTTTGATTGAATGAATTCAAAAAAAAACACAAGAAATTGCCTGCTCGAGCATTCTTAGTACTGCAACAACGGTGAATCACAATCGAGGACCAACGTGCCGTGAGCTTCGTTGTCCTGGTACGCAATAACAGCTCGAACTCCGGTATTGTCTTGTGCGATCACGAAACAGTTTGGCAGCATCGCTGGAACCCTGAAACAACTTTTTTGGTTGAGGAGTCTGAAAATATCGACAAGAAAACTCACATGAACTGATAAGGAAATGGACGAAATCCATCGAAAAAATAATCGCCCTCGAGTTCTCTGAAAATCTGTGCTCCGTACCACCTCTGACCGACGTTCAAGCGCAATTTTCGGATTGAAGATCCCGTTTTCCAATGTTTCAAAATGCGAATCACGTCCAATTGATCAAAGCTGCTGTTATGGAGCAAGAGTTCCTTGCATTTTTTGAAGTTTTTCATTATAATTTCCGGTGTGACCCACTTTGACCAAAAAAGTTTCCAATTTTTGACTTCCGAGGACTTTGTTGGCCAGAGATCTCCCGATTTCATCCCGAAACCCGTAGATTGTTGGTCGGCACATCAGACTCAATGAAGTTGTTTCACTGCACAATGAAATTGATTTCATAATTAGCTGATTACCAGTATATTCTTCCAAGATCAGGTTCGTTACTGGAACCTTTGACAGGTGCACAATGTCAAGGATAGCGGCAACAAAATTGGAGCTTCCGAGATGTTTGAATGAAATTGCAATCTTCAGATTCCCAGTAAATAGAGGAAAGTACTGTTTGATGTAATCTTTGAATTTCTCCAGTTGTGATTCCTCGAACTCGGGGGCCGGGGGGGGGGGGGGGGGGTCGAAGAGCAAGTCTCGAAACCTGTCGCGATCTTTTTGATAATATTCCCAAATTGAGACTGAAAAAAGATCCAATACTTATAAATAAGTGATATATAAGAACTTACAGATCAGCGAGATGCAATTCGCCAGCAATTCTGTCAATTACAGAAACAGGAAAACCAAAGAAATCTATAGACATTGTGGATGCCTGAACTAAATTGAATAAGAGCTGCCAAAACGTGGTTGTCAGGAAATGGGCGGAGCCAATCATATCTACGCGAGAGATCAAGAAGTTATGCTCAAAAAGATTTAGCGCATCAGATAAGAAATGCACATCTGGCGGAAGGTGTCACTGCTCAATAACAATCTTTTTGTCTTGAAAGCTCAGATAAATATTGTATGTGTTAGGGCGGTGCACCGCTTCTCATGTGCGAAGTTACGGAGAGATGTGAGACGATAAGCACAGCAGGATAAAAGCTCAAAATAGATTCAAGATAAGAAGTGCACATCTGCTGGAAGGTGTCACCGGTCGATAACAATCTGTTTGTGCAGGAAGCTCGGGAAAGCGCTTTTTTTAATAGGTATCCAATGACAGTAGATTAAATAAGTCCTGTATGTGTTAGGGCGGTGCACCGCTTCTCATACACAAAGTTACGCACGTTAGAGATCAAATGTTCACACCAGGAGAAGAAGCAGGTAGTGGTTAGCGGCTGACTGTTTCTTGCGCAAAGCAATAAGTAAAACACACGCCATTGACAAATTAGGAGAACCCACAGGAATTCCTATGGAATAGACAGCGTTTAGCTCCATGTCTGCGTTCAATGGTTCTAGTCGAAAGATTCAAGACCTGTTATCAGAAAAGAGCATAATTCTAGGGCAGAGATAGAACCAACTAAGTTAGTATGACAGCAGATGAAAATCTGCGTTTTGATTTTTCAAAACGTAATCTTCCTTGCTTCAAAATACCGTATTTCCTATAATAGAAGCCCACTCAAATTATCAACTTTGAGCTCTCATATCTCAATTCCGGAGAAAGATATCAAACATTTGCCAAATAATGACATTATGATAATATCATGGTATATAATTTATCAGTCTTCAAAATGTTGATATCTTCTACAGAAATTGAGATATTTGAGCTCAAAGTTGACAATGTTTCTAAATTTGAAAAAACTCCGTGTACTGTTTTAAAGAATACCGGTAGTCAAAATCTTATAGACCTTGCACCAGAAGGAAAAAAATGAGCGAAATGCGATTTATTGAATAATCATCCAAAAAATTAATTACTTTCCATCAAAGAAGGTGTTTCCTCCTTGGCAGTTTCTGTTGGTGTTGTTGAAGCAACAGACGCAGGTTCTCTGGTCGTTGGAGATGAATCCAGCAGCGTTGTTCTAAACTTATCAAATTTTACCACAAAATATCAAAATGTCCCACCACAGAAAGTCCCTCTTGAAGAGCTCTAGCCTCGCAACATCCTGAGCATCTGGTTGGGCTGGTGTTCTCCGAGCAAGTAGCAGTTCCAGGCTGGCCATCAATGATAGCGCTGACGACGGTGCGGCGGGAGCAAGCTACAAATTTAGATGTTTTGGAAATAAAAAGAAAATAAAACTTACAGAATCCGCAGTTCAAGCGGTTTTGTGAGTAGGCAACAGCGACGAGGGCCAAAAGTACAAGAAGAGAACGCATTTTGTGGTCGTTTGTAAAGATATGAAGGTCGGGCGATCTTTTTATAAGCACTTTTTGTTGTATGTATGATGTGAAAATTTAATCGAAAGTTGTGAATCATTTTGTTGAAAAAGCATTTTTTTTTTTTGGATTTTATTCCTTTTTTTCTGATACATGGTTTTTTGATCGGCTCGATTTATGGGAAGATGAAAGAGCGTTGTTTCAAGTGTTAATATTGTAGCTAGGCAAGATTTGGAGATCAAAAGATATAATATAAAATTTAATTAATATATTCTTTATATATAAAACGCTAGACGCGTCTTGTCCGTTCCGATATCAGTCTGTCCGGCTTTGGGTTTTAAAATGAAAGGATGTTCTACAGTGTGGGAAAGAAAAATCGAAAAGTGAGGAGTGGAGCGACGAGCAATTAGCGCCGGAGGCGCGGCAAACAGAAGGCTGGTGATTGTATATTCTCGTTACGTTTTCAATTTTTTTTAAATCCTGAAATTCAACAAAAAGTTGAAAATTTGGAAATTATCGGAATTTCTAAAAATCCTAGAGAATCAGAATTTACCAAATAATTTGAAAAAAAAAATAAAAGAAAATACAAGAATTTATGAGAATCTGAACTTCCTTAAAATAGCTAATTTGAGGAATATAATCGTTTTAAATAACCTTCAATTTTTTCGGAACTATTTTTCAGAATTTAAATTTTGACAGGTCATGCCAATGCATTTCACAACAGAGTTGAACATTTCAAATGACATAGTTTTTCAAACATTGTTACTCTGAAACAAAACCTGAAAACGCTACTCACTTTTTTTGGTCCATAATTCCATACGGTATGATATACCGTATTTGCTGTTTCAGAAGCCTGTTATAAACGTTCACGTTGAACTCAATTTTCTCGGTTATTTTGAAAGATTCCGAAAAGTGGTCAACTGATGAAATGTTCATCATAATATCGTTAACATTTTAGCTGTTTATCACTTTTTGATATCTTTAATGGCAACCGAGATAATTGTGCTGAAATTTAAGTATAGTGGGCTTCAATTGTCAATATTTAATGGTTTTCCAGACGACAAATTACAATCGCAATGTTTTATTGACAAGAACCATGATAACTTGTTTTTCAGGAATACAGTATTATTGAAAACAGATTTTTCGGGAACCAAATCTTAATTATTTGTGCTCGATACAGGCAAGAAAGCTATCAGATAAACCAATAATCATAATTAAAAGAGTCTATACAGAACAGACAAGGGAAGAAGCTCGGAGCCAAGCAAGAAGAACTGAAACACAAGGACTCGTTGGGGAAAAAAAGCGGGGTGGGATGGAAAGGAATAGTTTTCGAAAAACCAGTAAAGACCAAAATATAAGATATGAGTTCAGAAAAAAAGAACAGTGGAAACTTCATAAATAGGAGGAGACAGATATTTTCAGGTAGAGAGAACAGTTATTTTGGCGCAAATTTCTTTTCAAAATGGAGCAACTTGTCCTTAACTGAATTGGTTGGTGGAATGTTGACCATTTGCTTTACACGTTTTCCATCATCATCGTATCCATCGCTGACTCGTCGTGTCAGTTTTGCTTTTAGCGCTTCAAACGAGAAGTCTTCTTTCGGTTGGTACTCCACATCAGTGAATAGAGATGTTTTCCGATGTAAAGAGACATCATCATGGCTGCTCTTTTTGGCACTTTGCTCCAATTGTCTTTTATGCAAACTACTCTCGGATTTCATTTTCATTAGACCGTTTCCAAATAGTGGTGGTGGTTTTAGTTGAGTTGGAGACTTCTCAACATCGCCGGCGAAGCGAACCTGGAAGAAATAGTTGAAACTACCTAAACTTGTTAGTTGCTAACCTTTTTTCTCTCTTCTGAACTATCTCTGGTGCTAATACTAGATGGATGCGATCTGACACTCGACTTAACTGACTGTTCATCGGTCAGGTGAATTCGCACGTTCTTGTTGGATGATGTATCGCTGCTAGAGTCTGGGGAGAGTTTCATCTGAAAATTGAATTTCAGCGATTTAAAAATATGCGTTGTTGGTGAATTACCGTTGTGGTCTCCTTGGTCTTCAAACATCCCACTTTGCCATCTTTAGAGACTTCCAGATGGTTGGTAGTCTGGAAGTTATTTTTTAATGGTTTTACCAGTCAATTATTATCCTTGTCAGAGAAAAAAAAGGTTGAGTCGAAGTGTATGCGATGTTTGTAAACAAATATCTGAAAGCGTAAACAACCGGAAACAGTTGAAACGAGTGCGACAGTAACCCGTCGGGAAAATATTAAATTTACTCATTTTTTAGCTTTTCGCATATTTTGCAGCAAATTTCGTCGAATTTATTTTAAAATACCGCAAAAAACAATGAGAAACAAACCATATTCGACGAAATTTGCTGCAAAATATGAGAAAAACTAAAAAATAGGTAAATTTAACATTTTCCCGCCGGGTTACTGTCGCACTCGTTTCAACTGTTTCCGGTTGTTTACGCTTTCAGATATTTGTTTACAAACATTGCATACACTTCGACTCAACCTTTTTTTTCTCTGACAAGGATAATAGATATACAAAAAATGTGTTTCAGTTGATTTTTGGTCATTTTGACTATTTTCAGAAGTCTATAGCACGGCTGTCAGTTTTTTAATCACTTTGAAAACTTTTAAAGAATTAAAACAGGTCTAAATTGGAACTTTGCATTCACAAAATTTTTTTTTGATATTTTTAGCTTTTCAGCTACCGTAAAACCTGTATTAAAAGGGCTCCTCTAATAGTTTCTCTTGAAATGCGCTGTTTGAAATTGAACATTTTGTACTTTTTCAGTGTGAAATGCTTCGAAAATTCCAAAATATCACAGAAGATGATAGGGCCTTCCAGGTCCGTCTTTTCTTATACAAGTTTTACGGTTTTTGTCAATTTTTTCAAAGGCACATTTTTCCCGAGTTCAGTAAAAGAATCGGCCAAAAAGGAATGTTTTTCAGAAATCAGCAAATATCTGTAAAACTAGAAAGTTTTAAAAAATTATGTGAATACAAACTTTTGAATCTATGTAAAGATTTCCATCTAGGCCTGTTTTAAACCTTTGAAAACTTTCAAAGTGATTGAATAATTGACAGCCAAAGTACAGACTCACGGAAAATGGTCAAAAAATGCTGAAAATCACGGTACTGTATAATGAATTTACCTCTCCAGTCACTTTAGCTGTTGTCTTTTTCAACGAGGATTTTTTTGGACAAATTGTTTCCTCTCCTTTGACCTCCACTTTATTCACAATTGTCTTGGTACCAGTAACCTTCGCTTCTTTTGAAGGATCACCATTAACCTGGAAAATCAGAAAATATGTTTCAAAAATCCCTACCAAAACATACTTTCAACGATTGTTGAACGGAAACCTGAGCTACATCTTTGTTCTTCACAATGCTACTTTTCTTGACAACTTTTTCTTGGTCATTTCCTTCTGTCATTTTGTGATCCTTTTCGGATACAGACTTCTCGGCACTCTGTTTCAACACATTTTTCTTAACAGTGAGCTTTGGTTCAGGTTTGGTGCTATCCTCTTCCTTTTTAGTGGTCACCTGGAATATTTAAATTTTAAAAATCATCATTTTCTCTGATTTCACTTTCTTACCTGACTAATTTTGACGTCATCCTTCTGTGAATTCTTTTTCTGCGACGACTCGACACTTTTGCCATCTGATGTGTGCTCGACTTTTTTCTCCGAACTTTTTGTAGTTCGCTTGACGCTGGTTGTAGTTTGAACAGTTGTTGTCGCCTGCTTCTCTGACGTCATCACAATTTTTGTTGACTTTTTGTCGTCTGGAAATATTACTTTTGTTTTTTCCTAAATTTTTATTTTTCACCTTTCACCGTACCATCGTCTGGAATGAGCTTCACAATCTTTGATGTTTTCTTAACAGGTTTTGTCTCAAAGCTGACCACGTCGGTTTTCAATTTCTAAAAATGTACAAAAATAATAACTTAATTTCTAAATTTAAAATAGAATACCGGCAATTTTGCATTATCCTCATGAACCTGAACCGGGTGATGCTCATCGACGCTTTTCTCAGTTTTCAAACTCTGGAAAACGATACAATTGTAAAGTTTTTGAAAACTAAAAGAACTGATACCTTCTTCTTGGTCAGAATTTTTTCGGATTTTACGACTTCACCATTCGGATGAACAGTTTCAACCACAGAATGCTTGACTGATGTGTCAACAGACTTGGAGAGAGTGGTTGGGGTCGGTGCCGCATTGAGAACGTCATCAAGGGATTTATCGCGTTTTCGGAGAGCGCCCTGAAAAAGATGATGCGTCTATTTTCTTCATTTTTTGTACAAACGTGATCTACCACCTATAAAAACAAATTTGATCTACCACGAAATGTTTGAAAATAGGACAAAAATTGATCTACAAAACAATTTACCCAATCCCTAATTCGATATATTCAAAAATTTTGGGATTCGCATATAAATTTAATTTTTGTAGATTGCAACTAGTTATTGAATTTCAAATTGCGTGACAATGGTGCGCACTGGAATAGACAATGAGTATTTTTTCTATTTTTATAATTTAATACCACCAACCCACAGGAAGAACCAAATTTGATCTACCATAAAATTTTCAAGCTTGGCAGGTTTAATTGAGTTTCGCTGAATTAAAATTCTTTTTCAGTATCGAACAGGACCGGCAAACAGACGGGTGCATACAGTACTGATTTGTAGATTTTCGACCGTTTGATCAATTTCAGGAGCCTGGAGCTCGGCTGTCAAAATTTCGATCACTTTGAAAACTTTGGATGGTGTAGAACCCACCTAGGCTGGAACCTTTGCATTCGCAGCATTTTTCGAAAAATTGTAGATTTTCAGCTATTTGCCGATTTCAGAAAGACACCATTTTTTGGTCTTTCTTTGTATTGGAAGCGTGAAAAAAGGTGCTTTTTAGATATTAGGAAATAACAAAAAAACAAGGGATTTTAAAAGATTCTGTAAACGAAAAAGTTTTCATTCTAGGCCTGTTTCACACCCTTAAAATTTTCAAACTGATCGGAAACTTGCAAGCCGAGCTAATGACTTCTGCAATTAATGAAAATGACCAAACATCAACTAAAAATATGTTTTGTACATCGTTGAACGGTACTGTATAGAAATTTTTGAGGTTAGCTGGTCTTTTTAACTTCATAAAAGTTATAATTAAGTCTCGAATTTTTAATGTAGTGATAATAGAGTAGTGGAAGACAGAGAATTTTTTTTTAATTCGAAATGTATTGAAAAATATTAAAATTTTTTATATATTTCTTTTTAATCCAAAACCTCCACATACCTGTCTGGCTGGCTTCTTAGTTTCCGGAGCGGTCTCCTCTGCTGCTGGCACCTTGATCTTCACCTCCTTCTTTTCAGCAGCAATAACTTTCGGTGATGCATCAAAGACAGGTAGTGGCTTGAGTGGTGCAACAGGTACAGGATTCTCACTTTCCCGTTTGGAACTGAGACTTCTACGTTTTTCAGCAACATCGATTGTTCCGTTGAGTAGTTTCGGCTTCACTTCTTTTTCAGCCACTGATTTAACCTCTTTTGGCTTCTCCAATTCCGCTGTCACCGTTGTCACCTTCTTCTTCTTTTTGACAACTTTCTCTCCATTGGTTTCAGGTTTAGCCAATGACAACTCTACGGTTTTGATTTCTTTAACTGAAGCTGAACTCTTCTTGCGCAACTCGTCTGACTTTTCAGTCTCTCTGTTTGGCACACTTTTCCGCTTGATCTCCCCATTCGGCGCCGTTTCCAATAGTTTTGGCGGCTTTTCAGCTACAGATTCTGGCTTTACTGGGGCACTCTTTCTTCTGATATCTCCATTTTCAGTTGTCTCGAGTGTCTTATAAACTGGCGTATCCTTTTTAGGTGTCACCTCCTTCGAAGACTCCTCTTTTACCGATGCCAAGCTTTTCCGTTTTTGCGCTGTCCCATTCTCAGCAACTTCTAGATTTTTTAGCACTTTCACTGCTGCCAAAAGACTCTCCCCGCCAGTGGAGGCTCGTTTAGTCAACAACTCCGGAGGTGGTCGTAGACTGGCGTCATCATTGTTCTCTGTCACTTTCTTCTTTTTGATACTTGGCGTTTTCTCCTACAATGTATTAATTAGTAATTCTGAAACTTTTTTGTGTGGTTTTTTCTTACCTTTGTAGAGCCATCGGCACTGACAATCTTCTTTTTTTTCTTCTTTTCCACCTTTTCAGGTTCAGCGGACATTGTTGGCGTCTGACTCACACCTTCTCCGTTTTTCTTCTTTTCGGAATCGACGGCCTGAAAAAAAGGAGAGAGAGAATGAAATGATCGGAATTAGCAGAACAAACTCAGAACTTCAAAACTACTGTGCCGGTCATAAAATTATGAAAGCTATGCTTTTCAGTTGATTTCGGTTATTTTCAGAAGTCTGGGGCTCGGGTGTCAAGTGTCGGATCACTTTGAAAATTTTGAGAGTTTTAAAACAGACCTAGATTGAAAACTTAGCATTTACAGAATTTTAAGAAAACTCTCAGTTTTCCAGTTATTAGCCGATTTTTGAGGGACACATGTGTTTTCACATCTTCAGCACAAAAATAGAAAAAAAGAGGTGTCCTTCAGAACGGCAATTAGCTGAAAACTGGGAATTTTTTAAAAGTTCCGTGAATGCAAAGTTTTGAATCTAGGTCGCTTATACACCCTCCATAAATTCCTAAGTGATCCCGCACTTGACAGCCGAGCTCCAGACTTCTGAAAGTGGTCAAAAACAACTGAGAAACACATTTTTCCTATATTTATGGCCGGCAATATAAATTGATAATAAATCACGCACCATTTTGACAAGAGATCCTAGCCCTGGTGCTGGAGACGAAGAAACGGAACCGATAGCGTTGGTAATCTAGAATGACACACGTAAATTGTTAGAAAATAAGGATTATGAATATTTTATTACCTTTTGTTCTTTTTTCTCCGCCATTTTGAGCAGCGGATCGAAGAACTTGTGTCCGTTGGCACTCATTCGAGTTTTCAGCGAGTTTCTTAACCGATTCATCTCTATCAAGAATTTGACATAGATTATCATACGCTGAAAAAGACAAAAAAGGTTAGGAAGTGAGCTAAGAAAGTGCGAGGATAAGGGGAGGACCCTCTCTAGACTAAAAATAGGACGACAAACTTCATTGATATGAAATGCATGGTGACGCACGGGCACCCGGAGTGTGTGTGCCCCAAGAGAGACTATTCACCTAATTAGTGAGTTCTATGATCTATGAAATGAAAGTTTAAATGTGAATTGAGTGAAAAATCCAAAAAATCCAAATGAACTCATTAAAAATATCAAAACCCACCCGGAATTTTCGTCTCGCGTTGTATCGCATAATTTGCTTGTTATCAAGTGTGGGCGCGTTGAGCGGTTTCTCCAGAATCGTGTTGCACGCCGCCTTTTGACGGTGTTTAGCTATCCATGGATGTTGGAGACATTCATGTGGGAGCATGCGCTTGCTGCAAAAAAGAAAAAGTTGTTAAAACCACTTCCTGATGGGATGTGAGGGTGGGGAATATCATGAATAAGCTAGCTAAAGATATATATATATATATATATTATATGACATCATTTTAAAAAAAAGAATCATGGAAAAAGGAAAATTGAAGAAAATGAACAAAACTATGTAAGAAAGTGGTTAAAGTCATATACCGTACTTGCCCTGAGAATCGCAATTGCCTTTACGCCCACTTTGAGTTAAATCATCTCAATTCCTAGATATCAAAAATCTGTCAACTAATAAAATTATCTTAATTTCTATGAAAAATATCCAAAATTTTGTCAATTGATAATTTATTTATCATGATATCAACAACATCTTATCAGTTAACAGATCGTTGCTATCTTTTAAAAAAACCGAGATAATTGAGCTCAAAGTTTACGTATAGGGTGAGCCCCCACGAGAGGAATGACGATAAAGTCACTTGAACAATTTTTAGCAGGTACTACTGTTTTTTGCTTAGCAACAAAAACCCATAATACCCACAACAGTAATCACCTTTGATCATAAATCAGCAATTTTGTCACAAAGTCCTTCGCTTCCTCACTAACTGTATCGAACTCCTCTGTGAACTCCCACACTCCTTTTTCCACGTTACAATATGTCTCTCCCAAGTTGTCACCAAGAAATGGTGAGTATCCGGAGAGCCTGAAATACCGAATAAAGTTCTTTGACACAAAAAAAAAATGCTCATCAGACAAAAAATTCTCATCGTTTCTTCTGTATTTGATATTTATGGAAAAAGAAAGAAAACCAAGAACCATGAGGTCAAGAAAACAATTCTGAGAATCGCTGTCTAATGAATTCTTAGTGGTGAACTTTTGGTCCAGTTTTTTTTTACAGAAAACTCACAAAATATAAGTTATCACTCCAATACTCCACATATCCGTGTGATAATCGAGCTTTTCAAATTTGATCACTTCCGGTGCGGCGAATTCCGGAGTACCTGCCATATATTTTAGCTCCTGAGCAAAATAACAAGATTCGTTTGAAATTTATGGGAAAATGGATACCTGAGTTCCATCATAGTGCCTAGCAAGACCAAAGTCAATCAGCTTGATGCGATTTCCAGTTAGAGAAACGCACATGATGTTTTCTGGCTGAAAAAAAAATTTGTCCCAAAGTTCGCATTTTTTGTAGCAAAGTTTAAATTATTTTCAAAATAAACTTGATGGCTATATCTTTTACAAATTTTCGATAATATCCTTAATCATAAATCATCAGAAAACGTTTATTCCGTATTTGAGCTCATAGCTTTATATGTCCACTTTGAGCTCAATTATCTCGGTTCCTATGGAATATGTCAAAAATCTGTCAACTGACAAAACATTGGAGGTATCATGATGAATAATTTATCAATTGACACATATATATCTTTCATAGCAATCGAGATAATTGAAAAAGTTTCAAAGTTTGCAGTTAAGTTGGGCTCAGAGGAAATACGATTTAATTTCAATAATTACACTTCATGGCTCTGATTAATTTTCAACACATTTTCATTAGAAAAATCATCAAACTACTTTAACAATAAATGTTTCCAATTTACCCCTAGTTCTCTCCCTGGAACTTTTTTCTATATGATGTTCACCCTTGAACCCTACCCAAGCTTTTATCTATTTTTTTCACACATTTCCTGTTGGCCATTTCAACTTTTACTTCACAATTTTTTTTCAATTTTCTCCTTCTTCTTCCGCCCACAACGTCTCATGTTCACAGAAAAACGCATCTCCTCTCTGTCTCTCTCTCTCCATTTTTTTGTTCATCACCAGAAAATTCTCCGCATGTCTGTGGCAAAGACACGTTGTGGACCCTCTGTGGGTGTGTGTTGTCAGCTGTTTTCCGGTGAAAAGAGAGGAAGAGAACCCTAAGGTTTTTATCTTCCAAACATTTTTTTGCTTCCGCAAGCACATCACACCATCACACGAGATACAGAATGAACAGTGAAAGCTTACCTTGACATCTAGATGAAGAATGTTTTGTTTGTGAATGTAGTCGATGGCTTCACACAGTTGGCAGATGATCATGACGACAGCAAGCTCAGAAAGCTCATAGGATTCCTCGGCGACACGATCGAATAGTTCACCTCCTCGAACACTAAAAAAAAGGTTAAATAAATACCGATAAACCTGTAATAGAAGGGCCCTGTGAATTTCAACTTTGAGCCAATATACTGTGGATCGTAGAAAAGATACAGTACCATCCAGAAAGTGTATTTTTCAGTTGATTTTCGGTCATTCCGGCCATTCTCAAGCAATCTTACCCCAACTCGACTGCCAAGTTACCGATCACTTTGAAATTCTTGAAGGGTGTGAAAGAGATCTAGATTGAGAACTTTGAATTTGCAGATTTTTCATAAAATTCCTACAACCTTCAATATTTTGAGAGTGATCGGAAGCCTGACAGCCGAGTTCCAGACTCCTGAAAATGATCAGCATGGGCAAAAATCAATTGAAAAACTTTTGTATATTGCAGCGTCCGGTACTTATCTCGGATCCCGCACAAGATATCAAAAAAGGTCAACTAACAAAATGTTCTCAATATTATAATAAACATTTTCTCGACCACTTTTTCATATCTCTTACAACAAAGCAAATATATTAAAATATCCTCCACGTGTTCCTCTTCAAACTTACATTTCCATAATCAAAACCACATCGTTGGTGGTGGTGTAAAACGCGTCGTAAATCTGAGCGATTCGCGGATGGCGAAGACCAGTGAGAATCGAGACTTCTCTCTCCACCTCCGTACGATCGGCTTCCTTTCTGATTTTGATGAATTTCGCCGCGAACTCCTTGCCCGTTGCTTTTTCAATAACACAGTAAACTTTACCAAATTTTCCACTGTAAAATTATCAATTTTAGGATTTGATAGTTTAGAGAAATTAAAGAAAGTTGGGACTCACTCTCCAAGAAGTTTGGTGACCTGGTATAACGTATCAAATTTTACATTTGCCCTAATGTTCTCGATTTTCTTCACATCGAACACAGGTGGTTCATCAAGTTCTAAAAATGGTCTTATTGGTATTACTGTAGAACTAAAAAAATCTAGGTTGGCTCACCTGATGGATAGTGCTCGTCAACTTTGATCCTACCACTTCCACTGGGTTCGGTCCCCATTGGGACTTGAAGCGAGAACCTGCGATGGTTCATTTTTACAGAGTACGGTAGAAAAATATGAATAATATGAAGGATCGAAAAAATAGGGAAGGAGGACTGAATTCCAGAGGACGACTACTGTTTAAAGTTTTGACAGACGATTCTGTCAGCCCGTGATGACTAATATTTGCCTTTCCTTTTATCAGTCAAACGCTTTTGCTTTTCAGAGAATGAGACCAAATTTTTCCAAGAGCGAATAAATAATAACATGGGAAAGCAAAGATGAGACATTTGATATTAAATAAAAAAAGTTCAAAAAAATTGCTTGACATTTTTAATCAGAGCACGAAAACTTTTTTGTTAAGTGGTAGGATTTTTGAGGTTGGCTTCATTAAAAATACGAATTTAATCAAGTGTATAGCTTTCTAAAAAATGGAAAAAATTAGATTCTAGAAATATGACAAGGGATTATGACGCTTCAGAGGGTTTTGAGTATTGAAATGAGGGAAAAATTCTGAAAATTGAAAAAGTCATGACGAAAGCTTTTTTTCCTCGTGCTCATTGTTAATATGATAACAAAATTTGCACTTCTAATGTTAAAATGATAAAAAAATAGTTTTCGAAATTTCTAGAAATGAGTCAATAATTATAGAAATCAAACGTTCAAATAATCGTAAACGAGCAAAAAGACTGTTATCTAGACTGCCAACTTTGAGCACATATATCTCATTTCCTGTGGAAGATATCATAAAGTGTTCAACTGACGAAATATTTATCAAAATATCACTAACATTTTGTCAGTTGATCACTTTTTGATATCTTTCACAGGAAATGAGATAAATTGATTTAAATTTAAAAGTGAGGGGAACCATTATTGTATATTCTTGAAATGCAGTAGGCCAAATTCAAGGAAATTGCATCGGCATTGTTTTATGCATTTAAGAAAGGTTGCTGTGCAATAATCTTTCTAGAAGTAGTTTTCCAATCCCTTGAGACCAAGTTCTATGATTTCATGAATTTAAAAGTACGATATTGTAGTTTTTCTGAGATTTAGGAACAATTTGGATTATAAAACCACACGAAAACCATAAAATATAAAAAATGAAGGACGAAAGAAAAGGGAAAATTAGAAAAAATGAAATAATCAGGTACTGTGTCCTCCCTCTTGTGAAAAAAAAAGACAAAAAGCAAAATACATGAGTCGCTGTGTTTTTTTGTTGGTGTTGAGGTAGAGGTAACACATAGGGAGGCAAAAATAACCTATCAACACACACAGGAACGCTTATTTCTGTCTTTGTTTAGTTTTATGAAGAGTTGTTGACATTTTTAATTAGGTGCTGAGAGGTGTTGTTTTTTTCCCAGAATTGCAATTCTAATTTTTTAACAAAAACTACTACCAAAACGTTTGTGGATTGGATCACAAAAAGCCCTGTGCGAGGTGATGGTGGGTGACTGTCTCAAACATTCGATGAGCAAATAAAGTGGGTGGTTTGAGTTTTTGGAGAAATTGACGGCGGGAGAGTGTTTTGAGGCGAAGAAGAGGAAAAAAATGAGAAAGAGGTAGTGGGCAGCGGAATCTGAATGCATTTGATATCCAGAAATTTCATACGGATACAATTCATCCATTCAGTGGAGATTCATTTATTAGAAAAGATATAGGGGGAATGTGATGAGGAATAAAGAAACATAATTTAATTGGGGAGAAGATAGATTCTTAGCTAATGGATAAAGGATTTGCGGGCGGGCAAAAAAAAGGATTATTACGTTCTTCCACATCAAGGAGAAAAAGGAAAATAGGCTAGCAGTTTAGATTTAATGATTAAGGAAAACAATTTTTATGATTATAAAAAGTTTTGACAGAAACCTATAACTGTTATTCTGACATTTTCTTACCGTAAAACCTGTAATAGAAGGACCCCCACACTATCAGGTTTGAGCTCAATTATCTCGGCTCCTATGAGAGATATAAAAAATGTGTCAACTAATAAAATGTTTGAAATATTATGACAAAAAATTATTAGTTGACACCTTTTTTATATTTTCATCAACAACCGGGATAAATTGGCACAATTAAAAAGCTTGTGGACCCCTCTATTACAGGTTTTACGGTAAGTTCATTTTTCTAAAAGTCGTTTTTCAAAAAAAAACCGATTTCTGATTTTTACCTAAAAGTCTACACTTTCAAATGTTTCACACATTGTGTGCACCACCTGTAAAAGCTCTATTTGCAGTTCCGTCGGCTAGTAACAAGTTTTTCGTTCAGCTAATTTTCGGGTCGGGTCTGCTAACTTTTTATGTGTATGTGTGCTAAACAAAACACTTGTTTGACACATATTGTCTCTGTCTATTTCGGTAAAAGCTTATTTTAGGCCCGAGAAAGAGAATGCCATCGAAATTTGAGAAGGTGAGAAGAACTTTTTGCACATTTTAAAATGAAAAAAACTACTACAACAGACAAAAAGGAAAAAGAGCCGCGACGAATAAAAAAACTATGATCATGGATGATTCACACATATTTTGAGAGTGTATTCCTATCCTCCTACTGAAAACATAACATATCAGAAAAGTGTGGAGAATGATACAGAATCAAATGATACAGATAAAAAGCGAAGGTGTGAGTAGTGGGGAGAAAATATCAAAACAGAGAAAGAGAACCCTTCCGATCAGGCTTCTTTACAATCAATAGGTCGGAAGGGATCATAAGAGTTGAGCGGGTAGAGGGGGAGCACCACTAACTGGAGCTTCGAGGCCCCTCTCTGAGAAATCGGGGGTGCTGTTTAGATGTCTGCGCTTCCCCGCGAGATTTATCTCTTTTTCAAAACCCATCGAAGATCACACTGGGGTGTTCGGTAGCTAATAGATTTGAAAAGGTTTACGTCATTTTATCGGATTTTTTTTTGAAAAATATTTTATTGGAAAGTACTTGAAAAGTGTTTGAAAAAAACATACAGTACCGGCCAATGAGGTTTAAAAACATGTGTTTTCAGTTTTTTTTTTTTGCAATCATTTTGACCATTTTCAAGATTCTGGAGCTTGGTTTTCAAGTTTCCCATCACTTTGGAAACTATGGAGGGTGTGAAACAGGCCAGGGTTGAGAACTTTGCATTTACAGATATTTTGGAAATTTCCTAATTTTTCGGCTATTTGCCAATTTCCGAATTTTTTTACGTTTTCAGTAGATAAACGGACCAAAAAGTTTGTTCTTCAGAAACAGTAGATATTTTAAAAACTAGGAATTTTTGGAAAATTCTGCGAATGCCACTTTTTCAAGCTAAATCTGTTTAAACCATCCAAAATTTCCAAAACGATCTGAAACTTGACAGTCGAGCTTCAGAATCCTGAAAATGATCAAAATCAAATGTAGAACACTTTTTTTTATATCTTATTGTCCATACTGTATTCAAAAAATGCCGACTAGATTTGTCAAAAAAAAATGCATCACATTAAAAACTTGTGAGGTAAGAAAAAGTGAAAAAAATATCACAATACTTAAACTTGGCTAGAAATACAATAAAACACCCTTGAATAACAAAAAAAAACCAATTTTTAAAAATCCTCAGACTGATGCCACGTCGCTAAACAACAAAGTTCGCATCTTCTCCGACAAATTATCCTCCTTCTCAAATCCTCCTTCTTTGACCAGCGGAATGCTCATTTTTTCCATTTCAATTGCCAACTCGAGAAGATAATCGATGCATTCGGTCCTGGAAAAAATAAGTTCGGTAATCAATGGTCCACTAGGTCACTCACATGATCTTTGTCGACTCCCAAGTCGGGCCCCACACAAAAAGTCCGTGATTTCTGACAAGCACTGCAATCGCTTGGGGATGATTCTCGAGGACTCCTCTTATTGGCTCCTGGAAAAAATTGGTTGAGGGAAAGTGATATTGATATAGGAATTCGGTTTTTTAAAATTTTTTTTTCTCTTTCTTGGACAATACGGTAATAGATTATTGGGCAGAATTTACTTAATTCATTATCGCTGCCTGAGAAATAAAGGATCATAAACAATATAATGATACTGTAATCGCTCTTATAGAAAACCACTCTACTTTCAAGCTCAATTATCTCAATTTCTACAAGAGATATCAAAAATGAGTTAACTGATAAAATATTAGTGATCCTATGACGAACATTTTATCAGTTGACACATTTTTGTTATATCTTACAGAAATCCAAATGATTGAGCTCAAAGTGCAGTGATAGGGCTGTCGTATATTAGAGTGTTTATGGTACTCAAATTGAAATTTTTAGCACAAATTAAAATTTCAAAAACTCACCAAAAGCTGACTCTCACTTGGCATATTTTCAATAATAGGAATTGTCAACGTATCCGAGTATTTCAAAGCTTTGCCAGAAAATGGATCGTAGATTCCTTTGATGTATTCTTGGTGCGAAATTTCAAAAGTATCACCTTTGATAAGTTGGGTAATGAAGTTCGCAGATTTTGAGTGGGTATGGATGACGCATTCGCTTCCTGGAAGGATATAATTGTTTTTGACGAATTTCTGTGTAGTTTGAATACAATTAGAGATTTAGACTTGTTAAGAAACACGAGTGAAAAAAAAAATTGTTTTTGGGCTTGCAAATGATTTTTGAATCTATGTTGGAAATATTTTTCAAATAACAAGCTCTTGGTTATAGGTAACTTGCGTTGTCAACTGATTCTAACTTTCCAATAAATGAAATTTACATCTTAAATTCCCAATGATTTCAAATGAAATGAATTCGAATGGCCACTTTTCGTTATTTTTTTCAAAAACAAGTTTCAAACATTCTGTGTCAAAATATCCGTCTCGAAAGAAGAATTCTACAGTACCCAGTTCAGCCCTTTTTGAATAGTGGTCATAAAAGATCCACATTACCAATTGCTGGCATTCCGTAGTACACAGAGCCGCGTCCTCCACACCACCGGACAGTCGCATGTAAGAACGCCACCTGACCCCTCTCCCTCATTTTTCTCTATTTTCCTCTCTACCCGTCCCCTTTCTTCCTCCCTCTGGTGCAATTGCGCGCTATGGCACTCGTGAATTTGATGTCAATGCCACCACGCGCAATTTTTTCTGGCGTATTTTCTTGTCTTTCTTTCAACTTTCTGAAGTATTTTTATTTTTCCAGTACTTTGTCGAAACGAAAACACTTTCAAAAAATCATGCTGAGAGATGACTAAACGTTGGATTTTATGCCATTTGTTCTCTTTTTTCCATCATTCTGAGTTGCCGATTCAATTTCTTCCTTATATTTTAAGAAATATTTGAAAAATAGGTTTTTTACATTGTTATCATGAGCAATCAAGATCTCTGTCGTTTAGTTCCGATCAATGAGTTATACTCTGTCGTTTAGTTCCGATCAATGAGTTAAAGCCGTATTATGGCCATTTTCCAGAAATTTTCAGGTCTAGAGTTTGGCTGTCAAGTATCCAATGTCTTTGAAAACTTTGGAGTATGTAAAACAGATCTAGATTCATAAATGCGGTGATTTGTAAATTATGAGGTGTTTTTTCAGATTGCAACAATAATATTCCAAAAACTAAAAGTTTTCCTGCTTTCATTTTAACACCGCTTTGCTTCTAGTACTCGTTTTACCTCAAAAACACTAAATCGCAAGTTACTTTAACAAAATCAAAAACTCGAAAAACTTCCGCGACCTCAAAAAACCTCAAATTTACAAAAATCTCCTACATGCCTGGATTGAAAACTATGCATACACGGGATTTGAAAATTCCTAGTATTTCAGCTATTTGCTCATTTCTGATAGACACCTCTTTTCACATTTTCGTACAAAAACTGGCCGAAAAGAGGTGTCCTTCAGGAATTCGCAAATAACTAAAAACTAGAAATATTTTATATATTTTGTGAATACTTAGTTTTCAATCTAGGGACGTGTTACATCCTAAAAAATTTTCAATGCAATCGGAAACTGGACAGCCGAACACCAGACTCCGGAAAATAGTCAAAATCAACTGAAAAACACGTTTTTGTACATCTTATTGATCGGTATTGTATCATCTCATCGGCTTTCGTCACCTGTCTTCCCTCTAGCTGACCTGGTCCATACGTTTCTTAATCCACCACCCTTCCACAATTACTGTTCTCCGAGTAGATGCACGGTTCTTTTTTACCCCGCCCACATGCAGTGTTCCTAGACTATCCACTCGTTTTGTGGCTTGACGACACCTTGATATCTTGAGGCACTATGTTTTCCCCTCTCTTGTCCAAAAATTTCATTTTCTTTTTTTTTCTCAATTTCTCACTCCCTTCACAAGAAATCCTGTCTAAATACTTGTAATCAGGGCCTTTCCCGGGACTTCGCGGACCCATAGTTTCTTTCAGGATCAATATTTTTGGACCAACTAAATCAGATATGATAGAACTCGACGAGTACTACAAAATGTATTTATTTGGAATACTGTATCTTGTCAATGAACAAAGTTACAAACGAAACAGAGCGAAAAAAGCAGGTCCGGCTCGGCACGTTCGGGCAAAACCCATTTAATGCCTGTAACTTTGTTCATAGACAAGATACAGAATTCCGAATTGTATCATTTTGTCGTACTCTTCAAGTTCTATCATATATGATTTAGTCGGTCCAAAAAGTTAACTCTACAAGAAACTATGGCAGGGCCCGTGAAGGACCGGGAAAGGCCCGGATTACAAGTATGCCTGTCTATCATTTCTCAAACTTTCGAAATTACAGAAAACAAAGTCAACGATGTCATCTCCACCAGAAGTCCCAAATTCCAAGAAGCCACGAATGGTACAAGCGGTGAGAAGAGTTTTTCTGAAAAAATATTCTGAATATGTTTACCTCCAGATGTTTCCTCATCCGATCGGCAATTCTGAATCTGCAAACAGCATCATCAGAAACGCCTTCACACACTTCTTGCCCGATCATAAGCCGCACAACTCTCCTGAACGCCACAGAACAATTTACAAGCATGTCTTGGAGGGGATGATTGAAAAGGGACATTCGCCGTATCTCAGCCAATTTGCGGTCAAAAAATTGGCGGAATTCGCTGAAGTTAGTCCGAAGAGAGTGAGTTGTAAGGGAATGATTCAATGTATTTTCAAAAATAATTGCAGATTACCAACTTGTTCGTCAGTGGGCGACATGGACTAAAAAACAGAGTGAAGCTTGGTTTTCGCCCGCTCGTTGTTCGAGCGAAACGTTCTGAAGCCGATTCAATAGTCATCGAGCTACTTGATGAGGGAGTTCAATTGTACGGAAGTGATGTTGAAAAGTTGTGGCGTTTCGGAATTCCTGATGTGGAGAAGATTACCATAGATGGAAAAGAGATTGAACCGTTCATGAAAGTTCTAATCTACATGTTCCACAAATTAACCGCAATCGATAAAAATGCCATGATTGGTCGTTCGGAAGCGGTATTACTGGCGAAAACGTTGCTTTTGAGTAGTCCGGAAAAGGTGAGCATTGGGAAAAAGTCTTCATATGGAATTTAGAAATATTCCAGGTTATTGAATGGTACACCAGAAGGCAAACAGCGGCAAAGAGGAGAGCGATGGTATTTGATGCAAAAATGAGCAAGGAAGAAGAAGAAAATGATGGCCATGATGTTGAAGATTCGGCACCAACATCTTCTCTTCCCTCGCATGAATGGAATGCGGAGATTACAGAAGAGGTGGAACTGAGTGAAAGTCAAGTTGAACCTATCAATGAGGAGGAAGATGGCAGTGCAACTGGTTCTAGTGGATGTGCTTTTGGGGCTCTACCTGACTGGGAGTATTTGGCCAAGTGCGGAATCTGTTTCAATTGATTATCTAATTTCTCGAAACGACTATAATGTAAGACATAATTTTGTTTACCTTACTTTGTTAACGTACACGAGGGATTTTCGAAAATGTGGGGATTTTTTTCAAATTTCTATCTGAATAATTCGAAAACTAAAAATATTCTTGCTCTTATTTCATTACCATTGTGTTTTTCGTACTCATTTCACACCAAAAATACCACATTGCGAGCTGATTTGTAAAAACTAACTGATTCAACTAATTTCTGCGTTCTCGAAAAACCCCGCATTTGCACAAATCCCTCATGTGTGTTTTTGTTACGTTCTTTATTTTATGTTGTTTCAAATTTCTCATTTTGTCTTATATATTTATTCATATACAGTACCTAATACAGTACAAAAACATCCTTTTTAGTTGACTTCGACCACTTTCAAGTTTCCAATAACTTGAAAAAATTGGAAGGTGTAAAACAGAGCTAGATTGGAAAATTTTTATTCACAGAAGTGTTTGAGAATCCCTAGTTTTTCAGCCATAGGCTGATTTTTGTTGGCCCGTTTTTGTACTAAAACGTGAAAAAAGTGTCTTTCAGAAATCGGCAATCAGCTGAAAAAACTGAGAATGTTTTTAAAATTCAGTGATTTTAATAATTTCGATCTAGGTCGTTTCTACACCCTCCAAAATTTTCAAAGTGATTGGAAACTTGAAATGTGAGTTCTAGACTCCTAGAAATGGACAAAATCAACTGAAAAAACGATTTTTTTAATTTCTTATTGACTATCTTATTCTTTTAATGTTGTGAATCTTGTTTTTTTCTACTTTCATTTTTCTTGTTGGGAATTTTTTACGATCTCAAAAATGAGGTCAATTTTTTTTACCCCAAACTTGTTGATTGCTTTATTTGTGACTTTTGGAATCTTATTTTACTATTGTCAACCTAATTTTTTTGAAAAAAATCTTTTTCTAAAACTTTCTAGCCATGTAACCCAAAACTAAACTGACCAGTCTCCTTCATGATAAGCGAAAAGAGCACTGAGCACGACGAAACGGCGATTCTCTTGTTGGCTGGTCGTTGAACCTCGGTCTTTTGTGAGATATCGTAAACAAACACGTCCTGCCTACAAAGAAACCGATGTTTAGAACCTTATCCAAAAAACTTACTTTTCAATTCGCTCTTTTTGAAGTGCCGATGGGGAAATCATCAGTTCGTTTCCGGAAATACATCCCATAGCGCCACCGCTTCCACGCATCCATCCAAGGTCGTAAAATTGAACCATTAGTTTTGTGAAATTTTCAAGTGTCATTGGCTGGAAAATATCGGAAAAATACAAACATTTGACAAGTGAATTCAAAATTGGTCAAAAAAAATCTTACCCCCTCATCATTTCTATTCTCAATCGACGTATCCATCACCAATTCCTTAAAGTTGGCATCGTTGACAAACTCGGTCATTTTTGCAACAATAAAACAATTATGAATGCACAGGTAGAAAGATAGTTGGACCGACAACAGGCAAAAATAGTGACGAAGGCACAGTGTGGCCGTTGCTCTCGTTTCCCATACTATCTCGTTGGCAAATATCTCTTATTCCTCTTCGGTGGTCTACTCTCTCGTAAGGTCGTCGCTTTTTGACACAAAAAGAAGGAAGGACGTTATAAATGCATCGATTTTTGACATCATTGTGTATTCAGCCCAAATTAACGCGAGAAAGACTCGAAAATATAGAGGAAATTGTGGTTGAATGAGAAGCGTGAATGAGAAAAGAATTCGAATTTCAAGTTCTGGCTCAGAATTTAAAATTTGGGAGAAGTTTCCGATCACTTTGAAAATTTTGGAGTGTGTAAAACAGGGTTAGATTGAAAACGTTGCTTTCACAGCATTTTGGGAAATTTCAGCTATGAAAGACACTTGTTTGTTCACGTTTTCAGTTCAGAAAAATGCTAAGACAAGCTCCGGACTACTGAAAATGATCGAAATGACCGAAAGTCAACTTGAAAATATGCTTTTGCATATGTTATTATACTATCTGTATAAACAAAAAGCAGACAAAAAATTTAGCTCTAATTGGTTATTCTGAATTATATGGGAAATTTTGGATTTAAAAAATTTTGGATAAGAAAATTTAGATTTTGAAGAACATTTCGAATTTTGAAGATATTCTTGGAATTTATAAAACTTGAGAAATATTAAAATCCACAAGTTTAGTTTAAATCTCACGTTTTCCTAAAATTTAAAAGTAATCAGCTATGTAGAGCCAGGAATTTAGTTATTCCTATATAAACAAATTTGGAAAAAATTTAATTCAATAATATATCGCACTTTGATGTTAACTTTGATGAAATATCAAAAAATTGTTAACTAAATAACTATTGGTGATGTTATGATGAATAATTTATCAGTTGACAATTCTTTGATATCTTTCAAAAGAATTGAGATATTTGAACTTAAAGTTGACGGATCGGGTGGGCTTCTATTAGACGAAGCAAGGTAAGTGTAATTTACATCCGTTTTTAAGAATTTTGGTAATTTTTTAAATTTTCAGAACTGGAAGGTAAATACTTGGAAATAAAAGCTTGGAGTATTCCTTCGAAAAATTTTCAGGAAAAAAAACATTATTTGTTTGTGTGAGTACCGTACACTCTCTAACAGAAAGCCACTCAAACCACCAACTTTAAGTCCATATATCCTGGTTTTTGTGAAAAATTTCAAAAAGTGATCAACGGAAAAAATTGTTGTGGTATTTTGATGATCACTTTTTTAGTTGGCAACTTTTCGATACCTTTCACAGGAACAGAGATATATTGGCTCAAATTTGACGTCGCCTCCTATTAGAATGTTTACGGTATTCAATTTTTGTCCAACATTCTGCCTATCCCTCTCGTTTGTTTTAGCCATCTTTGATATCTATGATCTAACGAAAACTGTATGTCTCGGGAAAAGCCGATTTCCAAAAAAAAAGCAGCATATGATAAACACGCACAGATATCATCTGTAGGATGTGAAATCCGAATCCAGTGCGGAAAAGACAACGGTTTTTTTTTCCATGCCTCAATCATCCAGCCGCCAAACAAGCGTCTGGGCGAGAACCTAATAAAAAAGTAGTCATTTCCACATTTAGTCAGGAAGAGAAGAAGGAAGAAGGAATCGTATAACGTAACAACATCGATGGAATAGAATACAACCCTCATAGACAAAGACACGACGCCTAACGTAACAATCCTGTTGCACTTTTTTCTCCTTTTCGTCTTGCGTAAGTCTCGAATGCATGATAATGTCTTGCGCGATGGCAATCAAACAAGCATTTGATAAGCTTTTTTTGTCTGAAACGCATAGAAGCGCATATAAAAGGGAGGTAGTCCAGAATCTGAAAGACATACCCCGACACAATGAGGTTTGCACTGTTTTCTATTCTTTGTCTGGGATTTGCCTATTATACAGATGCCTATTTATTCGACCCAAAAGCAGTTGACGCGTTGTTACGCGAGATTCGAGCAAGGTTACAAGCAAAAGGTGACGACGATCCTCATGTTAAGAAGGTGGAGCAGGAAGCAGAAGAAATCAAGAAAGAAGAACTGCTCCAAGCAGATGCAGAGGTGGAAGGCTCCGGAGAGGATGTAGAAGGATCTGGAGAAGTGATGAGCAATGTGACAGGGGTTCCGATTTTGGACGAGAAGGAGAATGTCAAGGAGAAAGAGAAGGAAGGGTTCCCAAGACCAGAACCAATTTTTGACAAGTATGGTAATTTGAAAAGTAAGGATCAGTTGGAGACACTGACATTTGCCAATTTCAAGAAACGAGCTCCAGCAACTTTGCAAGGTGAGGAGAATTTTTTTTGTTGGCTAATGACTTGGAGGGTACATAACAATTTTGGGGTACAAAATCCTCAATTTGGAGGTACAAAATACCTGAAAAATCGAATTTTGTACCCTCGAATTGTGGATATTGTACCCCTAAATTGTTTGGTACCCTCTTGTACCCCCAAACGTTATATCCTCCCTAAATTAAAAACCCTCTAATTTCCAGACCACTACAACCTCAACCCAAAAGGAACCCTACAAATGCTCCAAGGCCTCGATATTCACGGAGCATCTGGCGGATACCACCGAGCACTTTCTGGCGGCTATCTCCCACCATCCACCTACGACCCATACAATGTCAACTGGCATAGCTATGGAGATGAGGGAGTCAAGATGAAGGATAAGGCGATCTCAGTATTCAGACGGGTTATTGCACCGGTTTTGTGATTTTTTAATTTTTTAAATTTTCATTGTTCTTCTTCTTCTCTCCATGTACCTTGCCACTAATACAAACAAGCAGTAGGAACTGCTTCATAATAAAAATTTTTACTTTTTTGTTTTGAGGTTTTGTCTCTAATCAAAAACAAAAGGCGACTAATTTCACCACCACAACAACTACCAAAAAATGTTGATAACGTCCTTGAGACTTATGCCATGTTCCTCTTGAGATTTCTCAGGCCACAATAGGAAGTTGAAAAAACCAGGAAGTATATTGTGATGCATCGTTAGACTTCAATCCAAGGTTACTTAGACACATCACTCAAGCCGTAGGTGATGTTGATGGCAGTGAGATAATGAAGACACAATAAAACGAATTTGATTAGTTTCTTGGGAGGGAGACTGAAGGTTATCCTTTAAGTTGTTTTGGTGGGAATTGAATCATCAAAAATTGAAATTGGATTTTTGGAAAATAATTTGTTATATCAAAATACTTGACAATTCAGGAATTCAGGCCAATAACAAATACCATCTTTGCAAAAGATCTGGAGAGATTACTTCTTTTCTGGTGTCATAGAGAGAAGATAGCCTTGAACTTTTCGAATTACCAGGATAATGGAATTCAACAGATTGGAAATGCAATAGAGATAAAAATCGAGAAGCAAACGTTTTTTGTTTAAAACAAGAACAACTGGGTTTTAGCTGTTAAAAAGCGGATGTAGTTGCACTAATGGGAGCCCAATCAAACCGTCCACTTTGAGCTCGATTATCTCGATTCCTGTAAAAAATATCAGAAATCTATCAACTGTAAAATTGTTGACGATATTGTAATAAATAACTTATTAATTGTTAAATTTATGATATTTTCCACAGAAATCGAGATAATCGAGTTCAAACTGTAACGTTTTGAATGGGCGTCTTTCAGAGGGAACACAGTTTTGAGATTTGTCGAAGTTCTTGGTTTCATTGGATATTTCTTTTTTTGGCACTTCTGCGAATTTTAATAATCTTGGATCACATTAGACAAGACAACTCTGTTGAATGAACTAACTTTGGTCGATTCGTAAAGTTTCAGTATTCCGAATAAAGTGAAAAAATTGGGTCAATATGCTCAGACAGTCGTAATAGGCTATTTCAGAATATGATAACAAAAATATAACATTTTTGATTTTTTTTGGAAAATACAGATTTTTATGTTTCAAATGAGCAGAGCTCTCCCATTCAATAACAATTTTTCAACCAATTATAAAGTGAAACCTGTTCTAAATGAATCTCCAAACTGTAAACTTTGAGCTCAATTATCTCGATCCCTATAAAAGATATGGAAAAATTGTCAACTAACAAAAAATTTATCGTAATTTCATCTAAATTTTATCAGTTTACAGATTTTTGATATTCCCAATAGGCACCGAGATATTTAAGCTCAAAATTTATGGTTTCGGTAGATTTCAATTAAAGAAAATACTGTACGTCAATTTTTAGCCTCCTATTTATTTGCTTCCAGTGAATTTGTGTGAAAAACCTTAAACTTTTATCTTTTTTTCATCTTTCTGATAGTACCATAATGACAACTTGATTGGACCACCAACCTCGCCAATTTAAACCATTTCCTCTTTGTTTCGAAATTAATTTTTGGGCAAGTTCAAAACACCAAATCAGAAGACACACATACGCACTCAAAATGTTATTTCCCGGTACCTACCGCATCGTAACCTTGTTGATATCATTGCATAAGAACGGTTTTTTTTTCTGCCTTCTTAATCTCTATCCCTTAATACTTTTGTACTTCCTTCTCTATTCGTTTCAATGACCTCCCTGCCGATGTCCACCTTGTTTTTTATGCCGGTAGTTCCTGTTACGTCTACTACTTACCTAAGCCACGCCTACTACAAGTTGTGAAGTATAAAAGGTCACTCGAAAACCTAACAAAATCACACCAAACTGAAGATGTTTGAGGAGAAACTTCTTGTGTCTATTGCTTCGGCTTTCTCGACCCTCGCTGTCGTCGCCTGCCTTGTCGTGGTCCCATCCCTTTTCTCGACCATTGACGAGATCCACGCCGAGGTGCTCGATGGAGTTCGTGTGTTCCGTGTTGAGACTGATTCCGCTTGGACCGAGATGATGGACATCCAGATCACCGTCACCCCACCAACCAAGCCACGTGTCAACCCATTCAACTCCGTGTTCCGTCAAAAGCGTCAAACTTTCTCCGGACTTCCAGCATGGTGTCAATGTGAGCCAACCAAGCCAACCTGCCCACCAGGACCACCAGGACCACCAGGACCAGCTGGACAACCAGGTTTGCTTACCTTGTAGGGATCAAAATTTTATAATAGAACTTTTCCAGGAACCCCAGGAGCTCCAGGACCAAAGGGACCAGACAGCACCACCACCTACGCTCCAATCAACTGCCCACCACCACAATTGGATTGCGTCAAGTGCCAGCCAGGACCAGCCGGACCAGCCGGACCATCAGGACCAGCCGGACCAAAGGGACCAGACGGACGTCCAGGACAACCAGGATCTGCTGGACACCCAGGAGCCCCAGGACAGCCAGGACCAAAGGGAGACAACGGAGCTCCAGGAGCCCCAGGAGGTGCCGGACAGCCAGGACGTCCAGGAAAGGACGGACAACGCGGACGTGGAGCCGCCGGAGCTCCAGGAGCCCCAGGAAAGGCTGGACCAGCTGGACCAGCCGGAGGACCAGGAAACAATGGATCCGATGGAACTCCAGGACCAGCTGGACCAGCTGGACAACCAGGAACCCCAGGAAACAAGGGATCCGATGGACACCCAGGAACCCCAGGAGCCGCTGGAGGACCAGGACACGATGCCGCCTATTGTGCCTGCCCACCAAGATCCGCTGTCTTCGTTGCCCGTCGTCATTGATTCTCTGTTATTACTCAATAAATTTCATCAGCATTCAAAAAATTTTTTGTTGATTATCTTCAGAATTTCAATAACACCTAGTCATTCAAGAAACATAAAATTTAAATCTGGGGCCCTAATCTCAAATTTAAAAACCAAATTATGTGCATCTGAAGATGAGCATGCTTCCGGCTATACCACCTTCCTTCGTTCATCCCTCAAATCCTTTTACATTTCGATGTTTGAAATAGAAACGTAGCATCTTTCGAAGCCCAGCAGACACAAGAGGTCAACTTTTGCTTTTTTTTTCTTTCGTCAAAACTTTTACGTGAGATGCTTCATATCTTTTTCGTTTCCCCTCACCCAATAATAAAGTGTAAAGTGGAACAGAAAAAAAATCTATCAACTGGTGTAAAGCAAATCTATTTTCCTGTCTTGCTCCAACAGAAATTATTTGCACTTTGTTTCTTGGTACGAGTTGGTACAGTTTGAAATTTTAGAAAAATTTTAAAGATAGAAACTTTCAGTTTTTCGGTTTTTTTTTTTTGAAAAAATGAGAATTTTGCTATTTGCACACATTCTCAGTGGAAGCTTTTGGTTTCGGTTGGTAATGTATTTCTTTAGAAATTTTTGAGAGAAATTCGTTATTTTTCAAAATTCTGGTTTTCTTTTTATTCAGGATTAAAACCTGTAATAGAAGGGCCCATACACTGTCAAATTTGAGCTCAATTTTCGAAATTTTCATGAAAGATATCAAAACTGCACCAACTGTAAAAAGGTTTAGGATATTATGGTAAACAGTTTATCAGTTGACAAGACTTTGATATCTCTCACAGGATCCGAAATAAATTGACTCAACATTGAAAGTAAGAGGGCCCCTCCGGTATAGGTTTTACGGCATTTGCTGCTTGTACTACTGACTAGAAAACTTACAGAATTTCGTAATATTTTTTGTTTTCGAAACTTTTCTAAATCAGGTAAGACCGTAGTTAATTAAAAACTGGAAATGCGCTAAGTGCTGAAAGTTTCATGTTTCTTATCTAAAAACTCAAAAAAATAACTGAAACTGCCATAATGCGAAGAAAACATACTTAACGTTTCTGAAAACGTATTTTGAATTTTTTTAAGTCCAAACCCTTCTTGAAAAATCAAGTTTCATACAAAAATCTTAACGATGTTCTAAATTCAAAAAATGCCAGTTTTTGAAATTTCGTTTTAAACAAATCTTATTTTTTTAAAAATTCTAAAATCGAATAAATTCCAATCAGCGACTCTCGGACAGAACTCGATGACGCACACTCACACACACAGCAGCTGTCCGTCGCGGACGACGTATTCGACCCCGAAACGCTTGTCATGTCCGGCCGGCTGTCCGCCAGGTCGTCTCCGTGGGCCCCGCCGAGAAGAGAGAAGAGTCTGACACAGCGCGAGCGGAATGCATATTGAGGGCTCCGCCGCCACCCGCTGCATCGCATCGATTTTCGTCGAGTTCTTCTTCTCTATGATGGCGGGGGGGGGGGGACGGCTTTTCCGCCACCCAGCCATTTTCCTCATTAGCAAGGGTCTTATTTATGAATGAACGAGAAAAAGATGCAAAGAGAAGCCTATAAATAGGCGTGGAGATCATTTCGAAATAGTAGGGGTTGCAGAAAAATTCCCATGGTTTCATTTTTTAGGCCAAGTTCTTTTTTCGTTCTGTTATTTGATCTCTTCTTTTTTTTGAAAATCCAAGTTCTCAAGATTTTCTGTTTGCAAAACTCTTTTTGTTCCCTGACCTTAGTGTTTGTTCCACTGTTTAGTTTTACACGTTCGTTGGTATTTTCCACTTAGATTTGTCACTCAGATGAGTACCGGAAAAGTCAAATCTTATTTTGTCCATTAAATAAAATTTTTGGGATTTTGCTTTTGCTGTTTTCTTTCTCAAAACATCTTGGCTCATTTCCTCAAAGTTTAATATCATGAATTTTGTTTTTGAGCTCGTCCATTTCTCTGAAAAACGTTTTGGGCGCGCGAAGCAAAATGAATAGCCGTTGGCAATTCATTTTTCAATAAAACGAGCGGGTCCAAAATTTCCTCATCCCATCATGCAAACTTCTCATCCGCTCTTTTTTCCCGGTCCTCCTTTTTTCTTTTCTTCTGGAAAAAATAACATGCAAAAAGCATTGTTGCTTTGTCCCGAGCACAAAAAAAAGGAAAAGGGCCATGCTCATACATTTTTGTGTCCCTCGTTTTGTTCAGAGAACGGATATTTTTATTTTGTGTAAATATAGATAAAGCAAAACTTTTTATGCGGATTATGGAAAGGATTTCATAACTTTCAAGAAGTTAATCTATTTGATTCATTCTTTCCAAATTTTATTTTTAGGTTTTTTTAAGTTTTAAATGAGGAAAGACAAGACATTATTCGAAATTTTTGAAAAGTTGCAGAACGTCTAGTATGTATTAGAACCACCCGAACCGTCATATTTGAGTTCAATTATCTCGCTTCTTTTGAGAGATATAAGCAATTTGTCAACTGATCAATTGCTTATCATAATATCACTTATATTTTATCAGTAGAAAAAGTTTTGATATTTCTGATATTAATCGAGATAATTGCAATAAAATTTTACAGTTTGGGTAGACTCCTATTAAGGGAACCACGATAATACATGGTTTGGATTTTGATACTCGAAATTTTGAGAAAACTATCCTCTTCATATATCAAAATTTTTGAAGAGGATTTGATTTCAAAGGAGGCCCGACAAGAGATCTTTGGGGTTTTTTGGAGGTACAATACGCATTAATGTTCCCAAAGCTTGTGATTATAGTACCGGATTTGTACTCCGCTTTTTTTCTTTAATAGAATCACCAAAACCGTCAACTTTGAGCTCAATTATCCTGCCTTCTGTAAACAATTAGAAAACAATTCTAACTGATAAATTGTTATCATAATATCATCTATATTTTATCAGTTGACAAGTTTTTTATATCTTTTACAGGAATTGTAATAATTAAACTCAAAGTAAAGGTTTTCTTGCCATCTTCAATTTACAAGTTTTTCTTAACTAACTCGTCTTTGTTACCTTGATTATTTTCTGATCAAAAACAAAACAACAGTTTCCCAAAAATGTCCTAAAAATCAAAAGATCAGTCATTATTCGGTTCTAGTATCTATCTAGTATTTATTTTTATCACAACTCTTCTCTCTCCCAAAAAAAAGTTCACGTCACAAATGTTATTGTCTTTTTTCTTCAGAGACTCGTGCCCCTTTTTTTCTCACTATCTTATCACATTTGTCCATATATGTTTTGTTGTTTTCTCGTCAAATAGAGACTCCCACATCTTTTTCATTTATTTCTCATCAGTGTTCTCCAACGACAATTTGTTCAAAAAATGTTTCATGATTACCTAAAATGCCTCCCGGGCGAATAGGCAAAAAAGCAAAAGACTCTTTGCATCGAGTAAGAGAAAGGGATAAGCTAGAAGAGGTTAATCGAATTTGGTCCATTTCACACACAGACGTGTGAGCAGGAGGAGAAGCCAAAAAAAGGAGGGATAGTGAGTGAGAAAAACGTATTGCCTCTTCCGTTTGAAATTTTTTTAAACCTGGCCCACGCTGAAAGGTTCTATTTCCAGTTGATGCACTTTGTTCTCCCATTTCTCTTCTTTTTTTTTTGGATTTTTCGACTCAACCCAACTTTCAAATCCACCCTTCTTTGCCTATATCACAAGAGCAAAAAGACAAAAAAGTCTTTATGTTTTTGTTCTCGTCGAGTAATCTTTTCTTTCTCCCCCTAAACGGAAGTTTGCCAGGGGTTTACTTAATCCTACGCATTACCTTTGAAATATTGATGCGTTTCCTTTAGTGTCATTTGAAGAGAAGTGCCTTCTTATTTCTGTGACTCTTTACTCTAATTTGCATGCTCTTCTTTTTTTCAAGAGTTTCGCGGTGAGTTGAGAGTTATTTCTTTGAATTTCTCAAGCCGAAGAGTAAACTCTGCCAGTTTTTTTTTCTCGATTTCTCAAAATTCCAAAAATCTCACTATACAGAAAATTCATCAATATCTCATCAAGAAAACTGGACAATCATCAATCTTATTCAGCTTTCTTTTCTTCCAATTTCCGGTCTCCACGCGGCATGATTTTTTATTATGTACTCTCTATTTTAGTTGTTCATCCGTTTTTTGGTTTTTTTTTTATTTCTTCATTTTCCAATAGATTTCTGAACTACCGCATTACCTCTAATAGATTGCAGCTCATATCCTCAAATTTTTTACTTTAATTTAATGATCTCGATTTTCGTAAATTATAACAGAATCTGGCACTTGAGGAAATAGCTTAAATACCGTTTTCCTTCAAAGTAAAAGCTCACCCATACGGTAAATTTTGAGCTCGATGGTCTCGATTTCTGTGAACGATACCTAAAATTCCTCAACTGATAAAATGTTTGGCATACTATCACCAATATTTTATTAGTTGATAAATTATTAATATATCTCGTGGGATCTGAGATAATTGTGGTTAAAGTACAAGTACCATATTACCGCTAACACATGAACGCCTACCCAAACCGTCGAAATTGAGCCAATTTATCTCGATTCTTATGAAAGATATCAGAGTTTTGTCAACTAATAAAATATTAGTGCTATTATAATCAACATTTTATCAGTTGACATATTTTTGATATCTTTCACAGCAATCGAGATAATTCATCTTAAAGTTAGCTGGGCTTCTATTAGGTTGGTAAAAATGTAATGCGCGTTTGGTACTAACTACTTCGAATTACAGCTGGTGTAGTTCTTCAAGAGAGACATAAAAACTTTGAACATGCGTTGGCAGTGAATGGCCAAAAATTATGTAGAAAAGCCCTCTGATTGATATCTTCTTGTTTTAGTTTTTTGTGAGATTAAAAGAAATCAAAAACGCGCATTACTTTCTTACCAAACTAATATTAGGCTTCTATTAGGCTCCTGTATTCTTGCCCAAAAAAAACATTAGCATTTTTGAACACTATTAACTCTTGCCCAGCTGGCGCTGCATTTTTTTTACTACATCTGCCAAAAGGTCCCTCTGATTTCGAACATCTGTCGCTAGTGTCATTCTCCTTGGTTTTGTGAATTGTTCATTCTGAGAAAAAAGAGGGTCGTTCTGACTAGAAAGATCGTTATGATGTTTTTCCTTCTCGGTTAAATGGGTCAACAGCAATTAATTGAGCTTGCGCCTCCTACACGTTTTTTGTCAAGCGAGAAATGAACTGATTCTTTTCAGTTTACTTCAGTTCTGTCCGTTTGAAAAGGTTTGTTGTTCCTCTTCTCAAGATTGAATTATTTTAGAAATCAGAGATAGATCATCTATCGGTTTTCAGTTTATGTTTTTTTTTTCTCGGCCTAGATTCTTTTTGATATTATCTTTTTGAACTAATTGGTCAACCGATTAAGAGAATCTTGTCAAGTATCTTCTTTCTTATCATTTTCCATCTTTAGTTCGGCTAGTTTCTAATTGAAAATATGGTTTTGGAAAGTATCAAAGATGTTCGAACCTGCCTAAAATCTTACAAAAGTTTGACAGCATCTATTCATATCGAAATCCCAACTCGATTTTTTTTGAAGTCGAAATTCGTCTTGAACGTTTAGAAGATAACTAACTTTTCAGCTAGAATTTTTATCTTGGCCCCTCCAATTCAAAATCTTCATTTACAGTTTCAATACATCTTCACTATCTACTTCGCAGCCGTTGGCATCCTTAGTTTTACCATGTCTGTCCACTCTCCCGATTCGCCACAATATTTCTGCCAGGCAAGAGGGACACAGATATTTTCGAAAGTCCGCGCAACTTGCGCAGGACCACGAGTGATCGATTGTAACAGACCTTTTCTCCTCGTTAGCATCCAGTGTTCTTATTTGTGGTCCCTCTAATCCGATACATCCCTTTGATTTAATATCTGAATTGAATGTTGGTGTTTCCGAGAGTTTCTCACACATTTACTACTTATATCCGGTCTCTTCCATTTAAAAATCGGTTCAAAAAACCAATAAAAAGAGTAATTCCGAGCAAGTGCTTTTTTGATGTTCTTTCTCCTCGATTGAGTGGGCGCCGTTAGGGTGAATAGGATCCATTAATGGTGAAAATGAGCCAGTTCCACCTCTTTTTCGAAATAGTGAGCATTTTAAATGGAAAGCGATGAGTTGGATTTCGTTGTTTTGGCGGGCTCTTGTTTCAAAACGGTTCTCAAAAAAAAAGGCTCTCAGCTACGGACTATTCTATAATAGATTCGGTATTTCTCTTCAAAACTTAATTTTATGTGCTGGAGATTTCATAGTTACCAATTTTAGCCAAAACAGACTTTTTATTGGAATCCTGTCTAACTTCGAACTCGTTTTGATTGCTCACAAGCTTCACTCGCTCTTCCAATCTTCAGGTTACACTCTTTTCTAGTTTTTCCAAGTATTTTTCCCCGCGCAAATCCCATCTTCATCATCCCGCGCAACTCTTCGAACGCCTTCTCTACCGTTTCTTTGATCGGCACACTCTCTCACTCTTAATGGGCCTCAGTGGTCCCTCTCCACCACACAAATCACACTCATCGCCCGCTTTGACCCAATTTCGCTGCGTCTCTTCGATTGGCACACTTTTTCTCCCCTCTGCGTCTCTTCAAGGGTGTGTAGTCTCTCGCTACAGGTGTTGTTTTGAACTTTGCCAGGGGGCAAAAAAGAAAGATGTCTCTCGTTTTCCATTATCTCTCGCAGGTGCTTTTTTGAACTTTCCCAGGGACCATAAAAAACAACCCTATTGATCGGTTAATTGGTCTTGTAGACTATTTCTCTCATTTGCATTCATTCTTATTTTTTGTCATCTCAGGGATCGGTCATATTTTTTTCTCTCTCATTTTGCTTTTTCCCATTTTGTCCCCTGTTACAGTAGCTGAGTTTGTCGCTGATGGCGCCGCGTGCATATTAGAAAACGGCGGTTGAGTGGTCTACGGTATCTGTTTGAGGTGTTTTCCGCGTAGAACGTCCCAGAAATCTTCAACTTCCGTTTTTTTCAACATTTCTATAAGTCATGCCCATAGACGTTTCATCTAGTCTCTTAAATCTAAAAATCAGTTCAAATAACTAATGAAAAGAGTAGTAAAAAGAGTAGTTCCGTAAAAGAAAAAGTGATTTTTTGAAGTTCTGTCTCCTCGGTCGAGTGGGCGCCGTTATGTCGAATTGGGTCCGTTTTGATGGTGGAAATGAGCCATTACCAACCTCTTTTTCGAAATAGAGATAAGATTAATAGGAAGTGCTGAGTATAAAAGGATTCTTCAAAATAAGAATTTTTCATTTTTGCTCTGTGATAGCTACAAAAATGTTCTGCAGACTGTCGGCTTCTTCCAGTCAGATAAAAAACATTTTCAACTTTTAAAAACACCTCAAAATTTTCTCCGGGTAAGTAATTAATCTGGTGGTCCTCTAGACCGGTTGTATAGACTGTCTAGACCGTCTAGACCGCCCGCATTCCCTTCTTTCTCCCCGTCTCAGTTAAAGATCTTGTTGGCATTCTAGATTAAGTTGCCTGTAAGGTCCACTACATAAATTTAAGATATTTTAAGTCATTCATCAATGCCCCTGATCGCCAAATATAGAATAAAAGAGACAAACAACTTCCCCGGTCATTCCCCAAAATCGAGAACGCATTTCGAAAAATTTTTCTTTTCCTTCTCAATCAGTTCCACTTTAGTCTCGCCTCATCTAAAATCTTTTCTTCTCTAGTCTTTCCTTATCAAAAATCGGCTATCCTACATCTTCGAAAACGAAAAAGTGTACTTTACTCTTCTCATGAGTACAAATACTTGCCAACTGTCGGTTGCTAAATTGATAAACACGTTGTGGTCATGTGCTAGAATCCTTGCTTGCTCCAAAGTACACGTACTGGCGATTCGAGCAGCACCCTCCTGACCCTAGCTGATAAGCAATACTACATCGATACGCTGCCCACCCAAAGTGACCCATTTGGCTAGAAGTACACAAAAACTGTTCGATATCATCATTAAAGAACATTCAGTGATAGGATACGAGGACACGTGATCTGCGTATGACAAACACCGTTGAGAGAATTTTCGGCCACGCCGATCACATACTTCTTTATCTTGGAACTGTCTCCACCTCCTAGAATCATGGGTATAAAGGCAGTCTCCATGACCATCTCCTCCTGAGATCAAACCATCAGGACCATCTTATCTGTCTAAACAACCCATCCTCATTCTTGCTGCTTCCGTTCACATTTTTCTTCTGATTATCTCGTCCAAAACTAGTCCCTACCCTATCTTTTCATGCATTTCAGGTTCATTTGTATATACCAATCAACTTTGCTCGACAACAATGGTTATTCTGACCAAGGAACAACAGAAAGAAGCTGCGAACACGGGACTCTGGCTCCCACAACTCGAACGTGATGCTTGCGGAGTTGGATTCGTTTGCTCCATCAAGGGAACGACATCGTCGAAGATCATGTCCGACGCACGCACTATGCTTGAACGTATGGCTCATCGTGGAGCGTGTGGATGTGACAACGACTCGGGTGATGGTGCTGGAGTGCTCACGGCGATTCCGGACGATTTGTACAGGAAATCTGTCAAGGAGTGAGTTTGAAAGCATTGGAAAATGGGATGGCTAGACTAGAAAAATTGAAAAAAAGCAGAGTTTGACAAATTTGACTTTGGAGCTCTTGTGCGACCGCTCTTTTACAATTTTTTCAGCTTACGACAGTCGCTAACTTAATTTTAATAGCTAGCTTCAGAAAATAGAACCTATGTAATTTCAAATTGCCAGTGATGACCTAATTGAAAAAAAGCAAAGTTTGACAAATTTGACTTTGGAGCTCTTGTGCGACCGCTCTTTTACAATTTTTTCAGCTTACGACAGTCGCTAACTTAATTTTAATAGCTAGCTTCAGAAAATAGAACCTATGTAATTTCAAATTGCCAGTGATGACCTAATTGAAAAAAAGCAAAGTTTGACAAATTTGACTTTGGAGCTCTTGTGCGACCGCTCTTTTACAATTTTTTCAGCTTACGACAGTCGCTAACTTAATTTTAATAGCTAGCTTCAGAAAATAGAACCTATGTAATTTCAAATTGCCAGTGATGACCTAATTGAAAAAAAGCAAAGTTTGACAAATTTGACTTTGGAGCTCTTGTGCGACCGCTCTTTTACAATTTTTTTTCAGCTTACCACAGTCGCTTACTTGTTTTTGATAGCTAGCTTCAGAAAATAGAACCTATGTAATTTCAAATTGCCAGTGATGACCTAATTGAAAAAAAGCAGAGTTTGACAAATTTGACTTTGGAGCTCTTGTGCGACAGCTCTTTTACAATTTTTTTCAGCTTACGACAGTCGCTAACTTAATTTTAATAGCTAGCTTCAGAAAATAGAACCTATGTAATTTCAAATTGCCAGTGATGACCTAATTGAAAAAAAGCAAAGTTTGACAAATTTGACTTTGGAGCTCTTGTGCGACCGCTCTTTTACAATTTTTTTTCAGCTTACCACAGTCGCTTACTTGATTTTGATAGCTAGCTTCAGAAAATAGAACCTATGTAATTTCAAATTGCCAGTGATGACCTAATTGAAAAAAAGCAAAGTTTGACAAATTTGACTTTGGAGCTCTTGTGCGACCGCTCTTTTACAATTTTTTCAGCTTACGACAGTCGCTAACTTAATTTTAATAGCTAGCTTCAGAAAATAGAACCTATGTAATTTCAAATTGCCAGTGATGACCTAATTGAAAAAAAGCAAAGTTTGACAAATTTGACTTTGGAGCTCTTGTGCGACCGCTCTTTTACAATTTTTTCAGCTTACGACAGTCGCTAACTTAATTTTAATAGCTAGCTTCAGAAAATAGAACCTATGTAATTTCAAATTGCCAGTGATGACCTAATTGAAAAAAAGCAAAGTTTGACAAATTTGACTTTGGAGCTCTTGTGCGACCGCTCTTTTACAATTTTTTCAGCTTACGACAGTCGCTAACTTAATTTTAATAGCTAGCTTCAGAAAATAGAACCTATGTAATTTCAAATTGCCAGTGATGACCTAATTGAAAAAAAGCAGAGTTTGACAAATTTGACTTTGGAGCTCTTGTGCGACCGCTCTTTTACAATTTTTTCAGCTTACGACAGTCGCTAACTTAATTTTAATAGCTAGCTTCAGAAAATAGAACCTATGTAATTTCAAATTGCCAGTGATGACCTAATTGAAAAAAAGCAAAGTTTGACAAATTTGACTTTGGAGCTCTTGTGCGACCGCTCTTTTACAATTTTTTCAGCTTACGACAGTCGCTAACTTAATTTTAATAGCTAGCTTCAGAAAATAGAACCTATGTAATTTCAAATTGCCAGTGATGACCTAATTGAAAAAAAGCAAAGTTTGACAAATTTGACTTTGGAGCTCTTGTGCGACCGCTCTTTTACAATTTTTTTTCAGCTTACCACAGTCGCTTACTTGATTTTGATAGCTAGCTTCAGAAAATAGAACCTATGTAATTTCAAATTGCCAGTGATGACCTAATTGAAAAAAAGCAGAGTTTGACAAATTTGACTTTGGAGCTCTTGTGCGACAGCTCTTTTAAAATTTTTTTCAGCTTACGACAGTCGCTAACTTGATTTTAATAGCTAGCTTCAGAAAATAGAACCTATGTAATTTCAAATTGCCAGTGATGACCTAATTGAAAAAAAGCAAAGTTTGACAAATTTGACTTTGGAGCTCTTGTGCGACCGCTCTTTTACAATTTTTTCAGCTTACGACATTCTCTAACTTGATTTTGATAGCTAGCTTCAGAAAATAGAACCTATGTAATTTCAAATTGCCAGTGATGACCTAATTGAAAAAAAGCAAAGTTTGACAAATTTGACTTTGGAGCTCTTGTGCGACCGCTCTTTTACAATTTTTTTTCAGCTTACCACAGTCGCTTACTTGATTTTGATAGCTAGCTTCAGAAAATAGAACCTATGTAAATTCAAATTGCCAGTGATGACCTAATTGAAAAAAAGCAGAGTTTGACAAATTTGACTTTGGAGCTCTTGTGCGACAGCTCTTTTACAATTTTTTTCAGCTTACGACAGTCGCTAACTTAATTTTAATAGCTAGCTTCAGAAAATAGAACCTATGTAATTTCAAATTGCCAGTGATGACCTAAACGGTGGCCAGCAGTGCTGTGTAGCGCATCAAAAATTTTTCCAATGTTTTTCTGCTCAAAACTGACAAAACTAAAAATTTTCTATTCAAAACATTTGCTCTACGCCGTTTTTTTTTAAATTTTTGCCGGTTAAAGCAGATCCCGAGATAGTTAGCTCTAGGAAAATTAAAGTTTCTAATTTTAAATTGCCGTGTGATGACCTGGAAGCCTTAAAACCATCGTTCAGTGCGTTGGTATTTTGCAAGATTCACTTCAAAATATAGTCATTTACAAAAATGTCAGTGCTCTTTTCTTTTCGAAGCTTGTGTGCTACCCCAATCTTTCTCTATTCCTCCAAATTAACGATTAGCTTCAGAAAAATAAGGATTTCTGATTTCAAATTGGCGGCAGTGACCTAGAAAGTGTGCAGCCGCCGTACAGTGCGGTAGAGCGCACCAATAAATGTTTCGAAATGTGTGAAGAACGATGTTCTTGTCAACTCAAAACTGCTTCTCTCACCTTCAACCAACTAATTCTTTTCTATTTTTCAGACAAGATGGATCGGATCTCCCACCGCTTGGTCAATACGCTACGGGTATTCTCTTCCTTGAAGAGGAATCGTACAAGCAAGCCAAGGAGGCATTCCAAGATCTGGCAAGAGCTTGTGGTCTTCGTGTGATCGCTTGGCGCAAGCTTGGCACTAACAGGGAGTGCATCGGAGAAGAGGCAAAGAAGACCGAGCCGCTGATCCGTCAAGTTTTCGTCAGTGCGGACTACGCCGAGTCGGATCCAGCCAAATTCGAGAGACACGTCTATTTGCTCCGTAAGCAAGCGGTCAACAGTATGACTAAACAGGAAGTCGAGTGTTACGTCTGCTCCCTTTCAACATCTACTATTGTCTACAAGGGACAGTTCAACACTCATCAACTGTTCAAGTACTACGACGACTTGACGAATCCAGAGTATCAGACACATTTGGCTCTGGTTCACTCCCGTTTCTCTACTAACACCTTCCCAAGTTGGAATCGCGCCCAACCCAACCGTATCCTGGCTCACAACGGAGAGATCAACACACTTCGTGGAAATATCAACTTGATGCGTGCTCGTGAGGGAGTCATGAAAAGCAAGCACTACCGGGATGATCTTCAGAAATTGTTCCCGATTGTTGAAGAGGTGAGCTTCTTACCGTGAGCACTTACAGTATCGGTCAATAAGATCAGTATGGAAAAAAACGTATTTTTTCAGTGGATTTTTGTCCGTTTGACATTTTTAAGCTCTGTTCTCAAGTAACCGATCATTTTGAAAGCTTTAGAGTAGGTATAACAGACCCAGGTTAAAAAATTTGCATTTAAAGAATTTTTTGAAAATTCTTAGTTTTTCAGCTATTTGTCGATTAACAAAAAAAAGCTGGTGTCCCTCTGTACATGGCAAATAGCAAAAAGTTAAGAATTTTTAATAAATTCTACAAATGCAAAGATTTTGAATTAAGTCTGTTTTACACCCTCCAAAATGTTTAAAGTCATTGGAAAGTTGATAGCCGAGCTCTAGAATCCTGAAAGTGGTCATAATCAACTTAAAAACACGTTGTTGAATATCTCATTGACTGGGTTATTCGTCATTTTTTATTTTCCCTACTTCCCGATTTAATTGCCCAACCCACAACCCACTCTCATCTCAAATCCTGGTCTCGTGTGTCAGATTGGTGGTGAAGCCTAATTAGAGCCCTACTAGAAAAACAAACAACCTCGTAAAACGTTAGACTAATGATGTTCTAGTATTTCAAATGAGGAAGCGACGATTCGGATTGTAGAATTTAGAGTAGAGACAGAATCTCGAATTGCAAATTCCAAATTACATGACCTTTAGTCCACCCCCCCCCCCTTCCATCAGACTGAAAATCATGTTTCAAATCGCTTGCAATTTTTTCGTTTCAGGGTCTAACGGATTCCGGATGTCTCGACAACGTCATGGAGTTCCTGGTTCGTGCCGGCGGAAGATCGCTGCCCGAAGCGGCGATGACCATGGTACCGGAGGCGTGGGAGAAGGACGATGATATGTCTACGGAGAAGAAGCACTTCTATCGCTGGGCTGCAATGAGCATGGAGCCGTGGGATGGACCAGGTGAATAATTGATCTATTTTAGTGCGAAGAATTTGCTGCGTAGAGTACAAATCAGAAAGAAAAATTAAATAAGATCCGATTCAAAATAGTGCATGTGAAAGAAGCCTTATTACAACAGAGACCACACTTTTCGAATTTGAACACGATTCTTTACGTATGATCACAGAATTTCACAAAAGTGATCTCATTGATCAGAGATACAAAGTGACAGACAGTGTAATTTTTTTTTCAATTTGGTCAGAGATCACTAGATAGCGATGTCTGAGAACAAAGTTGAGGGGATACCCGTGTATTTTTCTCAAAGGTGCAAGAGCAAATTACGGTATCTTTTGGGCCTTTTTTGAGGCTAATGATTCGAAAGTTAAAAAGCAATTTAGGGGTACAAAATCGTCAATGTGGGTGTACAAAATACCCGAAACATTCAAGTTTTGTACTCCTAAATCACGTTGTATCTACCGTATTTTTAAAATCTATTTTGAATATTATTCCATATTTTTTCAAATTTCCAACGATTTATCAATAATTTGCATTATTTCAATTGATTATTACCCGATTTACAGGATAAGGATGAAAATCCTCGAAAAAACTTAAAAAATGCTAGTATTCTTTGAATAGGCTCAAAAGATACGGTAGTTTGCTACAACCTTATTTTCTCTCTAACTGCGAAACTAGTGATGTCTGATTAGAGTTTTTTCGCACTTTTTGAACCCATGGAATATTCGATTTCACTCTTCAAAAAATTAAAAAAAAATGATGTAACGGACTTTTGATGAATGTGTGAAATGGAATCTCATATTTTACACAAAACGCGCGCCACTATTTTTCATAGCTCCCGACCTTTGAAACATGACCCGCTTTACTAATACTCGCTTTCTCTTTCAGCTCTTCTCGCGTTCTCGGATGGAAGATATATCGGTGCGATTTTGGACAGAAACGGACTTCGCCCAGCTCGCTACTACCTGACCGACGATGATCATTTGTACTTGAGTTCGGAGGTTGGAGTCAACGACATTCCAATTGAGTCGGTTGTAAAGAAGGTAATTTTTTGAACGTGCAAAATCCGGGGTTTCTATTTCTCGAAAGATGAAATATAGATGATGCCCGTTTTTTTTGTGGCGATCGCTCATGCGAATGGTACTAAAGGGGAAAATTGAATTATTCTCGCATTCTGATGTTTAGTTTTTTAGATTTTCCTGTTGTGGAGTTTGTTCGCAACAAAAAATTTTTATCCAGCACAACTTTGGGGGAAGAGAAGAGAAAGGGGGCAAAATGGTTTACAGTCTCATATAGGAAAAATTAGAATAAAAATAATTGGTTTGTGGTGAGAGAAGGGAACGGGGCGATTGACAAAAAAAAAGAGAGAGAGAAGGCGACTGATGAGATGGAATACGGATAAATACGAAAAAGTGTTGTCTCTGATTTGGTGTTTTTTGATGGTGGGGGAAAATGGAGAAGTTTAGTTTCGACGTCTACATTGAAAGATGTTCATAATGGTGTTGATGTTGTTGGTGTTGTGTTGTTGTCGTTGTTGCTGGATTTTTAGAAACGGTCTTGACCACCGAGGACACTGAAATTAAGCACTCACTTGGTTACTGTTGCAATCCCTAGCTCAAAACTCACTCGTCAACATCGATGTACTCAGCGATGGCTGGTGCGGCGGCTGGGACGTAACGGTAACCCAAGTTGCCCTCGCTGTTACCTCCGCGCTTTCCGAAGCTGAAAAATGGAAAAATTGACAAACAGATTCCCTATAATTTCAACTTACCGCATGAGGACGCGGTTTGGTGCCGCGTTGACGGCAGAGAAGGCCAAGATAAGGACGCAGAAGAGAGCGACGAAGCTACGAACGGAGAACATACCTAGAAAAAATGGCTCCGTATAGTTGTATAGTTCAAGAAGATACATTATTAAGTAGGTCAGAAAACTAGAAAACGTGAAAGATTTGAAAAAAGAGCCCAGTGAGAAGGCTCACCATCCTCTAGACTACCCCACGACGCTAGAATGAAAGGTGAGCAGCTCCGATTGTCTTCTTCTCCTCCTCCTTTTTTTAAGAGCGATGTTCCTCAAAATGGGCGGAGCTTCGAGAGTGCTCCAAAATGGGCGGGATTTTAGGCGAGAGATTGGAGAGAGCGAGTGAGATGAAGAGAGCCCTAGAGACGGAAAAATAGAAATTAGAAATTTTTGGCTTAAAGGGAGGGGGGTGGTGGTGACACCCACCACTTACAGTATTCCCATCAAAGCTGGAAATGAGATTTTTTTTTGTTGGGGGAATGTATGCAATTCAAGGTTGTTTGCAAAGCGTTTTAGGGAATTTGAGATTGGAAGAGCAGGGCAAGAGTGGGCGAGAAACGAAAATCTGAAAAGCTATTTGAGTGGACAAAGGATTGGAAAATGAATATGGGTGGTGCTGATACATTTTTGCATATTTTTCTCAAATTTCGAAATGATTTTAGCAAAGGACGAGCACAAGATTAAAAAGGCTTCCTAAGTGTTTTGGCTGGGTGGGCGTAGGACAAAGACAATAACCGCCTTTCTAGGAAAATTTTGTTCTTTGATGAATCCTAAACAATATTTGTTCCTAAATTTCGTACCAACAACCTAGAACACTAAAAATTCTGAACAACAACCAAAAAAGGCTCTTTGTTCGGTACCTATAACCTAGTTGAAAGATTCACTAGCTGTCTATTTTGGATCCTTCTCTTTCTTTGAAATTATTACGATGACATCAGAATCTTCTTTCTTCTTCTTCTGATTTTAGTTTCTAGACACACTCCGGAAGCTCAAAAATTCAGAAATAGAATTGAGGGACTTTTTGAATTTTGTTCTTTTTTATCGAATAGAATAGAGTGCATTCTCCATCAAAAATGCGTTCATCATTTCCGGTGCGTCGGCGCAGAATTCGGGAAATTGTTGCAAGTTGGATTGCGAGATGTCATAATTGAAAGAAGGGATTATTGAGTTCTACTAGAAAAATGAGAACAAGACTTCCCAAAAAAAAACTGTGACCACCACACCGGACCAGCCGAATAAGAGGGAAATGACGATTCGGTGGGGCTCGTCGTTTTGTGAATACTAAGTTATTCGGAATTCAAATGAGCTCTTGTTTTTGATCAATTTTGCTCCTAACCGACGGCCTCTTTTTTTTCAAATTCGTGTTTTTTTTGGAATTAAAACACATCCTGCAAATTGAAATCCTAGTTACCTTACAAGGGATTTCCTAGAAAGAAAAGTTAGTTTTTATGGCTGTTTTAAGTTGCTTAGTTGTAGTATTTGTTTACACTATTTGAAAAAAAACCAACGCGATCCAATTTTAATTTTACATCTGGTCTCCATACTAATTGTTGTTCAAATTGGTTCGGGTGTTCCTTGCCTGAAAGTTGGCCCGAATTTTTTAATGGTTTTCCCGAGAAATGGATCTATCTCCAGTTTCAAAACACGTGCCCCCCCCCCGTTAATCATACACACTGATATTTACCCATATGGTATCTGGCAGACTCGTGTAGATTGTGTTTTTTTTTCTGATTTTCCGAATAGATACCCCTAGACTTCTGAAAAACGCCGAATTGGTAATTTGTCTATTTTTCCTTTTTTCGAGATTTTCTGTAAATTCGCGATTCTTTCTCAGGGGGTGACGTTTAAAAAACAAAAAAAAAACGTCAAAAGAAAGGAGTAAAGTAATAAAACGGAAAACCAAAAAATAAATAAAACTACCGTAGTCCAAGGTAATCGGAGTCACCAGAGTTTTATGGGGGTTTCCAATCGAGCAATTAAGTTTGGGGTACTGTAGTCTGTTTTAAAGCTTTTTCTTAGTTTTATGGGGTTTCGTATAGAATAATTATACTTTTGAAAATAAAGGATTGACAAGATTCAGAAATGTGGGAATTTTGAAGGAATGCCTTTCCAGGCTTTTCGGTTCCGTTATATTATCATTATCAGATTATCAGCTGCTGGGAAAAAGCGAGTGAGATCTAATTTTACAATTATCCATGCACACTAGCAAACCAAACACGGTGAATGTGATCACCTAGGAAAATCCAAAATAAATTATATATGGCATAGAAAATGAGTCACCGAACAATTCTTGGTTGGTGCGGTAAAGAATAGCCTCCAATCTTTCCTCTTTGGTAATTAGTGAAACGGAAATGTCTTCATTTTTCTTCCATTTTCTGTGTTAGCCTGCTTCCTTGTGCTTCCCTGTCCTTAGTTTTCACAGAAAAATTTACCCCAGATTTTTTCTAAAACCATATTCTTCCAAGCTACGTTTGTTGAACTGTAGTATTTGAGCACCCCTCCTCATGCTTCCCGTTTGTACGTGCACCTCATTTAGTGTCGTGCGCCTTCAACACACCATTCCAAAAAGAGATTTATTATGCATCACAACCGGATTGCTAAATTGAAGATGTTTTGTATCCATCCACCCATCCACCACCTCCAAACAGCGTCACTCGATGGAGCCCAGATTTTTACTAGTCATCAATTTAAGGATACGAATCGTTTTGTGCCTGGGGTGTGTGTGCGCGTTGGTTGTACTAGTACTAGTAGTCATCAGATTCTCACATAATTTTTCAAAAAAAAAAGAGGGGAAGCGATTTTTCATCTTGTTAGTAAATTTGGTATTTTTCAAATAGGCTTAGTCCGATTGGTATTTCCGAAAAATTGAAAACAAGATTTTGAAAGACAGGGGAGGAAGATTAGGCGATGCATAATTTATGGTTGTGTGTTCTGAAAGGAAAATGATATGGAATTTTCGTGTCGGTTTGTTCTTTTTGCTTGAGAGGAGAAAACGGATTTTGGGATGCAAGAAAGGAAGAGAGAAACAGGATCTTGGGACACAGGGATATTTGAAAACTTTGCAGAAGACGGGAAATGAAAGGATTACTGTAGACAAAAGTTGTGAAACTTTCCAATACATATTAGGACACATGTAAATTTTATCAAAAAAGGGACATTTGGCTAGGTTACTGTAGACAAGGGCTTTGAGAATTTCTTAAAACTGATCTCCTGTCTGAGCCGTTTTTCCGCTTTTTCAAGATCCCCAAACGTTTATGGACCCCCAACAAAAAACCATGACTACCATAAGTCGTAAACTGGCTTTCCTGTTTTTTACTCCGATTTCAACTGTTCACAAATGTGAATTCCGGCATGCAAGATTTGGAAACAGGTTTCAAAGACGTGTAGTGTGTAGGAGTACACAATTTTTATAAAAATAGAGATGTATGAGAAGTTTACATAGGGAGAACTAAACGGATTACTGTAGACAGGTCCAATTAAGTTGTCAACTTTGAGCTTAAATATCTCAATCTCTGTGAAAGGTATCAAAATTTTGTAAACTAATAAATTATTTATCTTATTATTCTCAATATTTTATTAGTTGCTAAAATTTTGATATCATTCACAGGAATCGAGATAATGGACCTTAAAGTTGACGGTTTTGATGAAATTCTGTTATTCCAAATCATCAAATATAAGCTAAATTATCTTGATCACTATGAAAGACAAGAGAAATTTGTCAACTGCAATATTTTCTCAGTTGGCAAGTTGTTGCTATCTTTTATAAGAATCGAGATAATTGAGCTCAAATTGGTCGCGCATTCTATTAAAGGAATACGGTATCTTCCACTATCTCTTCTGTGTGTTTTTCTCCAATTCCAACATTCCACATTCTTGCTTTGTTATTGTAGTCGTTGTAGTAATCCTAGTAGTAGCAGTAGTAGTCATTCTTAGATTCTCTCTTTAGAGTGTGTTTGCACACTTGAGCGGCGCGTCCTTTGGATTTCAATTTCAACGTCATTTTGGCACATTTCGACATTGCTTCTTGCCATATAAGAGGTCATCTAGTGGGAAAGATGAGTGCTTGAGAATCGTTTCGATATTCTATATACAGCTATGATGTCAAGAATTTTTCTGAATGGAATCAAAAAGACAAGAATCTGGATCTTGGGGGATTCAGTGGACCGCGCGTTGATCGGTCTGAGCTTCTTGGACGATCAGTGAATTTTGTTTTCCCATGACGTTTCCGGTTGGCGTAGAAATCTGAACTCTCTTAGTTGTGTCCTGAAGTCTGAATACATTCGCAGTCTGCATATCATATTTTTTCTACGGATACAAAACAAAAAAATTGAATGAGCAGCACAGAAAAAAATGAGTAACTAGAAACAGAAGAAGCAAAAAAACAAAACGAAACCACTTCTTCGTGCTACTGCTTCATTTTTAATTTTCTCCATGCAGTTCATCTATAATACATTCTTCCTGCTTATCGTCTCCCTTCTTGATTGTTCCTCCTGTCATGATACCCCAACAAGGCTGACTCAACCTGAAAGGGATCGGAGGGGACGGAAAATCTTGAAAACCTGAAATTCTTTTTCTCCCTTTTTTTTCGAAAAATCCAAAACACCGGAAGTTTTGAATGAATGAAAGGCTAGCGACGACGGGCGGTGAACACACCGAACCATGAAATTTGAAATTTTTCTAGAAAGAGAAGGCGAAGAAGAAAAAGTTGTTCACTTTTTTCTGTGATCTTTCATTTCAGAAGCCGTCGACATGTTCAGAATGTCGCTGAAAGATAGAATAATAACAAATAAATTTATTCTCCAATCTATGCAAACCACTTTTTGATGGGAAGAAGAAGAAATGTAGAGAGAGGGGAATAGAAGGGGAATTCCGAAGAGAGAGAGAGAGAGAGTCGAGTTTTTGGTCGTTTTTTTTTCGATTTTGGGAGAGAAAGAGTGAGAGAGCCCAATTTTGATGGTTATGGTGATAATTTTCGAAGACAGGAAAAAAAAGAAAGTACAGAAGAGCCACAGCCGCAATTAAAAAGTTCGAAGGAGAGAGAGAGAGACAGAGAGACAGAGAGAAAGAGAGAAGATTTATTTTCCAAAGCGCATGGTTCCAAGTGTGTTCCTCTTTCCGAAGCGCATGGTTCCGAATGGAGCACCAGTATCATCGGCAGATCGTTTTCCAAAACGCATTGTTCCAAGGGGCTCATCTGAAAATATTAGAGGTACTGTAGCTGCCAAACTACTAAACCAACCTGAACGCTTTCCAAATCTCATTGTTCCGAATGGTTCGCTGGATCGCTTGCCGAATCGCATGGTTCCGAATGGCTCTAAAATTTCCTAATAAGATTCTAAGCACCGTCCTCTGTGTCTTACCTGGATCTCTCTTCCCGAATCTCATAGTTCCGAACGGAGCATCCTCAGCAGCTCGCTTACCGAATCTCATAGTTCCGAACGGAGCATCTACAGTCTCACGCTTTCCGAATCTCATTGTTCCAAAGGGAGCGTCAATCTCGGAGTCACGTTTGCCGAATCGCATTGTGCCGAATGGTTCTGTAATTTTTTAATTTTCACTGGGTTACTGTAGTTGGGTCCTACCAGCACTCCGCTTCCCGAAACGCATGGTTCCCAGCGGGGTTCGTTGATCACGGATCACGGGTTCCGAGTCAACCGTGGATCGTTTCCACAGGACACCTGGATATTCTTCCTCGAACGCCAACACGTCGTCCAGGCTGGCTCGCTTACCGAAACGCATTGTTCCCAATGGAGAACGTTTTGGTGAGGCTTCTAAAAATAATATTTATCTAGCTAATAAGTTAGCTAACTAGCTAACTAGTTAGATAGTAATAGCTAGGATAGCTAGTAAGCTAACTAAGGATAGCTAGGATATCGAGAAAGCTAGCTAAAAATTTTCAACTTACCGGACGCCGCCGAAACCGCACAACCGATCAAGAAGAAGAGGATGAGGCGGTTGGGCGAAATCATTTAGTGACGGTGTCGCTTAAGCAAACACACACGGGGTTACCTAGAAGAAATTCAACAATTTTGAGTTTTGGTGAAGAAGGAAAAGTGAATATGAGCTTGTGAGTCAAGATGTGCATGTTTTTATACTACCCGAAAACCCTCCAAATCAGAATTTCGATTGCTTGACTGCGTTTGGGGCCGGTGAAGGTGTGGGAGAGTTCAGGAATGCGTGTAAAATATCCGCCCAGTGAGGTAAATATTTTATTCTAGCATCGCTGGGTTTCTAGAGTCTAGAAGAATGACTGAAAAGACGACTTGTGCCTTTTTTGAAGCTCAAAAATTAGAAGTGTCGAGTTGGTTTTCGCGAAAATCGGTTTAATAAGTACTGGGTACTTTCTATTGTTGGTTTTTGCCAAGTTTCAAGGAGGCGGGGAAAAGAAATCTAAGTGGTCCCCCCAACCAGTTGTCTGCAATTCACAGGTCAAACGATTAGTTGTATTGTGTGGAGAAGTCCAGAAGAGAATTCCTTTGACGTATCCCACACGTCTACAACTGTCTTCGAAAATTCTCAACACAATGGTTCCCACTCGTGTTTCTATAAAAGGTGTGCTTGGTCCCTCCCCAACTCTCTCAAATTATTGCGCGACCCTTCGTCATCTGACATTTTTGGCATGTTTCGAGAAAGAAATTGGGATAATTGAGCGCAGCGCAGCGCTAAAAATGTTTCAAGTTGCTCTAGGCGCGCGTAGGTGGTTTTTCAAAAAAATTATTAGTAACTCGAAATACTAACTAAAAAAGAAGGTAGGCCCAAAACCGGAAGAGGTGGGATCTCGAAAAAAAACCTATAAATCTTCGTACATGCTATAATTCATGCCTGCATGGCTGACGAGGAGTTGACGACGTTCGAAAGAGGGTTACGGTAGTTTTTGTGACTTATAGGAACCCTAAAATTACAAATTGGTACATCCGTTTGGATAATTGTGAGATACGAAATCTGGTTTAAAAATTGGGAAAGATAGAAAGAGGGAGAGAGAGAAGAGGGAGCTCGCAATTTGTACCATTTTTGGTAAGAAGAAGAGGTCAAAGTTGATTGATGGAGCTCTTCCAATTCTCCAATTTTCAAAATGAGGCTCACAATATGTGCGAAAAACGTCATTTAAGAAGGTGTCTATGAGAAATGAGTAAATGATCAATCAGTTTGAAGCGTGTCGACTATAGTCGGAGGAGGAAGATGGAAAAGTTGGGAAATCAGAATTTTAAAAAATCTGACGTTGTCCTTCTCCATGCCTTGCTTAATTATGCTCTGGAAAGAAGGGGGATCGAAAAAATGGTGGTGGCATTTTCGAAAACAATACAAAGTCATTCTATGCACTTTGAAGCTTTTCTTGTTTCCAAGAACTTCTCTGCAATTCTGAGCAATCTATATCTCGACAAGAAATGTTTTCTTTTGTTCTCGGTATTTTTTTTCCAGACACACCGGGTTAACAGATGGGCTATTATTCCTTGCGGAACCCAACCACTTTATTCGAAGAGAGCAAAAAAATAGGGTCGTTGTGTGTAAGGTGAAAATGGAACATGAAAAAAATAGTTGAAGAATCTAAGACGGTGAAGAAAAATGAGAGAAAATGGGTTTGTCCGAAAAGAAGTGGTATTTGCCGTTCATTTAGAATGGTGTCGTTGCCATTTACTGGAAGTCGTAGTCCGGCAATGGGTTGAATCGTTTTCCAAAGCTAGAAATTGAATTATTGCTATATTGACAAGTCTACTCACAATTTATCTCTTTTGGAAAACTAATAACTCACCGAATGGGCTCGCGTGGGGACCGTTTGCCAAAACGGATTGGCTCACCGCGCAAACGTTTTGCCATCATTGACGCCTCGAACACGCCGAGTTGGTTGTCGTTAGACTGGGCGACAGTAGTACCCTTTAAATAAGCTAGTTGGCCGCGTAATAGTTGTTCGCGACTAGTGGGAATAGGCAGTATTCGTTTGGGCTGCACAAATTGGAATGAACTTACAATGACGGCGAGTAGGACGAGGAAAAGAGCAGAAAGGATTGCGGAGGCTTGCATGGTTAACAGGGGATGGGACAAAGAAGTGTTTTGGCAACAACAGACCGACTGACAGTGAGTCAGATCGACGAGCAGGCGCTCAGTGTGCGGGTGTGTACCTGAAAATGGAGAGCTTTTTAGATGATCGTCATTTGAAAGCGAAAATGCGAGAGAGAGATGAATAGGAAGGAGAGAAAAAGAGAGATAGTGCTCATTAGCGGGGTTTGTACAGATCGTATTTCAATTTTTAACTATCATGCATGATGAGGGAGCTTGTTAAGAGAGAAAGAGCTCGAAAAACATGTACATCATGTGTAAGGAAGCCCCCAAGAGAAACAAGTATACAAGAATAGAAAATAAAATAATATTGCAATCAAAAGTCTCAATGACCGATTTCTGATCATATATAGTGCCAACCATGTTGATTTTGACCATATTCAGGAATCTAGAGCTCGGCTTTCAAGTGTCCAATCATTTTGAAAACATTTGTAAATGCAGTTTTTAATAGAGGTCTGTTTTAGACACTCCAAAGTCTTTAAAGTAATCGGGCATTTAAGAGCCGAGCTCTAGACTTCTGAAAATTGTCAAAATCAACTGAAATGGGTTATATAGTTATGGCCGACATTGTATAACAATTACTGAATAACAACACAAACTTTTCTAAACAAAATATTTTCAGGACCGTCTTCGCCCTGGCCGTATGCTTCTTGTGGACACTCATCTCAAGAAGATCGAGCTCGACGAGGACCTCAAAACCCGCATTGCCAACTCTCGCCCTCACAAACAACTCTCTTCGTCTCGAATCTACTTGGATTTGATTCGAAAGGATGATGTGCTATCCCACGGAGCTGTCACCAATGAATTTCTCAACAGGTTGCACTTGGAGCAAGTCAATCCGGGACTCATCAAGAAGAAGGATGTTCACTTGGACTCGGATCGTCGCCTGGCCCTCTACGCCTACACTCACGACACCTTCAGTCTTCTCCTTGTTCCTATGATCAAGGAAAAGAAGGAGGCGTTGGGATCGATGGGAAATGATGCGGCGTTGGCGTGTCTTTCGGATTATAGTCCACTTTTGTTCAGCTACTTCCAACAACTGTTTGCTCAGGTAAGCTATGGAAGACCCTTCTAAAGAGGGACGAATAAGTAAGAGTTGGGAATCACAACTGTGAAAGGGACGTCAGGAGACTTTAGGAAAACCCAAATGAAGTTCAAGAATCCCACCACAGTGGTCGTTAAATTGTTTTTGAGAATCGCCGAACGAATTCGTTCCACTAAAAACTCCACCCCTTTCGTAGTTGATTAGGAAAACAAACTAGTCAAGTTAAATCGTAAAATTAAAGCTAGTAGTCTTCCCGGAAGACGTATAAACTGAATGTTTTCAAAGAACGTTGGTTGACCATGACAAACCAATTTGAAAATAGGGAATAGTAGTGGGCGTTGTATAGAAAGCACGATTAGTAGAACTGAATGAAACTTTGATTACAGGTTACCAACCCGCCAATTGACCCGTTCCGCGAGCAGATTGTGATGTCTCTTCGATGCCCAATCGGACCCGAGTCGAACATGCTTGAGCCAGATACGGAGCTGGCAAGCAGACTGATTCTAGAGCAGCCAGTGCTCTCAATGGTGGACATGGAGGTATATAAATGGGACAAGAAATGTATTCTTCTTAAGAAAGGTTGCAATTAACTTGGAGGGTACAAAGATTCTGGGGTCATTGGGATACAGAGCAGTTTAAGGGTACAAAATCCTTAATTCTGGGATACAAAATACATATGAAAAATTCAAACGTTGTACCACGAATTGTGTATTATGTACCCCTAAATCACTTTGTAACTTTTTGTATCATTGCATCGTTATACCCTCCAAATTATGTCCCGAAAAATTCTAAAAAAGTAAGGAATCTGAGAAAGAAGAATCTAGAAAAAATGGCAATTCAGTCAGATGGGCCGAGTGGATTTATAGTCTTAAAATTAGCCGCTTTCGGCTCCGCCTCCTTCGTTAGGATTCTTGTGGGAATTTTGTGGGAATGACGCATTGAATTCGTCTATACAAAACTTTTTGGAACAAAAAAGTCATCAAATCCGGTATTTCCAGGTCATCAAGCGCACCATGTACAAGGGATGGAAGTCCAAAGTGATTGATATCACGTATCCAGTCAAGTACGGAGTGAAAGGTAAGATATACAAGTGTGACGAATTTTGTGAGAAAAGGAAGTCCTGCAGAAGGAGACTGATGGGACTAATTTACTAAGAAAGTTGCAATATTTTTTGGCTATGGCTATAGGGTAATTAGTTTGGGAAGATGAGTTTTTCGAAGTGCTATATATGGAGGATAACGAGTTCCTGGCCATCTCGTCATTATATCGTAGGAGGAAGATGTGTTTTTCAAAATAAGGTAGATATTACGATTTTTCTTTGAAAATCAGTATCTTCAGTAAAAAGATGAAAAACAAACTTTGGCGTTTTTTGTGTGACAATCTACGAAAAAAAAATTTTCTCAAAAGAAAAGTTGGCCATGAAAAATGTATATATCAGAAGAAAATATAATATATGTGATGAATTCTAAAATGTTTCTATTTTCAGGACTGGTCCCTGGTCTTGACGCCATGTGCTGTGTTGCTTGCACTGCCGCTTTGGATGGATACCAACTCTTGGTGCTCTCGGACAGACTTGCCAGCTCTGAACGGGTTCCCATTCCTTCGCTTCTTGCTGTTGGAGCCATTCATCAATGCCTGATCCGCCATCGTCTTCGTATGAAAGTTGCCATCGTTGTGGAGACTGGCGAGGCTCGTGTTGTGCACGACTTCTGTGTTCTCCTTGGCTTTGGAGCTGATGCCATCTGCCCATATATGGTTTATGAGACAATGTACCGTCTTAGAAACCTTGGACTTTTGGACAAAGAGCTCAACGACGACCAAGTCTATCAAGGATACCGTCAAGGAGTGGAGAGGGGTATTTTCAAGGTGATGGCCAAGATGGGTATCTCGACGCTTCATTCGTACAAGGTAAGGAATTCAGGGAGAATGGAAAATGAATTTGAACAAGAAATGGGGGAATGAGGAAACGACAGGAAATGAATGGGACGTGCGAAATCCTAATAGGACTCATCCTTGTGTTTTTGCAGCACGCTCAAATCTTTGAAATCGTGGGACTCGCCAAGGATGTGGTGGAGATGTGCTTCAAAAACACCGTGTCACGACTCGGAGGAGCAACATTCGAAATTCTGGCGGCCGAAGCGTTGAAGCGCCACCGCTCGGCCTTCCCAACAACCAGCGATGCGTCATTTGGTAAGCCAATATTGCCTGGAGGGGCTAGATAGGGAGTGAGAAAGTTGTGGGTCAACTAGACCAGAAAAAAAAATACTTCTTGGGATAAGGAGTTTGGGAAAATGATGTTCACAATGTTGTAAACGAGGCAAACAGCCGCCTGATGAAGTGGCGGCAGCTTGAAGAAGAAGAAGGAAGAGAGCTAAATTGAGTCAGTCAAGTTCAGAATAGACTAATTTGAAGAAGGAGGAGGAAGGATGGCTGGCAGCATGTGGAAAAGAGCAACATTACATAGTTTGTCATCTAAATGTCATAAGGAAGAATAGAAGAAAAATGAGTAGTGGGAGGAGGAAGAAGAAGAAAAACTAGTTATACGCTGCTACACAACGTCATTTACAAAACTATCTACCTACTCTTGTGGAAAATTTGATTTTGAAACTTACTACATCATTCGAGGAGGGTGCAATTTTTAGTTTCTAATTTTTTGACTGACATTCCACATGTCTAATCAACAAAGACACAAGTACAGTACCGGCGTATTTTTCAGTTGATTTTTAGTAATTTCGACCATTTTTAAAGAGCCTGGAGCTCAACTGTCAAGTTTGCTATAACTTTGAAAACGTTGGAGGGTGTAGAACAGACCTAGATTGAAAATTTTGAATTCACAGAATGTTTTGAAATTTTCTAATTTTTCAGTTATTCGGCTATATCTAGAAGACACATTTTCTCACCTTTTCAGTACAAGAATAGTACAAAAAGCGGTGTACAAAAACAGCCCAAAAAATACAAAAACGGTACGAAAACGGCCGAAAAACGGTTATCTGTCAGAAATTGGTAAATAGCTTAAGAACTAGGAGTTTTCGAAAAAAAATTTGTAAATTCAAAGTTTTTTTTCCAAGCTGTGTTTCACGCTCTCCGAAATTTTTAAAGTGACAGCCAAGCTCAAGACCCCTGAAAATGGTCAGAATAGCCTGAAATAAACTGATTTTCACGCTCTTAATAGTACTGTAACCATCAACAAGATCTCTCTCTCTCCATTTTATAGACTCTACAAACGTGAAAGGAGTCGAATATGGTGAGAAACACAAACTGACACACTATCTTTGGTTGCTTTTTAATTTGCATGGCTTTATTTTGAGTTTGAACTAATTTTTTACATCGCTTGTTGTTTGAAAAAAAAAAGAAAAAAGACCCGTAAAATTGCAGTTTTCAGCATGATTTCAGCTTTTGTGATAAGGACCAGGATCCTAATTAGAATCTTTTTAACATTCGATTTCAAATTTTCAGGTGACTCCAAAACCCTGGTCGCTTCTGGAACGTTCCACTGGAGAGCTGGAGGAGAGAAGCACATCAATGAGCCACTCGCCGTCGCCAAGCTTCAAGCTGCCACCCGTCTCAACAACTCGAAGACATTCCAGGAGTACTCACAGGCTTCCAACATGGCTCAACGCTGGTGCACACTTCGTGGACAGCTGGAGATCAAGACTTCGAAGAAGATTCAAATCCCAATGTCGGATGTGGAGCCAGCTAGTGAGATTGTCAAGAGATTTGTCACTGGAGCCATGTCATTTGGATCCATCTCATGGGAAGCTCACACTGCTCTTGCAATTGCTATGAACCGAATCGGAGCTAAATCAAACACTGGAGAAGGTGGAGAGAAGCCAGAGCGCTATCGCAAGGATCAAGATCCGAATGAGAATCTTCGTTCTGCTATAAAGCAGGTTGCTTCTGCCAGATTCGGTGTCACCTCGTCTTACCTGGCCAACGCTGATGAGCTTCAAATTAAGATGGCACAGGGAGCCAAACCAGGAGAGGGAGGAGAACTGCCAGGACATAAGGTCACCAAGGATATTGCGGACACCAGAAAGTCTACGGCTGGAGTCGGATTGATCTCACCACCACCTCACCATGACATCTATAGTATTGAGGATCTGGCCCAGGTTAGTAAAGCAGAATGAAAAATGAGAAAAGTTAAAAATGGGGGCGCATTTCCTTTGTTTCAGGAAGGGTAGACTGAAAAAAACAAAGAGGAAGTGAGGTACATCAAAACATCGGCTGAGATTCCCTGAAAATATATACTCACACCCGTTTGTTTTTAACAATCCCTAATTTTTCACAATTCAAAGTCCCAGAATCAGTAACGAATCTCTATTTTCAGCTCATCTACGATCTCAAGTGTGCCAACCCGGTCGCTCGTGTTAGTGTGAAGCTTGTGTCCGAAGCAGGAGTCGGAATCGTTGCCGCTGGAGTTGCCAAGGGAAACGCAGACCATATCACTGTCTCTGGACACGATGGAGGTACCGGAGCTTCCAGTTGGACTGGAATCAAGCACGCCGGACTACCATGGGAGTTGGGAGTGGCCGAGACTCATCAAGTCTTGACTATGAACAACCTTCGCTCGAGAGTTGTCCTCCAAGCTGATGGTCAAATCCGTACTGGACGTGACGTGATGATTGCTGCTCTTCTCGGTGCCGACGAATTCGGAATGTCCACCGCCCCACTGATTGTTCTTGGATGCACCATGATGAGGAAGTGTCATCTTAACACTTGCCCAGTCGGAGTTGCTACTCAAGATCCAGTTCTCCGTGAAAAATTCGAAGGAAAGCCAGAACACGTTGTCAACTACATGTTCATGGTTGCCGAAGAGGTTCGCTACTTCCTCTCAAAACTCGGACTCCGCAAGTTGGAAGACGCTGTTGGTCGCACAGACCTTCTCTATGCTTCCTCGAATCCAGTCAACAAGAAGGCAACCATGCTGGAGTTTGGATCTATCCTCAAGAACGCTCAACAAATGTTCCCAAATGTCTCCATCCGTGGAGGAAGTGTTAAGCAGGTCATTGAGCTTGGACAACTTGAGACCAACCTTCTGACTCAACTCGAGGGAGTCTTCAGTGAGGCTGGAGAGCATAAGATCTTTGACGACAAATTCATTACTAACCTCGATCGTACCTTTGGAACCAGGATCTCATACGAGATTTCCAAACGGTATGGAGAGATCGGTTTGGAAGGATCTCGCTCGATCACGATCAATCTCAAGGGACATGCTGGACAATCATTCTGTGCTTTCCTAGCTAAAGGTGTCAGTGTGACTCTGGAAGGAGATGCTAATGACTACGTCGGAAAGTGTCTCTCCGGAGGAAGCATCGTTGTCTTCCCACCCAAGAACGCTACATACAAGTCTGAGGAGAACTCGGTGATTGGAAACGTTGCTCTCTATGGTGCCACATCAGGAAACTGCTGGTTCCGTGGAGTTGCTGGAGAACGATTCGCCGTCAGAAACTCTGGAGCAAATGTGATCGTTGAGGCTGTTGGAGATCACGGTTGCGAATACATGACCGGTGGAAGAGTCATCGTGTTGGGAACCATCGGAAGGAACTTTGCCGCAGCGATGAGTGGTGGAATTGCCTACTTGTTTGCCCAGTAAGTTAACTTTAAAATATCGAATTTTAATAATTCTTTGGAAATTCCAATTTCAATAATTCGAATAAAATATTTCTAAAAACATAAAAATCTTATTTTCCAGAGAGGACAACTTCTCCCGCTTGATCAATGCTGCAACAGTGGATCTCGATGATGCCACCACCGAAGACCTCCTCTTCGTCAAATCCAAGATCGAGGAGTTCGTCAAGCTCACTGGCTCAGAACTCGGACAACGAATCCTCACTAACTGGCAAAAGGTGCACCAGAAGATTATCAAAGTCTTCCCACGCGACTACAAGAGAGTCCTTGCCGAGCAGGAGGAGGAAAAGAAGAAGCAAGCCGAACTGGACAAGGCTAACCAGGATATGAGCTTGTTGTCCGTTGATGATTCCAAGCCACGTACCCGCACGCTTTCGATGGACATGCAAATCGCACCAACTATCCGTCAGCACAACAAGAAGAAGGAGGCGTCGAAAAAGAAGAGTCTGGTGAGTATCTTTAACAGTTACACTGTCTCAAAAAAACAAATTATAAGTTTTGGTTGAACCCTTTACAGGAAAAGAATACCCTGCAAGTCCCGAAGGTAGAGTTCGTGTAGCAAATTGTGATTGTAATAGTTGTCTAATCAAATTTTTGTAGAAAAAAAAAACAACCTCCCTCCGAGCATGTAGTATTAGAATTAAAAATTATTTGAATATTTCCTAATTTCTGGTTTTCAGCTCGGCGACAACCGAAAGCAGCGCCGTCTCTCTAAGAGCTTGAGACCTCAAGATCTTGCTGGATTTGAGAATGAGGAGGACCTCCAAGAAGCTGCCGATCAGGAAGAGGAGGAGGAATCCAAGTCTGATCTTGAAGACCACTCTGACGAAGAGGAGGTGAGTTTTGGGAAATTTGAGAATCTAATTTCGTAAAAGACTGAAAACAAGACAATGAAACTAAAGGAAGAGGGAAGATTTTGTTTGAGAATGAGAAATCCCCAGCAGACAGAACATGACGTGACACACTGTAATTAGCTTTATTGGCTCCGTCTTGCAGAAGCTGATTTCGTTGTGTTTTTCAGTTTTTTAAGAAGATTGACGTCAATTGTCTTCTCAAATCAAAATGTTTTCAGTTTGTCGAGAAGAAGCCAAGCGTCGACATTGAGAGTCTTGGTGTCCCAGCCCATCTTCGCAAGAAGGACGAACCATTGGACAAGCTCCGCGGATTCGTCAAGTACAACCGCCAGAAGAAGATCTACCGTGATCCAAAGGAGCGTCTCAACGATTGGGATGAGGTGTACGACTTTGAAGCCGTGCGCAGAAACATTCGTGAGCAAGCCGCTCGTTGCATGGATTGTGGAGTTCCATTCTGTCAAGGACACTCTGGATGCCCACTCGGAAACATCATTCCAAAGTGGAACGACTTTGTGTTCAAGAAGAACTGGCGTCAAGCCCTTGAGCAACTTCTCCAGACTAACAACTTCCCGGAGTTCACCGGACGTGTTTGCCCAGCACCATGTGAGGGAGCTTGCACTCTCGGAATCGGATCCCCGGCTGTCACTATCAAGTCTATTGAGTGCGCAATCATTGATTACGCTTTCATCCAAGGATGGATGAAACCATGCAAGCCGGCATTCAACACTGGCAAGCGTATTGCTATCATTGGTTCCGGACCATCTGGACTTGGTGCTGCCGCTCAGCTGATCAAGGTTGGACACACCGTTGTGGTGTACGAACGCAAGAACCGAGTTGGAGGACTTCTGAGGTAATTATCTATTTCCAAGTTAATAATCTAATGTCTCAAAAAAAACTGTCAACCTTACTAATAATAATTTTTCCAGATACGGAATTCCAACCATGAAGCTTGACAAATTTGTCGTCGACCGTCGTATCACGCTTCTGGAGCAAGAAGGAGTCCGATTCCTCACCAACACAGAGATCGGAAAGCATGTTCCAGCCGATTTCCTTCTCAAGGACAACGATGCCATCATCGTCTGCACAGGATCCACCACTGCACGTGACCTGACTGTCGAAGGACGTGACGCCAAGGGAATCTGCTTCGCTATGGAGTATCTCGAGAAGAGTCAGCGCCGCCGTGCTGGAGACGACGTCTCATGGGAGGGTCTTGACCCAGCTAACAAGAAGGTAATCATCCTTGGAGGAGGAGACACCGCCACTGATTGCATTGCCACTAGCAACCGTCTCGGATGCAAAACAGTCGGAGCCTTTGAGATTCTGCCACAACCAGGACCAGAGCGCAAGCCAGAGAATCCATGGCCAGAGTGGCCACTCATCTTCCGTGTGGACTACGGACACGAGGAGGCCAAGGAGAAGACTGGGTCCGATCCAAGAACCTACTCGGTGTCAACCAAGAGATTCCTGACGACCACCAACTCTGCTGGAGTCAAGGTGCTCACTGGCCTGGAAATTGTTGATGTCGAATGGGAGAAGGACGAGAAGGGAGCCTGGAAGTTGGTCGAGAAGACCGAGTCACTTAGAACCATCGAGTGCGATTTGTGCATCTTGGCCATGGGATTCGTTGGACCCGAGAAGAGTGTCATCGAGCAGCTCAACTTGAAGACTGACCCAAGATCCAACATTCTCACTCCAAAGGACAAGTATGACTCGGACGTCGCCAAGGTAACTCTTTATTCTTCTTAAAATTTTTTTCGAATTTCTTATTTTCCAGGTCTTCGCTGCCGGTGACTGCCGCCGTGGTCAATCCTTGGTCGTGTGGGCCATCCATGAAGGACGTCAAGCCGCTCGTCAAGTCGATGAGTACCTGATGGGAAAGACGACGCTCGCCGGACCGGGAGGAATCGTCACTGCGCCGATTCAACACAAAAATGCTATCTAAATAGCTTACCATTTTTTAAATTAACCTATTTTTTATTTTTCAAATCCAGTATTTTGTAGCTAGTTTGCTAGCATATTTTCTTCCCCTACCTATTGTATTTTATAAATTAAAATGCTTGCCCCTCTTCTCTCCCAATGCCTTGAAATGCCATATTGAGGCAAAATGACAGTTTTTGCCATTTTTGGCCAATAAATTCAAATTGTAGTATGAAAATTTGTACCTGAAACTTTAAGGCTTACTTTGTGGCCATAAGTCTTACATTTAGGCCTTAAGACAAAACTTAAAACCTTAAGGTAAGTTTTACGGTTTTAAGCTATAATTTTAATTTCAAGTATAACTTTTGATATCTTAAGGCAACCTTCCAGGCTTTGAAGCAAACTCCAAGGCTTTAAGATTCATGACTTATTTGAAGTTTGTGCCTTTAAAATTACAGAAAAAGTCCAGAATGAGGAATTCGAAGACAATTTTTATTTTATCATTTTATTCGAATTTCAAAAAAAAAATTTGTAAAATAATTTTTACATACAATAGAGAAAATGCTAGAAAATTGAAAGATCGGGATTGAAGTTTCGTTTTTTTTTTGTAATTTAAGATTATTTTCTTATTTGGCAGCTCGAAAAAAAGGACGAAAGAATGTGTCGGCAAAAAGGCCCTAAGGAGATATTACGAAATTATGGGAAATCATTTTTGAAAGAGTGTTGGTTTTTGTTTTTTGTGAAGTTTTGTGAGTTTGAGTCAACTCTACTGAATCAAATAAATATCGAAGCGCGGATGTGGTGTTCCCGTTTTGGAGAGAAGAAAAAGTGTCAGAAGTTGAAAAAAAAAGAAAAGAGCTGTGTTTTTTTTTGGCACAACACGTTGGGATACGATTCCAAAAAGCCTAGAAATTGCTTGAGAGAGAGAGAAGGCAAAACATAAAAAAATCAATAAAAACGAATTATGATGGAATTACAAATATGCTGGTTGCTCCGGCCTCAGTGCGGCCACTCGTCGAATGTACTCGGATTCGCGGAAGAAATCGGATTGGAACGAATTGTGACGGATGGTGGACATTCCTGGAAAAGCAAGAAGTTTGAAATGTAGGTTCTAGTTGGTTATTCGGGTTCTTAGAAGTTTTGAAAGGTCCTTAATAACCGACTAGAATCAAAATTTCTCTTTTCTTTCCTTTTTCTAAAATCACCTGATGACGTTTCGTCTATAAATCTGAGCTTCATGAGCAGCTCATGTGGTTCAAAGGGTCGATCGCGGAGTTCGTTGTCTAAAAAGTCACGGACATCATTCCACGTCACTTTTCCGCCCTTTTTCCGTCGCATCGCACCGAGCAACGCTACGATTTCTTTGAGCTCTTCACTCATTCCAAGGAATCTAAAAAATTAATAGTTTGATTTTTCAGGATGTATCTAAAATTACCGTTTCGCCCGTCCGAAATAGTGGATTCTAGTGAAATAGGCCTTGAGATGAGTTGACGCCAAATCAACGCACATGGTCACCACCGACAGTCCTAAAAATAGAAAATTTGCAATTTTTAGACTGTTTGGGAACTCATACCAACTATAACGAAGGCCACAATTAATGAGAGAAATATGTAATCCGTAACAACAATGTCGCCAAGACCCACTGTGACAATTAGATTAAAACCAAAGTGAAAGGCATGGATGAAAGACCAGGTTCTGAAATTTTTAGTTCATCTAGAATAATTTTTTGGAAAAATTCAATTATAATACACAAAAAAATCATGTTTAGTGTAGGAGAACTGAATTTTTTTTAATTATTGAAGAGGTCCCAATATATATTTTAGAGTCAAGCTGCAGACTTTTTAAAATGGTCAAAATGACCAATAATCAACTCAAGAATATAATTTTGAGTATCTTATCGGCTTTTACTAGGTAAATAGATTCGCAAAATGCTAGCATTCATATTTTCACTAGAAACTCGGAAGTTTTCGGTTCAGAAAATCCCAAAAAAAAATTCCGAAAAAAACTTTTTTTGGGACAGTATCAGGTTTGAGGACAGGTGCCCACGCTATGTTCAGGGGCCAGTTTTTTAATTCCGGATTCAAAATTGACAGTGTGAAAATCCTTGTATTACAGTTTCTATTGTAGTTTTGTAATTTTCTCAAAATATATTTTATTGACGCCAAAAAGCCCTTCTTACCTCTCCCAGTTGATAAACATCGCAGATCCCATTGAGCAATATAGGCAGATACATGACACGTAGGCACCTGAAACCGTATCATTATTTTTCCAGAAATCCTTATCATCCGATAGAACACCATACATTGTGTGAGGTGGAAAAAAAGAAGGGATAGGGTATCATTTGAAGTCGGACACAGGAAAAGAATAGGTGAAGAGGAAGACGCGGATAGAAGGAAACACACAGTGAAATGCTTTGTTTGTTGATAGGACATTTTAAGGACATAAGGGTGAAACGTGGATAGAGACAGAGAAATGTTAATTTCAGCACTCCATTTAGACAGAAATCAGTGGTGAAACATTTTTGTTCAGCGGATAGATATAGGACAGCGACGTTTTAAAGAAAGGAATTAGTCCCTTTTCCAAAACAAAGATTGTTTAGAAAGGAGAAAGATAGGACATGACACTTAACCTTACCGATTGGAAACCATAATTTTGTTCTTTCACCATTTGGAACTGTCATGATAAGTGATTATTGATAAATATGATAAAGGTTATATACAATAATTGTTATAATATTGACTGAGATCTATGGTTTGTCAAATACATTTCTAGATACAATTACCTATTGGGAACCAAAGCTTCTCTTCAGTTCCATCGACACCCAAAATATCAAGGGTATCGTTTTGGCCACCCGTTGACTGTAGTGACTTTCTTCGGCCGTGTCGCACACGACTCATCCATTGCTGAAAGTTTGGATTTGAAACTCAAAATGTGGAGTTCAAAACTCACTTTTACTTTTCTGACACTTCGATTCCAAAAACTAACAAATTTGAGCAATGTTTCAGATAAGAACTTTCCGATATCGGCGGCTGTTATGAACATAAGTGGGATGCCAACCAGTGCGAACGCCACGGAGAACACTTTTCCGACATCCGTATCGACGGACACTTCTCCATAACCTGAAATTAAAATTTTTAGCTACAGTAACCTCTTAAAAACCAACCGCAAGTAGTTAAGACAGTCAACACGTAGAGTAACGCCGTTGGAAACGTCCATTTGTTATGCATATTTGATAGATCGTCAGGTCGGTTTAATTCCCGTCGGATGGGTCGTCGATCGTCGACTGTTTCTGACACGCGGACCATCCATTCTCGAAACGTCGCTGCCCACTCGCCTTCATCCATTGTGATCGATCCGTGTTGAGCGTCGCTGAGCATTCTCCAGCTTTCTGCTGTGAAGTTGGACATCAAATTTGTTAACCTGGAAAGAAAAATTCACTTGTTTTTTTCTAGAATACTAGAATTTCTAGGATTTTCTAGAATTTCAGTGTTAAAACGACTTCGAAAAAATGAAATTCAAGGTTTGGACATTTTGCAGTATCAAACTTAACTACTAGCCAAACAGGCCTATCCAAAGCAATAGCCCACCCTTCACGTCCACTTTGGGCTCACTTTGAACTCAGCTCCTCCAAAAGGGGTCAAAAAGTTGTCAACCGATAAAATATCGGTGATAATGTGATAATTATTTTATCTGTTGAAAATTTTAATATCTTTTGAAGGAACCGAGATAATTCAGCGTAAAATGCGGATGGGCTTCTAAAAAATATATGGGAACCAGAGCTCTGCGGCTCACTATTCACTTCAAACTCAAAACTTATTACAGCCTATGAGTAAAATATAGATTGTATCATTTTCAGTAGTTTTCTCAAGGCTGAATCAGACAGATAAGGTCGATATTATGCATAATTTATTAATTTTAACATTTTAAGTCAAAAAATAAGTTTTTCAAATCAAACCTGTGACTGATTTATTACCCTAAAACCTGTACTAGAAGAAACCTCTAACTTCAAACTGTGTACCAATATTTTTCGGTTCCTGTCAAAGTTATAAAAAAGTTGTCATCTGAAAAATTGTTCATCATAATATCAGAATGGCTTTATCAGTTGACACAGTTTTGATATCTTACATAGGAATTTAGTTAATTGAGCTCAAACTTGACAGGTTTGGTGTAAAACCGTAAAACATGTGGTAGTACGTTCCAATTTTTATCGGTTCCGGTCAAAGATATGAGAAAGTTGTTAACTGATAAATTGTTTATCAAAACATGAGAAATGTTTCACCAATTAACACATTTCTGATATCTTGCTCAGGAAATGAGATAATTGAGCTCAAACGTGACAATCTGGGATTGTTCTTTTCTTGCTTACGGAATCTTTTCGAAAGTGCCCACAGCCATATTTTACTGTTTTTCCCATATTTTTCAACCCACCTGACAAGTTTCTTTGATCTGGAAAGCAGCTCTGTCCTCGTTTCCAACAGCATGAGTATCCAAGCTCCCAAGCACAAATAACCAATCAGCACTGACACCAAGATCACGTGAGGTAGAAGGATTTTGATGTACTGAAAAGTTTTCTATTTTCTGTTTTACGCTTTTCCCATTCAAAAAGTTTCAAGTCCAAAATTTTTCTTCTGGTTTCCTGCCTCATCACTCATTTCATTGTACTTGGTGCAATCAATCTCCTCCTCATATGGGGTTTGATTTCTGTGCGGAAAAACGACGGCTACGCACACTCAACTACTTGTGCTCTCCCCCCGTGCTTTTTTTTCTTCGGGAATCCGTTATTTTTTCGGATGTATATATGGGTATGTGTGTGTAGTGATTCCCCGGGGAGCTGAACCCGCACCATCCACTTCCTAACATTTGTCAAAGCACATACAACCGGTTGTTGTTGTTTTTTTTTTTCAAAAAGCAATGAAGGAGAGGAGGAGATTTAATAATTATTGTAATTAACTTAAATTTATAAAAACGGAAAATGAGAATATTGAAAAATCCATGGGAAGCTAGGAAGGCAAAATCAAGACTGCTAATAACCACTAGATAAAAATTTAAAAAGTCACCTTTTCGTCTTTCTTCCTAACTTTTCTAGAACGCCTTAAGGTGCTGGTGGTATGCATAACAAGTGAAAAAAGAAAAAGTTTGCCAGAAAAAAAACCTCCCTTGTTTTTTTTTCTCTATTTATGTCACATAAAAAAGGCTCTGTCAATCATCTATTCACATGATAATTCATATTTGAACGCTTTTTGGCAACATTCTCTCCCAAAAAAAAAACGTCATTCTAATTTTTGAACATGCCCTTCTTCTTGGTCTTCCCAGTCATAAATTGTCTAGGCTGACTCTTTTTTTGGGATACACAACAAAAAAAAGAATAAGACATGAGTCCCAGTGCCCAGCCCGTCTCAAAATTTATTGCCGGTGGGATTGGAGCAGAGAGGAATGTTGCGAAAAACTGACGGCAAGAAGAATATTTCGAGAGCACTGATCATCCGTTTTGTTCCAAAAAGTGTGTCTCAGGAGGAATGGGAGAAAGGAGGAGGAAATATGTTTTGCCTTGGATTTAACTATGGTAAAAAGAAGGAAACAAAATATGACCCAATGAAAAGTGAAAAATTATGGCTTGGAACTTGGCAAATGATTCGGAGGGTACAAAAATGTAAGGGTCATTGGGGTACAAAGAAATACAGAGGTACAAAACGCTTGAAAAATCCGAAATATGTATCTCCGAATTGTGGATTTTGCACCACTAATTCACTTTGTACCTGCTTGTACCACCGAATTGTTTTACCCTCCGATTCATGTGCCTTTGAACTTACTTTCACTGTCTGTTGCGGACAGCTTTTTGGCTCCTTATCCTCTTGATCATCTTTGATAGTGTCTGTGATTACTGTAGCACCGTCATCTGCATCCAGAAGCGCCGATTGTGAATTGATATTCGCACCTTCCCACCGAGCTGTCACATGATCTGAAAACAAAAAATATTAAGACTGTCCCAAAAACCTTCGGAATCTGAAATCTAGTTTTGAAAGAGAGACCAATTATAATTTTCCCATCTTCCTGTATAGAAATAGTGGGCCTCCGTAATATGAGTTTCCGTTGACTGTGACGTCTAGCATCATTGGTAGAGAATACAGAATCCACCGGGGAAGCAGCACAAAGCTCTAGAATGCCAACAGGTGGCTGGTTTCCACCGGTCCATAGTTCTTGATTTTCATCAACTAGAAATCGAAGATGCTCAGGGACCAAGCGAGCGCGTTCTGGGTCATGATGACCAAAGTTGCGGCTCAAAATTTCGGGAATTTGAACCGAAAGTCGAGTGTCCAAGTGTCCGACATGCAGATGATGTTGATGTGTCAGTGTGCCTCTTCGATGGCTGGCCGACGATGAAGACGCGACGTTGGGTGAGTAGAAGAACATAATTGACGAAGAAAAAAATATATAGACTACCCAAGATGGCTAGTCGTAGAAATAGGAAAACATAGTTAGAAGGTTGAAGCTAGTTGAAATCAGTTTCTCGCGTATGCTTTTGCATTTTGTGAATTGCATAGCGTAGCGTGAAAAGAGGGGGGATGAGGGCGGGGGCAGAGATATGCACGCTGTCGTCGCAGGGCCCAAAAACGTCTTAAGTTAGCATATCTGTGTGTCCCGGGGAAATATGCTCCCAAGGAGGAGGGCACCCGCGGGTCCTGAAGTTAATTAATTTTTTTAAACGGCTTCACTATGGTAAGATACTATGTTAAGGTTCTGGTTCAGACACTAGAAATAGTTCCATGCATAGTAGTTCCATTTTCACACATGATTGATTTTGAATAGAGTTACCAAGTTTGATTTGCTGAGTCCAATAAGAAGATCGAATGGGATATATTTTGGGTTTTAAAGATTTAAAAAATAATATAAAATTTAATGAAGGTTGTTAGTTTGAATTCAAAAAAAAATTATATAAAGAAATCACCCAGTTTTTCACATTGTAAAATTTTAATTTTTTTTGTAATTTTTGCGAATAAATCGGAGGGTACAACGATTCGAGAGTACAAAAGAAGGAGTACGAATTGATTTCGGGAAACAAAATTCACAATTTGGAGGTCCAAAATTTTTTAAACAGTTTTTTTTAAATCTGATCGACAAGATCAATCCAATGTTTATAATTATTTCCTTTATGAATCTAGATCCTCGTGAAAGATATTAAAAACAAATTTCAACTGATTCAATATTGCTGATATCGTGATGAACAATTTATCAGTTGACAAGTTTTGATATATTTTACAGGAATTGAGATAACTGAGCTTGAACTTGACAGTTTTAATGGTCTTATATTAGAGAAAATATGGGCGGCCCTTTTGAATTATTTCCGAATACCTCCAGAAGGCCCTTTTAATACAGGTATTACAACAATTTCTTAGATTCTATTTTCAATTTTACATTTCAAACAATTCCTGTTCCTAAAAAAATCATCAATCCTACCTACTTCAAACTGACTCTGAAGAGTACTCATCCCTAAAAAACGTCATAAAACAAATTCCCTCCTAAAAACAAAAGATTTTCAAAAAAATATAAGAGCACCTTGAAGTCCATGCAACTTATGGCAAAGTTGTTCGGCATCAAGTTGCAGCGGAGAAATCACGACCATCGAGAAAACCGAGTTTTCATTTAAAATAAGCCGGCTACCTTGGTAGGTGTCGCCAGGCTCTCTGCAAAGGTCAATGGGTCCATAAGGAAATTGGTTAAAAGACAAAAAGGTGTGGTGGGGTGGGGACATGAATCTGAAAATTGAGTCATGTCCCAAGGGAAAGGGTACTCTAAAAAAAGTGGTTTTTTGTACATATGGAGTGTTAAAAAAGCTAAAATAATGAGTGAACAAATGTCCTTCATTCAGAAGGAAAGAAAAAACCTTGCCTGTCAAAAACGTCGAGCACAAAAAATGCTATCATATTTTTTTGACGAGAAGTATACATTTTTGATACTTCTTGTCCGTCGAAAAGAGCTCAATTTATCATAGGCCTATTGTTTCTATAAATTTCCAGAAAGGGACAAAACTTTGATTTTTGAAATTGAGACTCACATGAATACTAAAAGACCTCAATGGTGGGTCCGTGCAAGGAACAAAAACCCTATTAGAAATTCAAACATACTACATAAACTTTGATTTGAAACACAAAAAAGTTTTTTCTTGCTAATCTGAAGGGTTGGCAGCGAAAAAATAAAGTACAACTTTTTCCAAAAAAAAAATGGACTACTAATTATTTGAGTAGAGAGCACGCGATCCAAAACTTTCATGGGTATTGAATTCAAGAAGAACAAGCTAGAACAAGTCAAAAACTAATCCTAATACGAATTTCTTTTAAAAATAAGAATGACAGAGAAAATAAAAAAAAGACTAGAATTGGTAGAAAACTAGAAAAAGATGGGAGGTACATACAACTGAAATGCCCTTTAAATCCACTTCTTTTCATTTCTAATCACCTTTTTTCCTGTTATGTTGATGCTGTCCTTCCCTTCTCTCCTCTTCTTCTTCTTTGATTCCGGCAGTCGTTTTTATGAGGCCAGCGGCGCTGAACAGAGCAACCGCCGGACTGAATTGCTCGTTTCGGAACGCTTGTGAGAATATCATCACTCAAAAATAAGTGGGGGGAAACAGAAAGGGTTGGTTGGTGGACCCTGCTATCAACTCCTCAACATCTGCAGGGGCACAATATTGATGAACGGCGGATTGATAGAGTTGCAAAGAAGAAATAGTACAGAGATGTTATGTCATAAAGTTATGAATAGGGAATGAATGAGTTCTAGAGGGGTCTTCTTTTCCGGTCTACTACTTGGTCTCAAGTATCAGAATTCAAAAGTTGAAGATAAACATATTTACCTGACGCGGCGTGGTTCATAAATTTTAAACAGAAATTCATCAATCTATAGTTTGAAATAGTAGGAGACACTAGGAAATGTTTAGATACTCTGAGAGGATGCACCAAATGCAAATTTACCGGAAGTGGAAGACGCTGTGATAGGTAATGTGAAGAGAAAGGTAAAGTGAATTGATCCTGACATGACTTATAAATAAATTCTCGATGAAATTAAGAATTAGGAAGAAGGAAAATAATTGGAAATTACATTTTTTTAATTTGAGATTGTAATGTTAATTTTGGAATAATTTTTAGAGTAGGAACTGTTATAGGAAAATGTTCTCGTCGAGTATGATGGCCCTTAAACATAATTTCGGATCTTGAAGATAGATGTGAGCTTTAAAAGAAGTTTTTATCCTTTAAGATAATGTTGGCCCTTAAAGACTGTTTTGGTCCTTAAAAAATGTTTTCCCTTAAATGTAATTCTGGCCCTTAATGGTAATTTTTGTCTTCAAAGATACTTTTAATCCTTAAAGATATCTATATGACCAAAAATTATCTGCGAGGGACAAACTTATTTTGAAGGACCAATAAGGTCGACGAGAGCAATAACTGCCTATTGACTGACAAAGTTGAGCTCATTTTTCTTGTTTCCTGTAAAAGATATGAAAAAATAATCAATTGGGAAAATGTTTATCATAATATGAACAATATTTTGTTAGTTGAAGACTTTTTGATATCTTTTACAGAAACCGAGATAAATGGGCTTGAAGTTAACAATTGCAGAACATTTTTAGTAAGGTATTACGGTAGTTAATCTAAAACTTGTGTTGAAAATAGTGTAATAAATTTAAAATATAAAGTTTCAAAAAATTCAAAAAATTCAAAAATCCAAATTTCGATATTTTGGACAAAAGATTGATTTCAAATAACAAAGTTATAACTTTTTGGAAAATGAGACATTCTAATAAATCCCAAAAAATTATGACCTCCACAAAAAAAATCTAGGGACCACACACGTATAAACGTCTTTTCTATGAACCAAAACTGATGCTCACAATGTCATATGTAGCAGGAAAGACGAAAAAAATGCATCCGACGCCTATCCCAAGATCGCCTCACTTTTTGTCTCTCTGCTAGCCTTCTAGTTAGTTTTACATGTGGGTGTCGTTCGTCTGTGAAACTAAATTATATTTGCGTTTTCTTCCACTTCTTGTAGGAACCGACAAGAAGCTGTGACCTCGAGTCTGACTATATAGGAGACCGGAAAAAAGGTTGTGGTCAGTGTAACTGCCTCTATTTTCTTATTTTTCTTCAAAAGCAAAAAAAATAGAACAGCAAGTGTAGCTTACTAGATCTTTGTGATGTGACAAATGACCATTGAGAGTAATGGGAGATGAAAAGGGTAGCTAGATTAGAAAAGAACAAAAAAATATTGAGGAAATGTAGAGAGACGTGAAAATTAGCATTCTGAGAAAAAAAAACACACTTTCTTCTTTTTGAAAAGGAACGAAAAACTTTGGAAACCTAAATGGTCAAACGTTTCGACTCTATTTTCGAGTTTTGGGTTTGATGGATAGTTTAGTACCAAAACCTCCCAAGATTTCTCTTATTTTTCTTCTTCTTCTTCTTTTGTTTCGAAACGATTTTTAACCAACCGACCGAAAAACAGTTGGGAAAAAATAGAAAAAATAAGGAAAGAAAACGAAGAAGCGAGAAAAAGTTTCTTTGTTAAATTCAATAAAAACATGATATTCTTTTGGTTTCACGGGAATCCATATGTTTTTTTTGGTGTATTTCCATTCATTTCTTGCTGGGTTTTTGAATCTAGAACATCAAAATCGGAACCACCATTTTTAATGGGGCCCATAAAAGTTTCTTGCATGAATACTTGAGAAGATGGCGACCCATTATCTAGCAAGCTCATCAGCAATCATTTTTGATCCCAAAAAACGTCTCTAATATCCTTTCTTCTTATGTTTTGAAGATTTCAAAATGAAACTATTAAAAAAAAAAGAAAAAAAATCATAATTTCTTTTGGGGTTCTGCAGAAGTCGAAGAAAAAAGAAAACGCGAGGCTTGATCAGCAAACCCCGCACAGGAAATAGTTGGAATTGTGAAGAAGGGCAACCCATTCGTAGCCTAATTAAAACTGACCCCCTCTGAAATATTTATCGACCCCGGTCCACCCCGAAATATTGGGTTGTTGTCAATCTTTTGTTGGGAGAAACACCAGACACGAGAATATGAGTTTTCCGAAAAGAAGTACATCAAAATTATATTTGAAAAAGAAAGAGTCAATTCAGTTTTTCGCACAAAAAATGTGATTTTGGAATGCTTACACTCATATTCTCAGCTGACAAGCTTTTTAGACCAACAACCAAGGATCAGTAGAATAATCGAAAAACGTTTTATAAATATTTTTGACACTTTTGACGGAAATTGAGAGTATTTCCGATCTCATAATGAACAATAAAATAGTTTTATCAAAACTTTTGTTTTTTTTTCGAAAATTGACTTAAAATTTTGTTTTTTGTTTAAAATCCATTTTTGAGCAATTCGGTGACACTGAAAACTGTTCACTTTTAAATACCGTATTTTCTCTGATAGAAGCTCATTTTATGCGTACACTTTGAGCTTTATTATCTCGGTCCCTATGAGATATATTAGAAATTTGTCAGATGATAAAATATTGGTGATATTATGATAAACAATTCATCAGTTGACTACTCTTTGATATCTTTGAGAGCAACCAAGATAAATTGGCTGAAAGTTATAAGTGAGGGGCCCTTCTAGTAGAGGTTTTTCAGTATTATTCTGAATTGAACTTCTTGAATTTTTTGAGAGAAAATTGAGAATTTTCAAAGAAAGATCTGGTTTTGGTAACTAACCCAAGAAAAATTTAGAAATTGATCACATGTAGCATTTTATCGGTCAAAAACTATTGAAATTTCACTGAATATCGGCTGAAAATGAATGAAAATTGGTTAAAAATCGAAAACTTTGAATTTTTGAATTTTCGGATTTTCCACTTTCTTGAAAATTCGATATTTGCCGAATTTTCAATTTTCTGGATTTCTGTATTGTTGAAGATTCGAAACACCGTAGCCAATTTCAGGCCTAGCTAGTTCTTAAATTCAAATATCAAAACGTTTGTACTAAACAATAGGAAACAAAAAAAGGAACATCTTTTTCACAGACCCAACTGAACGACTCAAAATGAAGCCATCCTCCATTTTTCCATCGTCAGCTTAAAGCTGCGCAGCTTATACCTCCTCATTTCGCCAACACCCCATCCATATCCGTTCTGTTTTCCCCTTTCTGTGATTTGTTCTCTTTTTTTTCGTATTTCAGTACAAGACATGATTTATTGAAAGATGCATCTCCACGAAATTAGCGCCCAGAGAAAAAAAATACGAGGGCACAAGCTAAAAGTCATTTATTAATGTGTGAGCACAGTTTGGGGATGGTTGTAGAACGAAAAAAGACCTTGAGAGCTTTCCCATATTTTTTTACGCTGGCTCTGACCCTTTAACTTTCTTGCCGCCTTTCACCAAAAAAAGTTATCGCTGGGGGGTCGGAAGATGTCGCAGCGTTTCTTCCGCAATTCGCCGCACCCAAATTATCGGCTATTTAAAGAGAAGAGGGGGGGGGGTCTGGGAGAGAGACGGGGTCTTTTTTCCCGGGGAGAAATTTTTGCAGTGCTGGAGGGCACACTTGTCAAAAAAAATTGTTGTATGTGCTCCTCTCCCGGAATTGTACATAGAAAAAGAGTTGCATGATTTATGACAACGATCTTGGCTTGAATATGCTGGTGCAAAACTCGTAAATGCACTGATTTCACAAAAAAAGGGAACTAGGAACACAGTAGAAAAAAGAACACCCAAGAGAGAGGTTGGGAGCTCTTTGTAGAATTTATGGGTCGCGATGATTTTGTGTGTGATTGCACTCTAGAGATTTATGTCCCTTATATTTTCTCATGTATATGTAGACATGATATTTTAGTCAAGGGAATAATAGGAGGAAGATAATTCAATTATTCTTCTGTTCCTCCGAATTGATGTCACCACTTTTTTGCGGGGTTTTTTGGATGTGGTGAATAGATCAAAGAAGAGGGAAAAGGAAAAAAAAAACTGCATCGAACGTCTATACAACTTAAATTCAATTAAGATATTAGCCGGAGTCAAAATCCAAAAGAAGAAAAAATAAGAAAATACTAACAAATAGAAATAAAAACAGAAAAACAAACCTCCATCATGTCGGCCTGGATACAGTTCGGCAAGCTCGTTGGGCTCTTTCAGGTGTACTTTCTTGGTGCCCGACGGCAGGACCGTAATGGTCATCCGTCGCGCATTTTCCTCCAGAGTCCATTGGTTCCAGAATTTCCGGAGGAACATTGGCTCTCGGTGTCACCGCGCGCGCGTTTCGGATGAAACCGAGCAGCAGCCGGTGCGATGGTATTGTGATAGAGAATACAAGAAGAAATGGTTGGGACCCGAATGCTGAAGTTTTTGGCAATAATTGGGGAGGAAAAATAGAGGAAACGAAAGGAAAACAGGGTAGTAATAGGAAATCAAAATATTTTATGAAATGGAAGTTAGAAACTCAGCGATTCTCTTCAATAGAAAATGTATCAAACAAGTTAAACCTAAAAAAAGCGTGCTTTCAAATTTTTTGAATTTTCTAAATTCAGTTGTTGAGCGGAAATCCCTAAATAGGTAGTTATGCTGAATAAATGCTCCAGTTTGGAATCAGAAATTCGGAAGAGCATATTTTTGAAATTATGTCCTAAAAATGAGAAGGAACAAGATTGATTGTGGGCACACAATAAGGAGGGTCCAACAATTCGGGGGTACAAGGGGTACAAAGTGATTTTAAAGTTCAAAATTCGGATTTTCAGGTATTTTGTACCCAAGTTGTGAATTTCGTACCCCTAAAGTTACCCTTTTGTACCTCGATTTGTTGTACCCTCCGAATTATTTGCCTTGATTTTAATTTTTTTTTTTTTTGAAGAAATCCATATTTTTAGAATGGAAAGTTCTGAATTGATTTTCGATACTGAATAAGCCTAGTTTAATAGCCGGCAATTCGAAGAAAATTTTAATAAATGAAAAAAAAAACCGATAAATCACTTTTAGAGCAACAGGTGGACCCCACGACCCCAATCACACATTACACTATGTTTTTGCACTTCCAAAAGGTTCTAAGACCACCTAAGCTCTCAGACACTCATCTCTATTCTTAGCCAACAATGAAGAAAAGTGCACAAGTGAGAAAAAGTAAGAGTGAAGGGAATTTTCAAGTAAATTCTTTTGAGTGTATCGGTTTTTGGGATTCTAGTAAAGGCCAGCCGCCAGAATGGGGAGGACGTCGTGACCCACCAATATTGGCTGCGAATTATTCGCGCGGAAACCCAAAAGATGAGCTACTTGTTTAGGGGTTGGTGCAAGTTCTAAAAAGTTCCGTAGTACTTTTGCCCCGAGTTAGTGAATAATTTCTGATGCCCTACACAAATTCGATCAAGATTTTTTACTTTGTTCGGGGTTCGGGTTTTTGTTTGGAAAAGAAGTTCGGTTGGAACAAGAATTTGAGCACAGAGAATTTCAAGCGAGAGGAGAAAGTGAAAACAAGAGAAAAAACCTAGTTCCATAAATTGTTCAAAATTATGGAGGTGGGCGTGAGTTGTGGAACAAACAGAATAAGACAAAAAATTTTGGGATCTGTTTTTTTTTTAGTTTTGTAAAATTGGAGCCTTGAAGAAATGGCGTCAAATTTTTGGCTCTTTCCGGGAAGAACGGTCCCAAAACGGGACCGTCGGTCCCTTCATCGGACCGCCGGTCCCAACGACTTGCGACAACGGTCCCATTGTACCGACAACGGTCCCAATGTCCCGAGAACGGTCCCAACGTTCCGACAACGGTCCCAAGGGTACGACAACGGTCCTAATGGTACGACAACAGTCCCAAAGGTACGACAACGGTCCCAACCAGGCTTAATCTGGAAGCCCTATTGGAAACATCGGAAATTGTAATTTTGTTTCAACTAAGAAACACACTTCAGCAACTAAAACAAAAATTTTGCTGATAATTGAGAATTCAAGCAATTTTCCACTGAAGTGTTTTCAGAGTGTATTTGGTTTATAATTATAGGTTTGGTCTGAAACGCCTTGTTCACATCAGTGCCGGTAAAAGGCTTTTTGGCCTAAGCCTACAATACAAAAAAGTAATATTTTGTGAAAAATTCCTGTCAAAAAGTATTGAAAATCCCAAGTATAAGGGAAATGCTAAATTTTCCACTGCGTTTTTAAAAGGCCATTCCGTTTTTTTTTTGTATTTCGGGAATAGGGTTTTCAGATTAAGCCTGGTTGGGACCGTTGTCGTACCATTAGGACCCTTGTCGTAACCTTGGAACCGTTGTCGGTACGTTGGGACCGTCGTCGAAACAATGGGACCGTTGTTGCAATTCTTGGGACCGGTGGTCCCGTTTTGAAACCGTTCTTCCACGAAAGAGCCAAATTTTCTTAGGTTTTTGAAAATCTTGAGACCCAATTGTTCTCAAAAAAAATGGTTTTAAAATAATGCAAAATTCTTGGCACATTATTCGGGGGTTACAATAATATGGAGTACAAGGGGGTACAAAGGGATTTAGGGAGACGAAATCCCCAATTGAGAATGTTGTACCGCTAAAATGCTTTGTACCCCAATTACCCCCAAAAGTTCAGAACTATCTGAATTATATGCCATAAATTTCGAAAATTTTGAAGCTAGGTATGTTGATTAGGTTTTGCGAAAATTCTAAGAAAATTGAAAAAATATGAGATTATAAAAAACTCAAAAAAAAAGTAGAAAAATCGAATCCAAACGTTTTCAAGAACCCCACGAAAATACTAGGGGTCATATTCCAAAAAGCCCTGGGTGGGGGTGGGGATGGCTGATGCTAGAAAGAAAGTTTTTTTTTGTTGTCTTCTCGTTTATATCACCACAACAAGGGCGTGAAAATGTCAAAACCAGCAAGAAGAGAGAGATAGAGAGAGGAAAAGTTACATTTTGTTTAGAGATTCACATCCGTCGTGGGCTCGGGACCCCACCAACACCACCAGTATACCAGTATACCAACAGGGATCCTATTTTCCAAAAAAATAATGTTTTTAATTCATGCAAATCATAATTATGATAAATGGGGGAGGGGGGGGGGGAGTGCTGGTGGCATAGATGACAATCATGAAGTTCCTTGACGGATGTGAACGACGACAGAGACCGAAAAATGTTCGTTCTTCTTCTTCCTATCTCTCTCAAATCCGGACCAATTTTTTTGGTTGGTCGTGTGCCCCCTCCACTTAATTATGTTCTATTCTATACGAAACGATTCTGGATTCTGAAAAAAAAGTAGCGCATCTGAAGTATGGAGCAGCGCACAGAAAAGAAGGCGAGCGTAGGAGCACAGCACAGAAAAAAAAACAAATCCTGGAGGCTCGCGTAAGTTTTGGGACTCTTGGCCCCGACGCTTTGACCAAAAACGAAACATATGCTCGTAAACATAAATTAAACTTTTGAGAGACGCTTCCTCCTCTCGGCCACTCTTGCGCCAACACCACTCTGGGTCCCGGGCCGATGCCTTTCTTTCATATCGCACCACGCCTCTCAATGTCACAAAACAAAAAAAGTCGGTGGTGGTGGTGGTGGTGGTGGTGTTGCTTCTGCATTTTTTCTCTCTTTGGAAACATACATCTCAAAAACAAATACACTGACAGTGACACGGCGTTCACAAGGTTCGATCTGTCGGACAGATAATGGGCTCATGATATCGCTGAATTCTATTCTGTTGAATTCAGAGAAAAAAATCGGAGGGGAAGCTAACGAGATTCATGCCCGGAACTGAGTCCCCAACAAAAGATGTCTACATATGGCCGGGAATTTCATCCGAACCCTCTTATCTTCATCTGCAGGGGAGATTTTTCAAAAATTTTGGGTGACTCATGGCTAAGAGGGAATTCCTTTCACATGTCAGAGGATTTCGTTAAATGAGATCAAAACATTTTTCAAATTTTCTAGTAATAATTATTTGAACTCATTTCAAATTATCTTTGTTTGAGTCAAACAAAAATCAAACCCAAATCTTTTGACTTAAAATTCGCCGTATTTTTTTTTTTTGATAGAAGTCCACCCAAGCCGTCAACTTTGAGCTCAATTATTTCAATTCCTTTGGAAGATGTTGAAAATTTGTCAACTGATAAATTATTTATGATAACATCATCGATAGTTTATCAGTTGACAAAATGTTGGTATCTATCTTAGGAATCGAGATGATCAAGGTTAATGGTCTGGGTGGGCTCCTATTAGAGGGAATTGAGCAACTACTACAGTAATTTTGTATAAATAACAGACAAGAAATTAATATTCGCTAGTTTGACAAGTTCAGAAAATCAAAGTGATTGCCTTAAGTTTAACCAAAGCTTCAAAAACTCTCAACTGACAAAATATGATGTAAAAGTAGCTTGACTTTTTTGAAAAATTTTTTTGAAGCTACATGCGACTGTTACCTACAGTAATATGTTCAAAAAGCCACGTATCGTAATCCTTCTTACACTGGTCCTATTCTAACAATCAAAATTCATCATTTGAATTAAAAATGAGAACTCTCAGAAAACATACGCCCGAAATCATGAAACTCTTACAAAATCAAAGCTATCAAAATACTGAACCAAAATTTCCGAAAAAAAAAGTCAAAATTGGACATATATCTGGACATATATAGTAAATAAACATCTCTGGATGCGAACATTTTTTTCTCCTCGTCTTATGTATATCAAATAAAGAAGATTGAGATCCGCATTACTCTGCCATTCAATGGCCGCCAACTGAACTTGGCGCCGGGGCTTCATAACAAAACTTTTATCGAGGCTCGCGCGACGGCTTCAAAAAATGTTTTAGAGATTTTCTCTTCATAAGTCTTCTATCAGGGAGTTCAGAAAAATAGAAAACCGGAGTCAAGAGTTAGAAAACCAACAAGAAAGTTGAGAAGGTAACATATGATTTCTATTTTCTTCGAAATTCTAGGATCAAAAACTGAGGCGAAAATAATAGTGAAAATCTAGCAATTCTGAAGGAAGATACAATGACACAGGCGGATTCTCCAGCAACATAATGCTCATCTTAGGTTTCTTCTCTTTACAAATGTGACTGATTCGTCGTATCAGGTTACGCGGGGTGAGAGGAATTTTGAGAAATCTTCAGACGCGTTTTGAGACAATCAGTTAGGAATCGAAAAAATGGGAAAATAGAAAACAAGCTGTTATTCTGTATGGTTCGGTTCTTGAGCTCTATTACAGGCCAAGGGACATGAAAACTTATTTTTATAATCCATTGTTTTGAATTGATTGAAGGACGACATTAAACCCGTTAGGAAATTTTGTTCATACAAAATCCATGTGAGTAGTAAACTTATGGTCCAGCCGTTTAAAGTGCCATATGAGCTATCGTAACAAAAATTTTGTCCGCCAACCGGTGCCATATACAGTACCGGTCAAAAAGATATTCAAAAAGTATTTCTCACTGGATTGTGACCATTTTCAGGAGCCTGGAACTCGGTTGGCAAGTTTCCGATCAATTTGAGAAGTGTGAAGGGTGTGAAACAGAGCTAGATTGAAAAAATTCACAGGATTCTAAGAAAATTCCCAGTTTTTCAGCTCTTTTCCGATTTCTGATAGATATCTATTTTTCCAGATTTTCAAAAGTGCGTCTTTCGAAAATCGGCAAATAGCTGAAAAACATGGAATTTACAGAAAATTCTGTCAATGCAAAGTTTTCAATCTAGATCTGTTTTACACCTTCAAAAATTTTCTAAGTGATTGGAAACTCGACAACAGAACTCCAGACTTTTGAATATAGTCAAAATTGCAAAAAAATGATTTCATAAAATTTTGGTATATCGTGTCTTGCCCAAAAAAAAACCAAAAAAAAATTTAAAATCATTTTTTTTTCAACTCGAAAAAAAAATATATATATATATACCCACGTGACTAACTAGGAATTTTAGTTTTACCCTGATTTTTGGCGCCTAAACTAGCTCAGTTTCAAGTGGAAAGTGTGTATTTTGAAAAAGGATATTTTAAAGAAGGGAGATAATGAAGAAGGAGTAGGCGAAAGCGACAAAGTGCAACTGCAAAAAAAAAGAACTCTTTCTCTTTTGTGAACAAGACAAATGAAAATTGCATTGCATGTGTTGAGAGCGGATAATGAAAAAAGATAGAACATGTCACATAAACTGGAGCAAAAAAGTGGAGCGAGACACAGAGAGGACTAATTAGGTTCATAGGGAGTGTAAATATTGTATGGAGTATTCATAATGAAGTGAAAAATTCAAAATTCTATAATTCCAAAGCTTATTCTTAAGAGATCTTTGAGTGTTGAGATCCAGTATTTGTTGTTCTTCATTTTGTTTTTCTTTCTACACTATTTTAATTGGAGCTAGCAACAAATTCCAGGAAATCGAAACTTTTACTAGATTAACAAAGGAGAATCTCACAAGGCAGCGGTTTTAAACAAAAAAAAAAGGTTTTACAGTAAAACCTTATTTTCAAGAATAGCCACCATCCTATCAAGTTTGAGATTAATTACAGTACCAGATAGATACTAAAGCCTTTTTTGTCGATTTTCGGCATTTTGGGCGCAAAACAGATTTAAATTGATTTTTGGAAATTTTATAGTTTTTCAGATGATTGCCGATTTCAGAAAGAACCTTTTTTCTGACTTTCTTTTGTTCTAAAAACTTTATAAAAACAGTCGTTTTCAGAAACCTGCAAATAGCTGAAAAACTAGGAATTTTCTGAAAATTCTGAAAATGCAATGTTCTTACTCTGGGTCGGTTTTACAATTTCAGAAATTTTCAAAGTGTTCGGAAACTTGACGTCCGAGCTCCAAGCTCCAGAAAATTGTAAAAATGGTTGAAAATCAACTGAAAATACAATTTTGTATATCTCATTGACCGATACTGTATCTCAAGTCCCATGCATAACATGAAAAATGTGTCAACTAATGAAATATTTGTGATTTTATGATAAGCAATTTATCACTTGACAACTTTCGGTATCTTGGACTGGTACTGAGATGAATGGGCTCAAAGTTAGAAGAGGCTTTTTTATCACAGGCTTCAAAATATGAAAGAGTTTAGAAAAGATTTCAACAGTCTTTTTTCGGAAAAAATCACATTTCGGCTGATTCCAAACAAATTACATCTTTCTATGTGTATATCAATTCACAAAAATTAAATTAAAAATTACATAGTCCTTGCCACTTTTCCGTCCTTTCTACATACAGATTTATCACAAACCTGGTGCAATCTCAACTTGCCGCAAGCGGGGTCTTTGTATCGGCGCTTTGATAGGTAACGGGTTGAAAATTGCCCACCCAATTGGATTTTCATCTGGTTGCACATTAGTCGGCTGATAGTTCTGTATAATTTGCGTTCCGATCCATGACATCGGTGCTGGTGGCATCAAAAAATTCTGATGTGAGTGATGAGCTGGCGAATCAGCCGAATGTCCATAGGTGCTCCGTCTTCGGTCCTGACGTGTTGACCCGCGGCGCTCGTCCATGAGGTGGGCGCTCACGGATTGCAACATCTTCAGCAGACGGGAAAAAGTGGAGGGGCGCGGAACTCTATATGATAGATATGTTGTTTTTTGTTTTAGTATCTTGAGAAACGAGAAGAACGGCAAACACAACAATTATGAGAGATTGATAAATGGCAAAAACGTGTTTTGACGTGTCTTCGGAAAAGGCCGGTTGTCAAGTTTGGCAAGGACATTGGAATGCACATGGCCCATATCCAGACAAAAAAGGCATTCCATCGATGGGCCGCCACATCGTTTATGATGTTTCCTCTCAACTCGAAACATATACCCCCATATTTTGTCGGGCATATATTCTTCCATTCTTCGAGACGTCGTTTTCTCGTTTTCTCAATGACGATCTGACGGCACTCCAGAGCATCTTGTCTTCCTTCTTCCCTTCATATTCTGCCGCCGCCACATTTTCCAACGTCCTTCAATTTTTTGACCCCTTCTTTTTCCTCTTCTTCATTCAGCCCCGCCATTTCTACTCATATTCAACAACTCCCCCGACGATCGTTTTGAGCTACTCCCCTAGATGGACCGAAATAGTGTGTTGGACGAAAAAAAAAACACAAGTCACTTCCGTTTTCAAGGGAAGTCATGATTCTTCAATCTCGTTTATCATTATGATAGTGTGCCCTTCAAATCTCCCATTCATCCCGAAGTGCAAATTCCAGATTCTTGCGCCAAAAAAAATGTTTTTAAGTCAGCAAAAAAACGTTGGGTGTAATTATAGGAAAGAGGGCAATTAAAATATGCACACTAGTCTTCTAAAATACGAAAAAAAACACTAGAATGATTTTTCAGAAGCAAAAAGAGTCCAAGGTCATTGAGAAAGTGCAAAACACAAAATTTGGAGATTTTTGCTCTTTTTTGAATTCCCAATCCTTTGGGATATGAGAAATCATCAAAACGTGAAAAATAGAACAGAAAATAAAAATAAAGATTTTTGATTCTGACACTCGTCAATTAAAACTTTGCTTGAAAAAAAAATGATTTGAAGGGAACAAAATACTCAGAGTTCAAATTATAAAGTTTAGAAAAAAGTGTTTTAAAGTTGTTAAAAGGACCGGACTATGATTTTTACAAGCTTTCATTTCTCAATGTTGATTTTAACAAGGGAACCACAACACCACGTCGGTTTGGAATTTGTCGAAAATTTCAGGATATGTCAAGGATATCCTATCTAGACATCCCTGAAAATTTTAGAACACGCTCGCCACTTTCAGCCGAGATATTTCAGTTTTAGTACTAAAAACCGCGTTTTCAGTGCAAAAATCGCAATTTTCAAAGACTATTTTCTCCGCTCCCATAAGAATCCAAAACACGGAACTTAATGTGTTAGACTTAGAATTGTGTGTAATATCATATTTCAGACATTTTCTAGAAAAAAAAATTTTGAAAAAATTTGCGAATTTTGTGGGTGATTTTATCGAACTTTTGTCAGTTTGGAAAATTTCCTTGACAAAATAGTGATAATTGTTTGCAAACATTATTATACAACTAATAGATAATCTATTTTTCAGTTGCACGCTTTTTATTATTTATTCATTGTCCGTATAGGGCCGAAGACAACGCTTCAAAACTACTACCGTCCACGAATTCTTTTGAATCGGTAAAAACTTGAAAAATATATCAGAACAATCCTAAAACGTCGCGAAATAAGGGAACAAAAGAAAAAAAAAAAGAAAAAAACCACCAGCGGGTCCGAACCCACAGCCTTGTGCCTACTGGCGCACACCACATCCCCAACACCACGCCGCCGATCTTTTCATCAGTTTCGAAAGGTGGTTACATATTCGGTTCTTTCTGAACGGCTTTCGTAGGGAATTCGGTGATGGAATGTGTGGTAAAGCATGAAAATCAACGGATTTCAGTGCTAGAACTTTGGACTGAAATATCTCGGCTGAAAGTGGCGAGCGTGTTCTAAAATTTTCAGGGATGTCTAGATAGGCTATCCTTGACATATCCTGAAAATTTCATCAGAATCCAAACTGACGAGGTGTTGTCGTTCCCTTGTAAGGGTTTTAGTCAGTTTTTGCAGTCCGAATGAAATGACATTGGATAAACTTTTGAAAAAGGTTCAATTTTAAAAAAAACTGCTACAGATAGCAATAATAAAATCTTGTGCTCTAGTTGGTTTTTTTGGATTTTGAATTAATTTTTGGATTTTTAAAGAATTTGAATTTTGAAGAAAATTTTAGGATTTCAATGTTTCCCAAATTCTTCAAAATCCAAAATGTTGTCCAACCTGAAAATTTTTTCAAACATTCAAAGTTGTCTTTAAAATCCGAAATAGAATTTTATGGGTCCCCAGTAAAATTAAAAAAAAACAAGAGCCAAATGCTGTTTCTGTTCGATAAACCCACCCTATACTAGCACATTACAACCCAATTATCTCGGTTCCTGTAACAAGGGAACCTCAACACCTCACAAACCCCGATTTGTTGTGTTATACTCAAATTATAATGAAATTTGATATTTCAATTTGTTTCTCAAGAACAAAAATATTTTTTATTTTTGATTTTTTTTCTCGATTTTTCCAGATTTCTTCGAAAATTGAAAAATTATTTTTTTTTTTTTGAGAAAAAGTTTGAAATATCCAATTCCATTAAATTTTAAGTAGAACACAAAAAGAATCAAGTTCTGGAACCTCCAAGGAGCGAAGAAAATCGTCTTTGAAAACGCTGATTTTGCACTGAAAAGGCGATTTTTAGTACTGAAAATAATCTAACTCGGCTGAAACTGGTGGGAGGATTCAAAAAATTTTTAGGGGTGTCTAGATAGGTGATTTTAACATATCCTGAAATTTTCATCGGAATCTGGGTTTGTGAGGTGTTGAGGTTCCCTTGTAAGAGAAGTCAAACAATATTCAACTGATAAATTATTCATCATAATATCACTAATATTTTAACAGTTGACAAATTTTTGATATCTCTTATGGGAATCGAGATAATTGAGCTCAAAGTGCACGTTTCAGGTGAACTTCTATTTTAAAACATATTACAAATTAGGGCAGATTTATCAAGTTTCCGATCTAGAACAAATCAAACACTACTCACACACAAAAAAGGAACTTACATGCACTTGGTGGCGGTCCAAATGGCGTGAACTGTAGGAGCAGTGGTGTACGCGACACCGCCGGTACAGCCGCGTTCGCTTTCCGTGCCTGGTGAGCGAGAGCGGCGGCCAGAGGATCAACTTGTATCAGCGACTCGCGGACACTCCGAAGCGCCCATGATACAAATACGGTCGACCAAAATGACATGGTTAGAATAATTTCAAAAATTTAAATGAAATCTAGTTTTTAGCGTCCGAATATATTTTCAGGAACCTTTTTGTCTAACTTGAAATGGAAATAAAATCAAAAATGCATTAGATTTTCTTTTCACATGTTCGGAATTTTCCAAAGAGGCAAAAGTTTGATCGGATTTGTCAAAAAGCTTACATCAGGTGGTGGTTGCTTCTTTTTTGTTCGAAACTTGGATATTCCTTTTTTAGATGGCGACTTTATTTTCAGCGGAGCCATGAAAATTCTAAAAATACGGGAATAGGTTGTGGTCAAGAGACAAAAAGAGAGCTCCTACTCGCTAATCAAGTGACTATTATACGCTTGAATAAGTTTTGTGATGTATTGTTTCCCCGCCGCCACCGGGCCTCCCTCACTCTATAAAATTTCGTCTTTTCTGTCCCCTCTTTGTCATTTCCTCTTCCTACTTTTCCCTTTTCATCATTCGGCTGAAATCTATTGGCGCGTAGTGTTGCCAAATGCGTTGTTACTCAACCGACCGGGACCCCCCCCCCAGCACTACTTCTCGTGGCTCCCTTCATCTTTTGTCCTCCTTCAGGACCCACTTATAATGCTACAAGCCACTCAATCATATATTTTTCTTAGTGGGCAAGAGAACGATGGGAAGACAATGATTATTTTCGAGCAGGGCAAGATGATGCTAATTTTAATGAATGGAAGAATTTTTTTTCGCAGAAAATTTTGTAGAAAATTCGGCGGGCAGCGAAATTTTGGGGTCATTTGGGAACGAAGCAATTTAGCGGTACAAAATCCTTAATTTAGGGGTACAAAATACCTCAAAAAATCAAGTTTTATACCCCCGAAATGTTGTCCCCTTCAGTTTATGTAAAAAAAAGTTCATACAACCACCACCTAAGGGACTGCAAGCTGTAAAATCAACAAAAAAATGTTTTGACTATTGATGAATATTCAAATTCACAAATCCGATCTGAGAAAGAATTGAGGCTATTTAAAAAATGAAAAATTAGTCTGAAAATCTGAAATAGCAGGGTATGTGTCTACTCGGACTCAATTGTTCTCGGCTCTTTAAATAATATCAAAAAACTGTATTTTTGGTAATTTTCATGATTTTCAAAATCCTAGAGCTTGGCCGTCAAGTGTCCAATAACTTTGAAATTTTCAGAAGTTTAAAAATTTTCTTAGTTTGAAAATTTTGCATTCACAGAATTTTCGAAAATTTCTAGTTTTCCAATTATTTGCCGATTCTTGAAAAACACTCCTTTTGGCCCGGATTTGTACTGAAAACGCGAAAAACAGGTATCTTTCTAAAATCGGCAAATATCAGAAAAACTAGAAACTCTCAATAAATTCTATTAATGCAAATTTTTTGATCTAGGTCTGCTTTACACCCTCCAGCCTTTTGAAAGTTATTGGAAACATGAAAGCCGACCTCCAGGTTCCTGAAAATTCTGAAAATGACTACTGTAGCTGAGATAAATGGATGCAAAGTTAAGTGCCCTTCTATTAGAGGTTCGACATTTTCATTTTGCACTTTTTGCAAAAATGCTAGTCTTACTCTAACGATGAACGCTAGAATGTCAAAACTGGGGTTGGACAATTTTTAGATCAGTTTTACATATTTCAAAAACCGAAAAATTCAAAATTTACCTTGAAAAATAAGCACATTCAACTTTTTATGAGTCCGCTGTGTAAAGATCAAGTATTCCCGACTTTTTTCAAGAAATATAACTGAAGAAGTGTGAAATAAATGGTCAATGTTTGTGTAGAAAACTCAAAAGGAGAGTTTTTCTTGAAGGCGACGTCCCGCTGTGCTCGTCGGTATTCAGTGGGAGAATAGGTGTGTCGAGGGGAATAGTTGCAGAGAATACGTTCTTCCAATTAAACCTCTCTTGTTGGAAAAAAATAGAGTCTCTTGTAGTTGAAAGGAAGAGATGAAAAGTCCAGATGATAGTAGAATGATGTTCAAGTGAAGAAAAACGGCGGGCAGGCAAGAAGAGCTGCCGAGAAAGGATTAGTTTCAACCAACCGGTTGGTTTTCCACAACCCCGCTAAAGGGCGGCGGTGCTTTGTTTCTTCTGTGCTAGTTGGCTCAGAAATGTATATTTTTATGGGGACCCATAAAATCCTGAAATTGTGGTACTAAAAATCTATCATACCTGGCAATAGTTCATAATCAAAGTTGTAATCGAAATTATAGTCTTTCATGTGAAGAAATACTCGGCGGAAGGGGAAACTGAACACAGGAAAACACCAAAAGTTGGAGGTTGGTGTTGTAGTTTGTTTTAAAAGCTAATTATGTGTACTTCAACGACGCGAGACACCTGTTCGGCTCCTCGAACGAGGTTCCTTTTAGCAGAGAGATAAAACGTTTTGAAAAACGCATTAAAAAAGGAAATGAGAAGATGGATTATGAAGTAGTAAGCAGGCAATTCAATTGGCAGGCGGATGATTTATCGAATTTTTAAAAAGGAAAGAAAATGAGGAGCATTATGAAAGGGTGGAGAAGGAAAGGAACAAAAATTAGGATACAGCACTTTTTTCGAAGAAAAATATCGTTTTACTAATCCAAGCACATGAGATATTCTTGGAATAGCAAAAGATTGGAAAACATCAAGAAGCGGGATTTTGTGTCATGAGCTTTTAAGGTCCCAAGGAACTTTTGACAAATGAACATATTCCGTATTGTTGGAGGATAATGAGTGACCCCAGGTGCAGGTAAAAAATTGTTTCCTATGAAAATAGGCTTTAGATAACTAAGGGAAATATGGAAGAAATGCGGATCTTTGTGCTTTGTAGGAAACCAAAATATTCTAGACATTACTAAATTTTGATAGCGTCAGTTTGAGAATTTTCAGTGCGAAACAAAAATCTCAGAATTTCAAAAAAGTTGAAAAAAGTCAAAACTTTTGAAATAAAAATCAGAAAACAATATTTCAAAACCCTATGATTTACATTTATTTTCGCAGTCTAAAACCTACAGTACCGATCAATAAAAACGTATTTTTCAGTGGATTTTCGCCTATTTTGACCATTTTTAGGAGTCTCGAGCTCCGCTGTTAAGTTTCCGATCACTTTGAAATTTTCAGAGGGTGTAAAACAGACCTAGAAAGGAAAATGTTGTATTCACAGAATTTTTTATAAATTTCTAGTTTTTTTTGGATATTTGCTGATTCTTGAATAAATCTCTTCTCGGCCAATGTTTGTACGGAAAACGTTTAAAAACAGCTCTAAGTAATCAAAATGGCTGAAAATCAACTGAACCATAATAATATTTGAATATCTTATTGACCAGTAGTGTATCCATTTGCCTGTATTATCATGCTTGAAAAAGTTCTCCATATAAAGAAACTAAAAAGGAGGAAAATCACAAAATTGTAAATATGGCTCACCCTGAAATGTTCAAGGAAAACTGGGAATTGAAGCCTTTATATAACATTAATTTGTTTTTTAAACGTGAAAACCGATCAACTTTTGTATTAGCTCAAATATCGAAACAGTTACGTCTGAACCTAACGGGGCGAAATAAATAGGCAGACTTCTAACCATTGGGATCTCAAAATATACTTTTCCTAGTTGAGAACACGTTTTCGTAGAATGAAAATTATTGCGATATAAACACGAATAATAAGCCTTTGTGAGAAAACCAGATACATGATGATTTTTGAAAATTTTAATACTCTTTAAAATTTTCTCGCATTAGCACAATATTTTTATTTGCTAACATTTTCAAAAAAATGAATTGAGGTGAAAACGAAGTTTTAATCAATTTCGCACGGTACAAGAAACCTCCCCTACAACAAAACCCACATTCTTACCTGACCGCAGCACTACACGTTCTGAAACCGTCACCAGCGTCGAATATCTGCGATTGGCGTTTACCGCATTCCGATTGCAAACATTCAGAGGCGCCATTGTGTTGAGCACTTCGCAGACGGATCGCGATGGTCGGCGTAATGGCGGTGGACAGGCGCCACGCGTTGCTGTTGCCATTTTTCGCACAATGTTAGCATCGCTTGCGATAAACACTGACATTCTTCTTTGCCTTCGACGAAAACGGAGTTGAAGAAGTGAAGAATCCTTGGGTCGGGTGAAGAAGCGAACAACGGACAGAGTCACGACAATTGTTTCAAAAAGGGCAACAATTGTATGTGTATGCAACCAGATGATCTGGTCCTGGTCCCAAGGAGAAGAAAAATAAGAAGATGACACACGAATATAATAAGTACAAGAATAGGAATGTTTGAGTTAGACTGCTGGGATGAGATTTCAGGAAGTATCCAATATTTTGTGGTTCCTCCCAATCCGTTTTGTTTGCTTTATTTGGAGTTTGTTGCTTCTGCTTTCAAAAAAAAAGGATGAACATAGTAGGTCCACTCGCACTTCATTCATCTTAAGTGCCCCCCACCCCGATTTTCCCAATTATTCAATTTGTTTCACACTTTTTTTTGTTTAATATTCACTCTTCTTTTGAAAGACGAATTCTTTGGAAAAAAAGAAGTCTGCAAAAAAAGAAGGACCCACTTCCTAATATATTCTTTTTCCTTTTCCTCATTTTTCTTAGCACTGGGTCACAGAAGAGAACGTCGGAGGGAGGGATTAGAGTGGGACAAACAAAATAAACACTGACCTTGGTTGAGGAGGAGCAATAGTTCCAAAGTGTCCTCCTGTGACAGTGGATAGTATCGCTTGTGGGAACGGTTACTGTGCTTTTTGGTGTTGGATGACATGTTTGCTTTCTGGAAAATGTCGATATTATAAGATTCTTGAATTTTCTGAGAAATTTCAATGACTAAAAAGTATTAAAAATGCTAAAAGAATTCTTAGCGAATTTTGGAAATCCCTAAAATTTTTCAAAATACCAAAAAATAAAAATTTTAATTTTAAAAAGTGCCTAAATTCATATAAAAATGCTTAAAACTAGAAATCAAAAATTTTAAAAATTTCTAAAAGTTTAAAAAATTGTTTTGAAAAAATTAGGTTGAAAAATTTTGGAATGCCTAAAAGTATGTAAAATTTGTAAAAGAAGTTAAAAACTTCCAAAAGTATAAAAATTAGAAAAATCAAAAAGTAATTGAAGTCTTGGAAAGCTTGAAAATTTTTTACGTTCTTCACATCTCCTAATAAAACGATACTCATATGAGGTCAATTATCTTGGTTGTTATAAGAGGTATCAAAAATCTGTCAACTGATAAAATATTTGTCGTGGTATCACTCAAATTTTGTCAGTTTACCAAATTTTGTTATCTGTCAAAGTAACCGAGATAATTTAAGCTCAAAGTCCTCGTATGAGATAACCTTGAATTGCAAGAGAACTGGTACATTCAGACCTCTATAAGAAAAATTCGGAAAATACAACTGGATTCTTTTTTTCAAAAGTTCAAGCATGATTTTATTTTGAAACGCAGTAATTTTGGATCACCAAAACTTCAAATTTAGTTGATTTGTATCTACTTACGGTATTTCCTCTAATAGAAGTCCAAACTATACGTGAACTTGGAGCTCAATGATCTCTGTTGCTATAAGAGATATCGAAAATCTGTCAACGGATAAAATGTTTATCATCATATCACCAGTATTTTATCAGTTGAAAAATTGCTGATATTTTTCATAGAAACCGAAATAATATAGCTCAAACTGAGTGTATTGGTCGGGCTTCCATCGGAGTCAAATAAAATTATTTAGAGCAACGTTCAAGTATAAGAAAGCATTGAAATACAAGAAAAACTGTAAATTTGGATTTTTGAAAAATAAGTTAAAAATACAAAAAATTTTCTGTTTAAAAATCTAAGACTAATTCGTTTTTGGAACTTTGAAATCTCGAATTTAATTTTATTAATGTTAAACCTAAAAAAAACAAAGCCAATTTTAAGCAAACTCAAAAATAACAAAACCAAAAAAATACAATTTCTACAAAACCAATGTGTTAGAGAATCAACCACAACGACGAGAATACAACTCACATCAAGATTGGGGTTAATTCTAAAACACCTACTCTATCCTGAAATACCTCTTCCTGACTGATAGATGATGTCAATGGGAGCATAGAATAGGCACGAGGCCTGTTGCTGCTGCTTGGCGGACGTCCCGATGTCCGGAATAGACCCTGAAAAAGAATTAATTCGAATTTTGTTCGAAATTTCGGCCAAAAAACACTGATAACAAAATGCTCCTGAACTAAAGATGAACATATGTTAGAGTTCAACTATTAGAAAAAAGAACACAAAAAAAAAGAAAAAGAGGTCAAAACTTTGCTCTATATCTTTTGAAAACGCTTATCATTTCGTTTTTCTTTTTTTTCTCCACTTTTCACTCATTTCTCCCTCCCATTTTACGTTCTGAAGAGAACGACGGAATGATGGACTAGGTGGGGGCGCGTGCGCGTTTTTGTTGCTGTCAAATTAACAACTGGTGAAAAGGAAGACGAAAGTTGAGAAATGTTTCAAATGTTTCCTTCCGACTAGTCAAAAGAAAATGTGTTAAGACATCCAGATTGATTTATTAGCTTTGTCATTTGTTCACCTTCCGAGAGCAGCCCACCGGACTCTTTTTACGAACCAATCATCATCATTATTGCGGTGGTTTTAATGGATACGTGGGGAAATGGAGGAAACGAAACAGGATGAGTGATTTTTTAAGTTTTTGATATCAAAATGGATCCGGGGGTTGATTGGTCTTAGAAAATTTTTAAAAGGTTGGTTACCGTAAACAATAAGTATGCTCCCCAAATCGTCAATTTTGATCTGCTATATCTTATTTTCTGTGAGAGATATCACAAAAAAGTCAACTGACAAAATGTATATCATAAAATTGCTCACATTTTATTAGTTGACCACTTTATGATATCTTTCCCAGAAAAAACCGAAATAAATTGGCTCGAAGTAAAAAGATACCGTATTTTCTCAAGGAGGGCCACACCCAAATTGTCAATTTCGAGCTCAATTATCTTAATTTCCGTAGGAGGTATAGAAAAATGGTCAACTGATAATATGTTGATATTGTTATGGTAAACAATATGTCAGTAGACAAGTTTTTGCTATTTTCCACAGTAATGAGATAATTGAGCTCAAAGTTTAAAGCTTGGGTAGACTTCTACATATTAGAGCAAATACAGTCAAGTCATTGTATTAGAGTGTTTAAATTCGATTTTTTAAAGATTATAATAGTTTAATTATCCCAAAAAAATTCCTAAAAAAAGAAATTAAACCCAAGATAGATTCTATAAAAACAAAAATGGAACGAAGATATACATTTCAAAATTCCAGAAAAAGCAAAAAAGAAAATGTATAATGTTTCGAACGCTTCAAAAATTGAAATGACGCATTCTAGAGGATTAGAGAAAATAAATATATCCAAATGTGTTTTTTTGTTGATATTCAGAAGGACAATGTAAAAAAAAGAGAAGAGATAAAAGCACAAAGAATTTCTTTCTGGTAAAGTGGAGCAAAAAAGAGTGAAAAGTTTGAAGTGTTCATTTTTGCATGCTAAGCTTGACAAAAAATGATCTTAACGCGATGGACCCGACCTCTTGGCCTTTAAAACCAAGGATTAGGAAGGGAAAATGTTTCTTTTTTTTCGAGAAAAGTGAGATTCCTGAACTTTACAAAAATCAATTGAGTTGAAAAAACAACTCCTTCCTGCAACTATAGACAGACTAAAAGGGCAAATCGAGATTTTGGAAATCGTGCTGTTGGTCTCAGTTGGAATAAGAAAACAACATGTATGAATATGTAATTAAATTATGGAAAAGAGCTCGGAAATGTGTTTCTTTTGGAAGAGACAGAGATTGGAAACAAAACGAAGAACCCATAACATTAAGTTGGACCCCCCCGCGCCACCACAAAACCACCTCCGCATGACACTAAACATTTCTTTGTTTTCTTGGCATCCAGCCAACACCAACACTTACCGATCCAAAAAAGCCACCACCACTACCACCGCCGGTACTTCCCCCACCTGAAAGCGGTGGAGCCAATCCCAACTGAACTTCTGTGTGTACATTCTGAGCATAGTGCTGGACCACTAATGGTTGCATTATTAATGCTTGATGTTGTCCGGCAGATGATTGCAGCCGTCGGGGATGGCCCTCCTTTTGAAGGTCCTTGGTGACCTGGAAAAATGATTTTTCGGGGGAGGGGTTTTTTTCAGAAAATAATCTTTTTTTTTTTTCAAATCTATCCCTTTTCAATTTTTTTCATTACGTGTCACAAATTATTCTATCTTGCATTGCGCTCTTTTCTTTCTTTTTCTTCCCCCACCACTCGCTGCCACCGGCGAGAGAAAGAGGAGCGGCGGCCCCAGGGTAGTATGTCTATGGCAAACACACTACTCTTCTCCAGCTGGCCGCGTGGCGCAATGGATAACGCGTCTGCCTACGGAGCAGAAGATTGTAGGTTCGAATCCTGCCGTGGTCGAAATCTTTTTTTGGTTTCTTTGATTTAATAATAAAGGATTTTATGGTTTTTGCAGTCAAGTTGACCTAATTCTATCAGTTTTGCTGGTAAAAAACCTCAAAAAAAGTAACTGAAAAATTGTTCATAGATTAAATTTTTTATTCAAACTTACAGTATCGTTAGAGATATACAAAAATAAAGTTTTCAGTTAATTTTCGGTCACTTAGACCATTTTCAGGAGTCTGGAGCTTGGCTGTCGAGTGTTCCATCACTTTAAAAACTTCAGAGGGTGTAAAACAGACCTAGATTTAAAAAATTGCATTCAAAAAACTTTATGAAAATTTCTAGTTTTTCAGCCATTTGCCGATTTTGTAACGACACATTTTTTCAAGTTTTTAGTGAAAAAACAGACCAAAGAAGAAATTGACGAATAGCTGAAAAACTGGTAATTTTCAAAAAAAAAATCTGTGAATGCAAAGTAATCAATCTAAGTCTGTTTCAAAGTTTGAAATAATCCGCAACTTGAAAATCAAACTCCAAGCTCTTGCAAACAGTCAAAATAGCCATAAGTCGACTGAAAATACTGATATTACATTTTTTTGGCCCGTGCAAAAAAAGCTCCTGTACCTACGAGAGAAAGTTTAAAAATTAAGGTTAAAAAACTTTTGTTCTGTGAAACTCCAAAGCCTAATTGTATTCGTAATTGTTGTTGTTGATCTAACTTTATAGATTTTTACAGCTTTTTTGTTTTTTCACGGCTTAGAACTAGGAAAAAAATCTGGAGAATAAATTGCAAACTACAATTTTTGTACTACAAACTTAACATGAATGACCTAATGGAAGCTCACCTTATACGTGTACTTTGAGCTTAATTATCTCTGTTCCCTCAAAAGGATATCAAAAATTTGTCAACAGATAAAATGCTTCTCGTAAGATTATCAACATTTTGTCAGCTGAAAATTTTTCGTTACCTTTCAAAGGGACAGAGATAACTGAGCTCAAAGTTTAAATAGGGTGGGCTTGCGATAGAACATTTACAGTAGGCTGGGAAAATTCATTTTAAAAAACCAACCTGCGGAAAAACCATCGTTCACCACTGCTTAGCAATTCTTTGTGCACCTAAAAATCAAGAACAGTGTACAAAATGAAGTGGGCAAATTTCGAGAAAATGTAAAACTTTCAAATTAAATGAAACTAAAAGTAAGTTTCAAACGGGAAAGACCACCCCTCTCTCTTGTGGGGTGTGAGAAATTGAAAACTTACAAAAAAGCGTGCAAAAGAAAGTGAGCATTTTACGCACAGCAGAAAAAGGAACATTGCAGAAAATGGCAAAAAAAATGGGGAAGAAAAATGGAAGATAAATGAAATATTCTGAGAAAAGGGTCCAAAAAGTGTCTTTGCTCTGTAGCAAAACTTCCAGAAAGTGGAACACAAAACCCAAAAGGCCATTGCTCTTAAAATGAGGAATAAGAACGACATCCCATCTATTTCAAAAAAAAAAAACAAAAGAACGACATCCCAGAAAAAAGCCCAGACGACGTTGTGAAGAAATTGCAGTGTGTATTATTCGGGCCAAAGAGGTCACCAAGTTTTTCGGAGCGTGTATAATGCACAAAACATTTCTGTATCATCTTGGGTGTCTGTTTGTCGGGTATAGTGGAGAGGAGCACAATTTTTTTTCCTCCGCTCTCGGAGATTCCACAAACTCCGCTGGCGACGACACCAGCTTGATTAGAAAAAGGAGTGGCGGGGAGCAGAATAAAAAGGGGCGTGGAGATGTGTGATGGCAGTGGCAAGAAAAAAAACGGGTCAAATGTTCGGGTACTAAACAACAACAATGGGTTTTTTGACACTATCACAAACATCAACCATGTTTATGCGTGGCGGATCAGATGTGGTAAAATTTTCTGAAAAAAAGAAGATTCTGGAAGAATTCCAGAAAATCGAGAGTAGGGGATTTTGTGAGGCGTAGAAGATTGAAGAAAAGGGGTTTCCACTTATTGTTCGAAAATCTGATGATAGTATTAAACGTAAATTTGTGATATTGAAAAATAATTACAATAATACATTTCCAATAATATCAAGTTTCAACTAATTTAATTTCATTAAAATAAGATTTTGTTTTTTCTACAACTCATGAAAGTTGAATGTGCTTATTTTTAAGGTAAATTTTGGTTTTCTAAATTCAAAGTTTTCAAAAAATGGACCGATTGCCAACAATTGAAATCTTAAAAACTGTCCAAACTCATTTTCCATATTCAAACATTTATATTTAGTATTAGAGTATTTTTTGAAAAAATTCATAATAAATAGGTCCAACTTCTAATGGTAAGGCGGATGATTTTTCTGAAATTCATCTTAGTTACAGTACCGGGCAACAAAATTTTAAAAATGTATTTTTCAATTGAGTTTTGGCCGTTTTGACAATTTTTTAGAGACTGGAGCGACTGTCAAGTTTCCGATCACTTTGAAAACTTTGGAGGGCATAAAAAAGACCTAGGTTGAAAACTTTGCATTTAATGAATTTTTCAAAACTTCCCGTTTTTTTCACATTTTTAGTAGGAAAATTGGCCAATAGAGGTGTATTCCAAAAAAGTAAATAGCGGAAAAGCTAGGAGTTCCTTAAAAATTCGGTGTGCCAAATTTCTGGTTTAGGTCTGTTTTACACCCTCTAAAGTTTTTAATGTGATTGGAAACTTGATTCTAAAGCTTCAGGCTTCTAAAGATGATAAAAATGATCGAAAACAAACAGAAAAAACGTTTTTGTACATTCTATCAACCAGTACTGTGTGTCAGCAAGTCTAACTTTTTTAGAATATACAGTAATGTCGCTTGATTTCCCTAAAATCCAACACTTTGGAATTCACAACAAGTGCATTGAAACAAAACTAAACTTTCTAAAAATGCAACATTTGCATGAGAAGAGCAAAAAAGAAGCAACAGAAAAAAAGACACACCTTATCAAGATGCTCCCCCTTTTTGGCAGAAATGTTGAATGGGCTCTTGGGAGTGAGAGGTCACTCAACACATTCTAACAGATGAACCTAGTACGCAACATTTTCCGAAAATCCTTCAAGGTTCCCAGGAAAATGCTAAAGTTCAAAGTTAGGGCGGAAGCGGATGCAAAAAGAAGTCGATGAGACGAGCAAAAAGGGTTTGAAAGAAAAATAAGCATAAGAAGCAAAAGAGGGAGAAGTCACAGAAGTTGAGTAAATGTCAAAAGGAGTTATTTGCATCTGGGGGGGGGGGGGCGATCCTCGAAATGTTGCTTCTTTTTCCGTTTTTGGAGAAAAGTGTGTTGCAGAAAACCCAGAGTGGTATATGTCACGATGAGATTCATCTGATGACAGCCAATCTTTGCCAAGAGGGTCCAGCTGCGGACGGCAATAATCACTCTCGGGGTCTTCAATTGCATGACAAGAGAAGAAAAGGATGTGTTGCGAGTTGTGTTTCTTGGCTGACAAAAAAAGAATAATGACATCTCAGCCAGTGGGGAAATATTTGCGTGTTAAGGAACCCTGCAATCTGTTCACATTTTCTTTCTCGGTCACGTGTCGTTATTTTGGGTTAAAGTCATTTTTTCGTTACTCCTCAAACGAGAAACTGACTTAACAAATCCTTTTTTTGGGCCCCACACAAACTAGTATTCCCAAAAACAGACAAAACAACAGAACATGTTACTAGACAGGCAGTGATTTGTGAGCTGTAGGAGGAATTTGTAAAAAGGAGCAGTGAAAGTTCAAGTCATTTGCATAATGCAATTTTGGGTGGCTCTGGTTGCACTTTTAGTTGTCTTTTATGGGGGTAGAAATGTAAAAAACCGGTTTTTCATTTTCTTAGAACTACAAATTTTTGTTTTTGATAAGTCTTAAGTGTGGCCAATTCTAGATTTTTCATATTATTCCAAAATAATCGTTGCTCGTTGAAATTTAGAAATTTAACACAGTTACTCCTTTTTTTCCAATTCCTCTCTTTATTATTCTTGAAAAACTTGAACAAAGTTTAATATTTCTGAAATTAACCGCAACTATAAATTTGAATATCATGAGGAAGTATCTGAAAATCTGATAAAAAAATTTAATGTGGATTTGTTGGCACAATTATTTTATAGTGGTGTAAACATTGTAAATTCAGGGTAAATAGGGAACATTTGACATGAAAAGCGGGATTAGAGAACACAACATTTTTACAGGGCCCGTGAACAATCATCATAACTGGGAATCGAATTTTAAAGAACAATCAAAATTTGAAATAAAAAGTGAAACTAGAAATCAAACTTCATGCGGTCCCCCAAAGTTTCTTTCGAAGCCCAGTCTTGTTTTTTTCTACCATTCCATAAATTACTTGAACTTCTGTTTCCATGTCATAGTATCCCCAGATACCTTGAACTGACGGTTTCTAGGTCATCTCTGCAGAGAACCCCATTGAAGTTTTTTTTGTTAAATTGGATTCCCGATTGTTTTAATTGTGTACCGGCATTGTAAAATTGGATTTTGAAATCCGCTTTTCATGTCAAACTCATGTTTTCTAACAATATTCTTCCAATATAGATTATTACCTGTCCCAAAAAATTTTTTTTGAAAACGTGAGAAGTTTGAGAAATCAATAAGAATTTAGACAGATTGTTTCCTCGCCGAATCTTAATCCAAATGGCGACTCGATGGTTTTGAGTTGATGAGAGCGGTGAGTTTTTAACAAAAATACCTTTTATGCTAACTAGTTATGTTTTCAGTGGTTCTTTGGATTCGGCTTCAATCAACAATTGAACAAAAATGAGGGACCACTGATTCAAGTGAACGACATAAGCTGTGGTATGATGATGGGTTGGAAACTTCAGAAACTCCCCTACCCCCCTTTTCTAGACCCTTTCCTCCCCAATCAATATTTTAGCTACATGTATGTGTGTTGTTTGCTTATGGGCCACATTGCTCCCTGATTGTTACACTTGTTTACCGGTCCCCCAAAGTTTCTTTCGAAGCCCAGTCTTGTTTTTTTCTACCATTCCATAAATTACTTGAACTTCTGTTTCCATGTCATAGTATCCCCAGATACCTTGAACTGACGGTTTCTAGGTCATCTCTGCAGAGAACCCCATTGAAGTTTTTTTTGTTAAATTGGATTCCCGATTGTTTTAATTGTGTACCGGCATTGTAAAATTGGATTTTGAAATCCGCTTTTCATGTCAAATTCATGTTTTCTAACAATATTCTTCCAATATAGATTATTACCTGTCCCAAAAAATTTTCCACTTTTGAGTTTCACTTTTCATGTCTAGTTCCCCCAAATTACCCTTAATTAACAATTTACGGTCTTTGGGAGAATTTTTATATCCTCAGTTGGGGGGGGGGGGGGGAATCCTCAGTGGATGGTTTTCCATTGATTCCCGATTATTTCAATTGTTCACTGGTACCATGAAGTTTGATTTTTAGTTTCACTTCTCATTCCAGAATTGTTTTTTTACTCGATTCCCGATGATTTTGATTGTTTACGGGCCCTGTAAAAATGCTGTGCTCTCTTATTCTGTTTTTCATGTCTAATGTTCTCTATTCAACCTCATTTAATGACTTTTTACATCGCTATAAAATCATTGTGCCACAAATCTACATTGAGTTGTTTTTCTTTCAAAATTTCAGAAATTTCTCAAATATTGGAAATGAGAGATGGCAACATCGAAATATTTTTCATCGAAAAAAAATCAAGCGCGCGCTCTATTGACTGCTCCCAATACTTTGTCCGTGTTTCCGAAAACAAGGAGATAAATAAAAGTGGACAGGGACTGTGTCAATTTATGTATTTCAAAAGAAAAAAAAACAATTTCATTAATTTATTATAGAAAAGATATTCGCGGACCCCAACTGAGGATATAAAAATTCTCCCAAAGACCGTAAATTGTTAATTAAGGGTAATTTGGGGGAACTAGACATGAAAAGTGAAACTCAAAAGTGGAAAATTTTTTGGGACAGGTAATAATCTATATTGGAAGAATATTGTTAGAAAACATGAATTTGACATGAAAAGCGGATTTCAAAATCCAATTTTACAATGCCGGTACACAATTAAAACAATCGGGAATCCAATTTAACAAAAAAAACTTCAATGGGGTTCTCTGCAGAGATGACCTAGAAACCGTCAGTTCAAGGTATCTGGGGATACTATGACATGGAAACAGAAGTTCAAGTAATTTATGGAATGGTAGAAAAAAACAAGACTGGGCTTCGAAAGAAACTTTGGGGGACCGGTAAACAAGTGTAACAATCGGGGAGCAATGTGGCCCATAAGCAAACAACACACATACATGTAGCTAAAATATTGATTGGGGAGGAAAGGGTCTAGAAAAGGGGGGTAGGGGAGTTTCTGAAGTTTCCAACCCATCATCATACCACAGCTTATGTCGTTCACTTGAATCAGTGGTCCCTCATTTTTGTTCAATTGTTGATTGAAGCCGAATCCAAAGAACCACTGAAAACATAACTAGTTAGCATAAAAGGTATTTTTGTTAAAAACTCACCGCTCTCATCAACTCAAAACCATCGAGTCGCCATTTGGATTAAGATTCGGCGAGGAAACAATCTGTCTAAATTCTTATTGATTTCTCAAACTTCTCACGTTTTCAAACTTACCATCACTAGAGCTAGCTTCGTTCACTTGGATTGGTGGTTCGGCCTTTTTTACTGATTTTCTATTTTGCCGGATCCAAGAAACACCTGAAAACAAAACCAGTTAGCCTAAACAAAATTTTTGTTCAAAACTCACAGCTCCCACTAACCATTGTTTTTTGGCCCAGAATCTTGCTCAAGCCCAGAGGATTGCCGATAGGGATTTAAATCGGGAGTGTAGGCGCGGGACTTTCGTTCTCATCCGGTGCTTTCATCTGAAAGATTCTAATAGATTTCTCGAATGTCCTATGTTTCTAAACTCACCACTAACTTGAACTGATTTCAGCGACTTGGATCGCCATTTTCACTATTTTCTCCAATCGGCTTGTCGTGATGACATTTCTGTAAAAATACAAAATTTATTAACGGTAATTGTACAAAAATTAAAGTTTCTGAAAAATCGATCAAACGGAAAGTGAGGCATCGACATACATATAAAGTATAGGGACAATATAGAGAATGTTTATCATTAACATGAGAAATGTACCATCGCTTTGCACAAAAAAAAGTTCAGTTCAAATGTTCGATTCGCTACGTTCGGGAGGAAAAATAAAGGCGAAAAAGATAAAAGAATGAATTCAAATGAGAGAGATCGGCTGCTGGGGTAATTAAAAACTCAATAACATATAACTATTGGCCCCCTGGGAAAGTTCAAAAAACCACCTGTGGCGAGACACTACACACACCTGAAGAGACGCAGAGAGGGGGAAAGAGGGCGTCCATCGAGGAGGCGCAACGAAAATAGGTCAAAAGGGGTATACGTGTGATTCGGATGATTAAGAGGGACCACAGTTTAGTAGAGCGCACTTTTTATATTGCAAAAATTAATGACTTTTCTTCTTGAAAAAAATAACAGTGTTGCAAGTATCACTCGAATATAACGAGAAAAAATCAAAAAGAAAAACAATTGGATTTCTTTACACAATCATTTATTGAAGTAATTAATGAAAAAATTAAAGTTCTCCGAAATCTTGGTACTTCTTGATCCGCTTCTCTCGCACTCCTTTGTCCGGGAATTTCCGATAGCAGTCGATATGTTAGTCGATTTCCAAATATTGCTGATCTTCTGTGTGGATATTGAAGATGAAGTCATCTCCTTTGACTTTAGGCTTTGCAAAGATATATCCATGAAGAATCCCTAGAGATTTGGCGAAATCAAAATAGGCCAATAGGATTTCCGGGTAGATTCGCTTCCAAAGGTCGGCCTCCAAGTACTTCACAGAATCCAGTCAATGACAAACCAGGACTTCTGATCAGCTAGACTCAGATACTCCTGGACAAAAATCATGAAGAACATCTGGTCGACTCCATTTTGTCTTTGGAAGATTGCGAAGGTCCGATCCTTATAACAAATCTCCTTTCCAAATTTCGCCTTGAAGACCTTGGAATAGTGTGTTGGAGCGAGACTCTCGATGAGCTATTTTTTCAATTTGCTTCCTACCACCGATCGGACTGAGATTCGACATTGTTGCTCCTTCATAATTGCATTCAGCTTCTCCTCCATCATCGTGCCAATTCTAGATTGTCCCTTCTCAGCATTCAGAATCTTCGGGGCCTTCTCCAATCCGGCCTTCTTCATGCATTCCTCACAGTCCTTCCTGAGCATCTTCTGTTTGGGACGTTGTACCGGCTCTGAAAAGGAAAAATGAAGAGAATGAAGAAAATTTTTATTCCATGTGCCCACGCCCACTCTCTACCTACACTTCGAGCTCGATTATCTCAGTTCCTCCGAGAGATATCAAAAATGTTTCAACTGATGAAATATTGGTGATATTATGATAAATGTTGAACTTTTTGACATCTGCTACAGAACTTTTTGACATCTGCTACAGAAACTTCAACTTTGAGCTAATTTTTCTCGTTTCCTGTCAAAGATATGAAGGAGGTGTCAACTGATAAATTGTTCACTCTAATATCAGACGTTTTGTCAATTGACACATTTTTGATTTCTTTCACAAAAACCTGGATATTTGAGCTCAAAAATCAAAATTCACAATTTGTGGACCTTTCTATCACAGGTTTTACGGTATTTTCCAGTGAGAAAAGGTTTCATTTTGGTGGATCGAAAATCGGCGGAGGCCAGTGAGTGTTTTCACAAAAATAAAAAATGCGTCGTAAAATAAAATACTGGGTACGCAAACACTCTCTAGCATATGGACGCGCCGATCGATCGGTCAGCTCGGTCGGCTAAAATTCCCTAAATGTGAGTAAAAATGCAAAAATCTGATAAAACACTGAGCCTAAAATGGGCCGTAACTGAGTGCAGTTTTTAGCAATTCGGGATTACTTTGTTAGAACTTAACAAACATTTCGAGTTCAGAAATTATGCTTACCGTTAGTTCGGGCTGGAGCGTAGAATAAAAAATCTCAGAAAAATCAGAAAGAATCTTTCAAAATCCATTCAGTAGGATTTTTGAAAGACCTCGAGTAAATAGATAATAAGTGGAATTTTCAGAAGAATAAAGGGAACATTTCCGACTCCATTCATTTAAAAGAGTCAACGGAAATGCCCCCAGAATATTGTGGCTACTATTCAGTTAAGTTGCCTAGCATAGACTGATTGATTTTCACCAACGCGCCTACTCTGACCAGCAGACGACCAGAGTAGGAAGGATAAATGAGAGACGCAGCGAATTGAGGTAACAGTGGTTTGTACAGGAGACCAGGTGGGTGTAGCTGAGAAGAGAACGGGTGAGAAGGAGTGTTCTAGTGTCTCTTCGACCTTGACAAAAAACTTATTCATGGTGTAAGAGAGTGCGAAGAGAGGGAGATTGTATGTAACGAGACTAAAGGGGTTAGAGGAAAAGATTGGAACGATTGACCTTCCGAGGAGTGAAATTGGACAAACTTGCAAAAATCGTTGAAGGCCAGGCCCGGCCCGAAAAGCCTGGATGGGTATTTTTTGGTCAAAATTGATCAAAAAAAATTTTTTTTATAAATTTTTGAGAATTTTTTAACAAAAAAATTAGTTTAAAAAAAAAACAGTTATTTTGCTGAGTAATTAAGGGTAATTAGTAGAAATTAGACATGGGCAAATAAAATTCCCAAGCGCTGAGTCGATTCAACCTGTCGTCTGTACCGAATGCCAATCCGAGTTGCTTTTTAACCAGTTTCTTCACTTTTTTCAGTCGTATAATTGCAAGTTTCCATGTGGAGAACAACGATTTTTTTGGCTTTTTCGTGAAATTCGAGATCCGCCGCGGGTAGTAGTTTTTTTGATGCAACATATCTTTGCCTTCGTGTCACATGAACAGCTGAAAGTTTTAAAATTTGATTACCTCAAAACCTATAATAGAAGATCCAATTCATCTCAGGTATTATCAAAGATATAAAAAAGTTGACAACTGATGACTTATTTATCTTAATCTCACAAACATTTTATCAGTTGACACATTGATATCTTTTATTACAGCCAAGAAAAATTAGCTCAAACGTGACAGTTTGGTGAAAACTCACTATCTTTTGTCATTCCAACCTGGAGACATTTTTGGTATTGAAAATACTGGCATTTACGGTTCTCACGACTTTTTTTCAGGGTTTCACTCTTCTTCATTCGTAATCAGTTTGACGGCTTTTTATTCGACGGAAGAATGCCTAAAAATACATGCTATGAGAAGTTTGGTCATTTTCAGAACCCCTAACTTCATGCAAAACTCTAAAACTCATCACAGAAAAGCCCAATGTCTTGACTTCGATAAACAGCCAGCAGACGTCATCAAACAGGAATTTCACCCAAAAACAGTGGATGTCAAAAGGGGCATCCCGTTAGCATGCGGAATGAGAGCAGGGCGAATGATGGTTATTGGGAGCAACCTTATCATCTCATATACCATATTCGGTTACACACATGTAACTGTACTAGCTCAGTCAAGAGAAACGAGGAAAACAAAAGTGCACAAAGATTTAGTTTCCAACCTAATAAATGATTTGACATTCAAGGAAAATTGGGTAACGTCACGCGCAAATAAATATCAGCCCACGTCTGGTTTCACGATAACGTTCATAAACAGAAAGTATAGAAATTTGTTTGAAAAAAAACGTATGTTCTGTTATCGATCTCAGTGGAACATGCCAGCGATAAGAGAAAATGATATTTTTCACTCACTCGCAAACTCACGAATTTTAGCATGAGAATAATATTTTCTCTCATTCCGTTGTTTTCCCTACTAATGCGTGATACATTTTCCGAGGACACTTCGAAAATCATGTACGATGGCACACTCGAATGTACACTTCGCAAAAACTTTTGCGCTGTGATTTTTTATATGGAGTCCGATACACTGTGAGTACATGTCCATTTTGAAACTAGCTCAAGCGTCGCCGGTTACTTGGTCAGATTCCGGCAAAGACGTTGTGGGCAGCCGACCAAGATCCGACAAACTACGGCCAGCTTCCGAACTCTTAACAAGCAGCGTCTTAATTCCGGCCAAACTCCGACTATTGTCCGTCCCACCGCTGCCAGTGGTCAGCTTTTGACCAAAATCTGATCAAGATCCGTCCAAAAGCCGAACCCCTCAACTTTCGTCCAGAAGTTGCAAGCCGACAGCCGAGAGTGTTTTCTCAAGTATTGAATTTTTTCAGAGGAGCAGATGAGGATCTGAGAACTAAAAAGCTGCAGTGCACTGAATCCAATAAACTCTATCACAATGCCCATGTAGTTTTTGAAGGTGGAGATGGAATATTTGATGTAATTATATGTTGTGTTTCCACTTATAAATTCTGACTCAGAACAACTACGAACCGATGATTCATGTGTTTCATGACTGCTTGGGGTACGGCATAGTGGCTCAAAAAATATTTTTATTACCTCATGTCCCAATTGAACAATTGTAGGTTCAACGATTCACCAGATATACCATTTCCAATTCTTCAGATTTGGCACGTATCGCTATGAAGTCAATCTTGACTGGCGGAACAACCGATGGTTCTACCTCAAGTCGGACGTCATACGTGCACGTTATTATCGTGGATTACGAGATGATCAGGATTTAGTGGATTGGTACAACGGTGTGAATGTCACAGATCGTTCGCGATTGTTTTTCGATGACAGTGTTCGCATTGAACAACAATTAAGTGTAATGAAACCAAAACCAACAAGCAAGAGCGAAGTTGATATCAAACTTGAACAGAATGATGATGATAATTCTATAGTTTATTATGTTTATTATGATGAATGAAATGTTCTTACAGTGCGGTCAATATCTTTAGGACCCCCTCGATTTTGGCGGTTCCAGAAAAACGGTAAGATATATCAAAATTCTTTAAACGTCGTTCGATTCAAAATAGAAAGAAATCCTATTGCACTAATTTTCATGATTCTACCACTTTCCGTTCAAGAGTACCACCAAAAAGACCTATTTCTGGCCGGTCAATATCTTTAGAACCCCCTGAAGATTTCGAAATCTTGGTCATTTTTTGTCGAATTTTCGCTTTTAAACTGAAAATAATTTTCAGTTTCGTGCTTTTTTGGTACATTTTTATATGTATCTCAAAGACTTTTCATAGTTTGTCGACTTTCCAGATTATCTCTTTTTTCCAGTTTTTCCTAATTTTAGAAAATTGACCCAATATCTGGAACATCACAGTGTCTGTACACAATCAAGGCTCTGACTGCGCTTCCAAGGCTGACAAATTGGGTCACTTTTCCAAAATACCCAAAAATTAGGAAAAATTGAAAAAAAGATAATTTGAAAAGTCGACAAATTACGGAAATTGTTTGAGATACTCATAAAAATGTATCAAAAAAGCGCGAAACTGAAAGTTATTTTCAGCTTAAAAGCGAAAATTCCACAAAAAATGACGAAGATTTTAAAATTTCCAGGGGGCCCTAAAGATATTGACCTGCCAGAAAAAGGTTTTTCTGGTGGTACTCTTGAACGAAAAGTGGTAGAACCATGAAAATTAGTGCCCTAGAGTATTTCTTCATCCTGAATCAAATGCCGTTTACAAAATTTTGATATCTCTTACCGTTTTTCTGGAACCGCCAAAATCGAAGGGGGTCCTAAAAATATTGACCACACTGTATATGCCTTCAATACATGTTCACTGTGTTTTTAATGATTACCAAATTGAAATTTCTAATAAAAATACATGCTTTATACTGTCGAATCAAAAAAGTGACACCTGAGAATCTGTCGCTTTTTTTGATCCACGGAACATCGCAGCAAAATCGTAATATTTCAGCTTGGTTTTTCCCGGACGGCCCGGAAAGCCCGGGCCGGGCCTGCATTTTTTCGTACTATTTTGTCTGTAACTTTGTATATATCTGGGAGTCAGGATTTATTGTAACTCCCATAAAGGTTTGTTAGTGTTTCAGTGATTGTGTAACTAAAAAATGTCACAGAACAGGTTTATCAAAAGTTGGAGGATAATACATATTAATTGAATATTAACTCTGACACGACGATCCTCTTGGTTCCGAGTATAGCAAGCAACAAAGATGGAGACTAAAATAGAACATTTACAAAGGGAAAATATAAAATAAATCCTACCCGAGAGTGTCGCAACGCCAAGGAGCGCCATCTCAATTGAGCGACTGTCGATGGCCACACGGAAGACGATGAATGGGAGGGTAACCTAAAAACGGTTTCAACAACATGTGAAAATTTTTCGGTTTTCAAAAAACCCCGATCTCCGAAACGCGTAGAGCTTTAAGAGTCCTCATGCCAAGTCATCTACTGTTTTTGCTGTTTGACATAATGCCGGTATGAAAAATCGGAGCTGTGGAAGAGTAAATCTGGTGGTCGCTACCACAACCGGCAGTAACATACATATTAAGCAAATACTTTTACTTTCATAATTTTTATTCGACTTCCGTCAGTTTTTCGGGAACATCTTAGTTTTAGACTAAAAATTTTGATACTTACCATTTATTCGGGTTGACGCATAGAACATAAATATTCAGAAAAATCAATAAGAATCTTTCGAAATCCATACATTTTTAGGATTTTCGAAAGATCTTGAGTAAATAGAGAATAAGTTTAATTCTCAGAAAAATAAGGGGAACATTTCCAACTCCATTCATGAACAGGAGTTAACGGAAATGCCCCGGATTATTTAGGCAACCATTCAGTTAAGTCGCCAGGCAAAAACATTGCAAATGATTTTGCCAACGCGCCTGCTCTGACCAGCAGACGACCAGAGCTTCAAGAGGAAAAAAGAGACGCAGCGAATCAGGGGGACAATGATGAGACGCGGCGGACAATCGCCATGTGGATTCAGGGAAAAAGAGAGCGGGGAAGAAGGAGTGTTCTAGTCTCTCTTTGAATTATTAGATGGTGATAGATGGTGCGAAGAGAACCAAAGGAGGGATATTGTATGTTTAAAAAAACTAGCAGGAATTAGAGAAAAAGATTGCAAAAACTGACATTACCGAAGAGTAAATTTGGAGATGTCAAAAGAGAGACGAGTAAATTGTAAATTATAAATTGTAGAAGAGTAGTAGCGAAGAAACTCCGAAGAGTACAGGAAAAGTGAATAAAATGGAAGAGTAGATGTCAACAGAGAGTGCTCTAATCTTTTTCTTTTACTGAAAAAAAATTATTGGAAGAAATTAGAAAATGCGAAGATAACATTAGCAAGATTAGCAGGGTCTAATGGAACAGATTGGGCGGATTCAGAATTTGAAAGCCGCCAGATGAAGGTCATGGGAAAACTAATGCTTGCATTGATTTTTTAGTATTTTTTTTTTAAATTTTGGCATTTTTTGGAAAACAAAACTGAAACGTTCATTTTGAAAAAAAATAGTAGTTTAAATTTTTTGAGGCGAGTCATTTTCTTTTTATACTAGTGACCGTTAAGTCAATGGGTGGCTAGGTTTATCCAAAATTTTGAAGCACATCAGGTTTTTAGCTTCTCATTCTCTAGAATCTGCTGTGGTTCACTGATGTTTTTACTATATTTGAATCTCCTCTTTTTGATGAAGGTCTTACAAGATCTGTAAAAACGGTAAACATTTTTTTCATCGTCAAAATTCAAGAAATTCCAACTATACACAAAAAATCTCAAAAATAGTACTTTTCCTATTTTTGTGCTCGCGGAGCAACAACTATATTTTTTGAGAAATTATAATTTAAATTTTGATGGATTTTTAGAAAATTTTTTTATTCACAAAATTCCATCTCTTAACCGAAAAAAATCTAAATTGATATACCGTAAACACTCTAGTAGAACGCC